CCCCCCCCCCCCCCCCCTTTTCTGTTTTTGTTTATCTCTGTTTTGTTGTTGTTTTTAATTCTCTGTCAAAGCGTCTTTGAGTTTTTAGAAAAGCGCTATATAAGTCTCATGTATTATTATTATTATATCTGATGTTTTCTAAAGAACAAGTTCAGTTTCTCTCTCCTTTGTCTAAAAGTGATGCCCATCCATCATCACCATGAAGTGTTTGATGCTCTGGTGAGGAGTGTTTTTTCTTTTTAGCCCGACGACTATCGGCTCAGATTTCACCCGTGAGGATATCAGAAGTGTTTAACTCTGCCTCAGTGTCTCCTTCTCTCCTGTTGTTAACTGTATGTGTAACAGTGGATTTAACTTACAATCAGGTCTTGTTTATAACCCTACATGTGTAAACTGATACTGTCTGCTGTACAGATGTCCTTCTACATTGTTTAGTGTTCCCTTACAGTGCTCCATATTTAGCCTCGTAGCGCCCCACGTGTTTTGTAGCGGGTGGACTCCTTCCGCAGGTCGGCGACTTCTGTGCGCAGCGCCGAGTTCTCGCGCTGCAGGAACGACGCTCTGACGGTGATCTGGTTCTCCTTTAACCTGCGGGCGTCACGGGAACGTTTGGCCGCCACGTTTGTTCTTCTTCCTCCTGTGCCAGTACTTGTCGTCCTGGAGAACAAAGGAGCATCAGGTTGGACGGAGGAAAGAACACAACATGAGACCCCTCGATGCTTTCTGACCTTGACCTGGTTTTATAGCCTTGTGATGTTATGTTATTGTTATATAAGCCCTAATCTGTCCATCTTTTGTGTTAACAAAAACATGAGTTCTCAGAGGGACTGGGAAGGAGGAAACATGCTGAGTCACTGTGAGACAGCCTGATTTCTGCTGTGTCTCCTTTCATTACACACAGCTGTGCAATGACAGGCCAAAGAAAATGATTGTTCCAGGCTTGTAGTTGTATCAGCTAAGTCTCAAATGCCTGTATCTATTGTCGTTTTCCCAGTTTGTATCAAGTGAATTGGCTGTTCAGAAGACAGTAAAGGCTGTTGCATTACATTTCTTATTGAAAACATTGATGAATGTCAACCTCTGAAATTTTGTTCAACATGCTTTGATGTTGGTCAAAAAAAGTCCTACACATATGCTTATACCAGGGCTATTCAATTAGTTTGGAATGGGGGCCGGTTGATGAAAATGATCCAAAGCAAGGGGCCGGGAAAAAGATGGCTTGAAATATGAGCAATCATTAAGAGCTTCAGATACAGTAATACTACAACCAGCATAGTGGAGTGCATATATGTGAAGATCAACATAATTTAATTTGATTTCATTTAGGTGAAATTATCTAATCATTCACGCAGAGATGCAATAAATGACAGAGTTGTCACTACAGTAGCTAGTAGGTGGGTTGTCACTACAGTAGCTAGGTGAGTTGTCACTACAGTAGCTAGTAGGTGGGTTGTCACTACAGTAGCTAGTAGGTGAGTTGTTACTACAGTAGCTAGTAGGTGGGTTGTCACTACAGTAGCTAGTAGGTGGGTTGTTACTACAGTAGCTAGTAGGTGGGTTGTTACTACAGTAGCTAGTAGGTGGGTTGTTACTACAGTAGCTAGTAGGTGGGTTGTCACTACAGTAGCTAGTAGGGAGTTGTCACTACAGTAGCTAGTAGGGAGTTGTCACTACAGTAGCTAGTAGGGGGGTTGTCACTACAGTAGCTAGTAGGTGGGTTGTCACTACAGTAGCTAGCAGGTGGGTTGTCACTACAGTAGCTAGTAGGCGGGTTGTCACTACAGTAGCTAGTAGGGGGGTTGTCACTACAGTAGCTAGTAGGTGGGTTGTCACTACAGTAGCTAGTAGGTGGGTTGTCACTACAGTAGTAGTAGGTGGGTTGTCACTACAGTAGCTAGTAGGTGGGTTGTCACTACAGTAGCTAGTAGGTGGGTTGTCACTACAGTAGCTAGTAGGGGGTTGTCACTACAGTAGCTAGTAGGTGGGTTGTCACTACAGTAGCTAGTAGGTGGGTTGTTACTACAGTAGCTAGTAGGTGGGTTGTCACTACAGTAGCTAGTAGGTGGGTTGTCACTACAGTAGCTAGTAGGGGAGTTGTCACTACAGTAGCTAGTAGGTGGGTTGTCACTACAGTAGCTAGTAGGCGGGTTGTCACTACAGTAGCTAGTAGGTGGGCTGTCACTACTACAGTAGCTAGTAGGGGAGTTGCACTACAGTAGCTAGTAGGTGGGTTGTCACTACAGTAGCTATACAGTAGCTAGTAGGTGGGTTTCGAAACTCAAGCCCGCCAAAGTTTTCAGGCATTTCGTCCCTCTTCCTCCTCTTATCTCTCATTAACACCCTCTCTGGAATAAAGGCACTCTGGCCCAAATAAATCTTAAAATAAAGAAATCTTAAAATCAAAAATAAGTAGATTACTTTTTAACATTATACTCAAAAGGGCCAGTAAATATCACCCCTGTAGCCTTAAACCATTTTTACATATTACATATTGACGCTTTTTTCAAAAGTTACAGCATCAAGTAAAAATAGGAGCCAGTGTAAAGTATCTGCGGGACTGTTGTGTCCCTTGTCTTTCTCCCAGCATACCTTCTGTTCTTCAGGCACCAACACCTTCCTGGCCTTCTTGATCATGGGTTGTGGCTTGAGCTCGTCGTCAGTGAACTTGTGTTTGCGAGGGTCGAACAGCTCGCCTCCGGGAACGCTCGACAGCACCAGGTCAGTGGGGTCGGGCTCGTAGTTCATCTCCACCTCGATCTCATCGGGGTCAATAGGCTCGGGGGTCTCTCGGTCACTATCAGTGGTCACCTCTGAGCAGACAGAAGGAGAACATGAGAACTGACAAATTAGATGGATGGAGATTAAGCTCCAGCGTCACATGTTTTTTTTTTATATTTACAAAATGTTCCTTTCTGCCATAACACACAAGCGCGGACATTCAACATATAAAAGGCTTCAATTTACATTTGAAGTGCAAATCGTAGTCACATTTATAAAAAGTATGCACAAGCTGTTGGATTGACTACTTGAGTGCTAAAAAAACAGTTCCTTGATGCTAGCACATTTAAATCTAAAATAAGGCCATGTTGTTTATTAAGTGTAGGTTTGTGCGACCTAATAGATAACCATGTTTTAAACCCTAGCCCCTATTTCTAAACACTAGGACTTGTTGAGTCATCTTACTTAGCTTAAACAACTGGTTTTGACTATCTAATAACACACTAAGAGATAAATAAAACCTGCATCTCCTTCGTATCTGATCCTCCAGGCTCCACTCACCTGCAGTTACATCACAGAGGATATCAGAGTCGCTCTTGGTGATGATCAGCATGTCCTCCCCACACGTGTCCAAGTCCTGAATGGGAAGCAGGGACAGTGAGGAAGCTGGAGCCTTTCCTTTCACCGTCTTCCCATCGGCCAGGCTGCTGTTTTGGGCGTCCACGTCGGGCAAGTTGGGGATGCCATCTCTATGAGGAACTCCTCAAGGTCCATGTACTCCAGGTGGAAGTTTTCGCCATCATAGGGAATGGTTTTCTCCCGATAGCCGGGGTCAGGGAGGCTGAAGGACCCATATCGCTGCATCCTCCATTAAGGTCAACATCGTTTCCCAGTAACAGCTTTTCCTTGTCTGTGTCTGAAACGCAGGAAAGATTCATATTTAGATATAAGAAACACAGGATTCACAGTCAGTTTGGTTTTCCTCCCTTTCCAGAAGACCCGTCAGGTACGAATCCAACCATCACACCAGGTTTTTGTTGCACCTTTCCACAAGCCTGTTTTCAGGTCTCAGGCTCGAAAATGACATTCCCAGAACAAATGACTATATCTTCACTTCTAAAAGGGGTAAATTAATAATCTTTTTTCTCAAAGCAAGGATAAACCTGTGAGTTGGATGTAGAAGAGTCAGAATCAATATAGATTTTTTTTATTTTAAAGTAAATTCAGATTGAACATAGTAAAAAAATGCAAATTATAGTGTCCGTCCAAAGAAAAAACATTACTTATAGTGAACACCACCCTTGAATGATGGGATAGTAGACTAAAAGTCCAAACTATAACCTATAATAAGTACCCTGTATCAAGATTGATGCAAAACAAGTGACATGTGACCTTTTTAGAGAGATTTAGAAGAGAAAAAAAAACACTTCTGGGGTCATTTGGGTGCATTTTCCATATCTCCCTCGGTCGATTTTGGTGATTGACACCTCTTTCTGATCGTTAGAGCCAATAGGATCGAGGGGAAGTTCCTAAATCCATCTAAACATTACCCATTGGTGAATGAGTGATGCACAGCCAGAATGCCCAAACCCGGAAGCTCTCATACATCTCTGGTAGCTCTCGTAGCAGCTATTATGAAACTCCGTTATTGACATAAATATGAAGATGGATTATCAGTAATCATTTCAAAGGACACAGACACATTGGATTAGCCTATGGATTAACCTTCAGCAGCGTTTTTATCGTTTTAATGCCATTGAACACAACTTTTGATCAGAGTAACGGCAAAAGGTAAGACATTTCTCCCATGTTTCCTCCGTAAAGCTACGTGGTGTGATGTCTGGGTTTGCTTCCCCTGGCGCGTTTTGATCGCTCAGTGATGATACTTATATTTCTAGAATCTGTGAAATCTCAGCTTGCTAGCTGATATCTTGTTTGTGCAGATCCGATAAGTAATAAGGATATTTTACCTTGAGTTCTGTGCCAAGTGCGTTAGCATATCTTCGCTCAGGGCTAATTCAGAAGCTTGGTATTACCCTTGTGTTTCGTTTAGCTAAAAATGGTTAATATTGTCTGATAGCGGAGTTTCTTCTTCCGATTAAGTGGGTATGACACATTCATAGTTTTTAAATGTTAAGAAGCCCTCAGACGCTGTTTCTTGCAAGATGTTGCGTTTTGCCCCCGTTTTATCAGACTACCTTAATATCAGTTTTATTGTTGTTCATATTCAAGGTCAGATTGTTGTTACTTCAAATTGGACCAATATAAAGTCCTCACAGTTCTACTTTAGGCTTAGCAGAGTCCCTATAAAACCAATGTACAGTGTATATTGTTATGGTGGTATTATGGGACCCCCATCTCTCTGCATGAGCAAAGGACTCAAACAGACATTTTTCGTGATTGTTTTTAATCTTTCTGAAGACTTTCTTTCGTCTCTTCCTCAGACTATTGCGTCTTATTGTGGTCGTTTTGCATGTCTTTGTTGTTATATTTCTAGTTATTTTGTGTCTCCCTATGCCTGTTCTGTCTCAGTTAGGTATTCCTCACAGGAAATGTATTTAACTTACAACAGAGGCTCGAGCCAACCTGCTTGGCCCTTTCTCATTGTAGTAATAAGATATTGTATGAGCAATCTAAACCGTTAGATGGACTTCAAATGCGAGTTTAATGATCTTGCCAAGAGGTTTTTTTGGTCAACACAGCTTGGACTTAAAGACATAAAATACCTAGTGCATATGTTAGGTAAGTACAGCAACGAATGTTACATGTCAAGCACTTTCCTTCACATTTAAGTTAGTTACTTTTTCGTGAACAAAGATTAATTGATTCAGTTTATTTATAGAGCGCTTTCAAGAGACTCAAATACACGTCTACATTAAAATGTTGACATAATTAGATAACTTGATGCACAAAAAAAGTTTTTTAACAAGGGTGTAATTATTTTTTAGAAAATATGCTCAACCAACCGTCGAATTGGCCTTTTATGGTAAACTAGCATATGACTTTTTTCAGAGTTTCAGAGATGTTTTTCAATAAAATATGGTAAATACATAGCTAGATTCATGGTAATTTACTAATCTAGTACTGCCTTATGAGTCCAGAGTGAAAGAGTGATAATAATTTATATAGCACCTTTCATGCATGGCATTCAGCCCAAAGTTGCACACAGATGAGCAAATTAGGCGTTGGCCTAGGATATAGACATTTGCTGTTAGGCCAGTGGTTTCCTGTTAGGCCAATTCAGCATATACAGTAAGATGAGCAGGTATGTTTTTTTTATGAGAAACACTTTACATTACTTTTTAATAATAATTTATTATCTTTTATGAATATATCTGGTTGTATATATTTCTCATTTTCCATAAAAGAAACAAATGTATTTGAGTTGTGTTTTATTTGAGTTTTGCATACTGTACTGTATATGATTGTTGAAAATGCACTTTTACCATAGAAGGCCAACTCGACCAGTTGGTAGAGGTTCATAAAAACAAAACTGTGTGGTCAGTCAAAAAAAAGTGTGTTTGTGGTTATTTGTGGACCAGTTGATAAAAAAAATGCAAACATAATTTTTCCATAGGCTTTTTTCTTGGTCTGGCAGTTAAAGGGTTAAACGGCATCATTGAAGTTGCGCTGACAGGCAACAGAGGTCCGTGTCCCGCAGCGGCGGCGAGGCTCCCCCCCTGTTGACAGTTCACTAGCAACCCCCCCCCTCTATTGACAGTTCACTAGCAACTCACTAACCCCTCGTCCTTATTCCACCTAGCTTAGCACTTTATACTTTTGTTGTTATTTTTGTTTTACTTGCTTGTAAGCGCTTTGAGCACCAGGAAAGCGCTTTATAAATGTAATGTATTATTATTATTATTAATCCATTGTAAACAAAGTCATTAAAAAACACACACGTTATATATATATATATATATGTAGTTTACAACTCAGAAGTGTAAAAAAAAAAGAGAGGCTTGTGTGAACACTGTTCTAAACATATCGTGAACTCTCATTTGGTTTGACCTAAAATCGCGCTAGCTTGGTGCTAATGCTACATGGTTAGGTCCTTCCTCTACGTCCGTTTACACTGAACCTACCGTCGTCGTAGTCCAGAATATTCGGTGGAGGCATGTCCATTATCTGCTTCAAAACCACGGGGAATGAACTCGTTGTCCCCGAAGCTGTTTCCAGCGTGATAATGATCGGTTCGCCTGACATGTTTGCCCCCTTGTTGTTAACGTTATCTACGGAGTAACTGACAAAAACGGCTCGGCGGTTAAATCCCGTTAGCTCGATAACGCTAGCTCCACATCCGGTTTAACAGCTGAAAAAAGGGTCTCTTTAATGTGTTATAATCCCGAAAATCGACGGTAAATGTGGAAAGTCAAAACATCCCGTCTGCAGTGGAACACTCAGAAAATCAGACCCTGAGAAACCGGTTATCGCCTCTCGTCGTTAAAAGGTATCCGCCTACTAGTGTTGTTGACTGGCCATCCGGTTATTTTCTTCATGAATATTAATGAGAGTGGGCGGGAGTTATAGTAAAGAGCCAATGGAAGTTGTCACATGGCAGCTGGCTGAGATCTCATTGGTTGAGTTATATACTTTCCCACAGACTAACATTAAAATAAAACGTGACCAAAGCTATAACGTTGATGTAATCAACCTCCAGCGGATTCAATAAGGTAATGCATTGATCCTTGTCAATGTCAACCACTTAATTTTGATCTACCACAGATGTGGGAGAAGTACTCAGACATTAACTTTAGTAAAGAAGCAACATCCACTTGTAAAACATACTCTTATACAAGTACAAGTCCTGTAAAGCAGTAACCTTGAACTGAGGCAACTTTCAGGGATGGGATTAGTTAGGAGTATTAATGTCAGCAGTGTATTCATCTTCAGAAATATATAACACCTGTTTCTTTGTGTATCCTCCATTTCTCTTTCACACTTTAAGCAAGATATGCAACATAAAGATAATGTATGTGCTTATTGTTACTCATCTCCGCTCACATGCACAAACATGTGCAGCTGGCACACTTGTACAGGGCCTCCCTACACGCAGATCACGCAGACTGCGTTAAGGAATAGTGTATAGGAGAATTCAAAAGGATTTAGGAGAGAGACTGCGGTGCTTTGAGAATCCGACTGCACTTTCACTATCCGACGTGTTTATGATGCGCCAGCGGACGTCATGAATGTTCATCTGCTGTGCTGTGGGGAAACTACATGGGAAACTACAGTTTTCTACGGAGCCCCCTAGGGGGACATGGAGAAGGAAAAAAAAAGAAAAAAAATGTTTTGCGAGATCTCGCAAAAGTATTGCGAGATCTCGCAAAACGTTTCATTTAGCTCAATGTACTTCCTGGTCAGTTCGGCAACAGAGTGAGTGCTTAGGGACCGTCTACAAACTGCAACGCCGAAAACATATATACTCATAGAAGAAAAAGCATATTTATTCAAAATACGTATTATACTGTAACAAACAACATAACCATTGATGTGTTAAGAGATTTTGGTAGCACTGCATCTTAAAAAATGAAGTTATTGCATTTTTCTATGAGTATATTATGTTTTCGCCGTTGCAGTTTGTAGACTGTCCCTAAGCACTCTCCCTCCTCCAGCTGCAGATTGTGACCAATCTTGATGTTTAGCTCGGATAACGGCGCGTATCGAACTGTTCTGATAAAAACGACTCTGTAGCTCGTTGTTTACCTTGCTATGATTGTAAAGTCATGTTTGTATTTTTTACAACGTTATGTTCATGAGTTATTGATCCGCGAAATTCGAATCTGTCAATAACTCAGCTCAGAGTATGCCTTTGCGACGTGCGAGTGTTCTCTTGAGGTGTCTTTCACTTATGTGAAACCTGGGCCCTATTGCCAAGCACTGATGTTATATCTTTATATTTAAGGCCAAGCAGGGGCGGAATCTAGACAAATATCCATTGGGGTGGCAGGAGATTTTGAGGGGTGGCATCCCCTGGCAGAAGTATGCTGATTTAATCACAGTCATATCAATCAATGTTAACTTGGAAAGCCACAATATTAATATTTTAACTCAATAACATAGGTGACATTATTGTGGCTCATCAGTAAACGCCTTACATATAAATATATAAGGTGGCAGACATAATTTAATGGAATTTTAACTGAACAATAACTGAATGAGTTTGTTTCACTCTTCGACCAGCAGGGGTACCAAATCTATGAAGACTGCTGCAATAAGTACATTAATTAACTGTCTCATCGATGTTTGTCTGAATGAATATGATACTTATCAACAATCATATTATTCCTATCAGCTGTCACATCACTTTTATGATTCACATATTCATTTATTATTGAATAAACTATATTTTTTGGAGGAGTTAATGATGAATGTTCCTCAAGATGCTTGCTCACCCTCCTTCAAATTTGAAAGACAAGTAATTATATCATGTATCAAAATTCAAAAGATTCAAACGAACAGTTCAGCGCCCCACGACTTTACATCAGAAAGAAACAAACATTAACGAAGTGACTAACTGCATCAGTTAGGGTTAAAAAACGTGTATTCACGCTAAAACATATACATCGCTGCAGTAAGTTATTATCCAGTGGAAATTCCTTACCTACTGGCCTAGTTAAATCAAGTGGTTACTTTTTTTTGGCTGGGGGCAGGGTAGTTTTACACACCGTCTTATTTGACTTTCTCAGGACTTGAAACCCCATGCCACCCCGGTAGATCCGCCCCTGAGGCCAAGCTCAAAGTAAAATCGATGAACCGCTCCATTGTTTGTGGTTTCTGTGTTGCCGAACTGACCAGAGGCCTGTACTACGAAGCCGGATTTTCGTTTTAGCGAGCTAACTCAGGGAAAACTCTGGTTTGGGCTAGATCTCCATGGTAACTTATGCTGAACGGCCAGCCTGGGGGGTATACTACGAATCAAGATTTTCGTTTAGCGAGCTAACTTCAGGGGGTTTCTGGTCCTACGAAGCTGGTTCACTTTTTAGCAGGCTAGATAACTTATTCTGAACGGCTAGCCTCCGGAGCAGGATAGGTTCCAGGATAAAAGCACTGCCTGCTGACCAATCAGAGCTCAGTGTGCGGAGTTTAAAGCGATCAATTCCATATGACAGGAGGGAGAAAGGAAATACAGTTTAAAACTGCCGTTGCAGGAAAGATGGCCAGCCAAAATCACCGACTGTGTGAACGTGAAATGAATAGAATATCACTCCACATCTTCAGAGCAATCTGACTATTATAACATTAGCGTTAAGAAAGCTTACTTAAATATCTGCCACAACATAAGTAACCGGATCAAAGTAAACATTACGTAGCCTACAGTCCGCGGCACTGTGAGTGCAGACGTACCCCATTATCATTCACATCACATCATATACATCATAATGTATCATATATTTCCTTATCTGAGTCAGCTTCTTGAGCCGTATCTGGCCGTGCAACACTCACAGTTGTCACATACTGTATGCAGAAGTATTATTTTAAGCAACACATTAAGTTGACGAAACACTCGAGTCAAATGTAATTAAAGTCAGATCCACTCGTCTCGGGGCAGCAGTGATATCATAAAACTGTTAATGAACGTATTCAAACACTTTTTCTTTTACCAGCAGTATTCACCTTGCAGGTGCAGCTATGTGGCTTTTATCCTGGACTAAAGTGTTTTAAGTCATGGATGTTTAAGGTTTAACGTCTTCATATTTGTCTAATATTAGTTGACTTTTCATTCAGGAACTATATGACGCGCTGCGCTGTCAGTACACGGCTTGTCCATGTTGTGTGATTGGGTCGAACACTCCAAATAACCACCCCTTTTATGTGAACGCGCACTAACTAGATAGGACACACGGCTGGCTTGAGCGATCGAGTTGATAGCCAGCGTCGTAGGACCGTTTAGCGAGAGCGTTTTTTTTTGTTTGGATTTAGTCAATCCGGATAACTCAAAAACATATCCAGGATATGTTGAACTAGTTTCGTAGTATACCCCCCTGCGTCCGGAGCAGGTTAGGTTGCAGGATAAGAGATCAACTCAGTGAAAGCACTTGCCTGCTGACCAATCAGAGCTCCGTGTGCGGAGTTTAAAGCGATCAATTCATATTACAGGAGAAAGGAAATACAGTTTTAAACTGCCGTTGCAGGAAACACGGCCGGCAAAAATCACCAACTGTGAACGTGAACATTTATAGAATATCACCTCCCATCTTCAGAGCAATCTGACTATTCTAACCATTAGCGTTAAGAAAGCTTACTTAAAGGTGGGGTATGTAATTTTGGAAGAAACCAGCTCGAGTGCGCTAGAATTTGAAAATACACAACCGGAGAAAATCTGCCACTTCCCGACAGAGCCCCTCCTCCAACACACCTAACGCCGCACATGACCAATGAGGGCACGAGATCAATCTGTGCACAGATGGAAAGCTGACAGGCAGGTAGGCCATCCAGTTATTTTAGCCGGGCCGGCTAAAATGATTGGTCGTGCTTTTTTACAGTACTACGGCTTCCACAGATTTTAATGTATTTATTGTCAAAGCATTTAATATATTAATTGCTATTCGGGATGTTAAGAGCATTCCATGGAATATAACAAAAGTGTTTCTGAAATAAATTACATACCCCCACCTTTAAAATATCTGCCACAACATAAGTAACTGGATCAAAGTAACATTACGTACAGTCCGCGGCACTGTGAGTGCAGACGTCGATGTGTCCCATTATCATTCATATCACATCATATCCCATCCTTGAAAAACACAATTTCTTGAGTTTTGACAATTTTAAGTCTTTTAAAAGTATGTGTTTTATTTATAAATGTTTACATGGACTGGCCCCCCCCTCCCTTAGGGGAATTCATCCACAAAAAACACACTGGACGCTGCACTAGGTCAGAAACCAGAGGAGACTGTGAAGTCCACCGTAGACGGACCATGTATATAAATGTCATGTTCTTAAATGTTGTATGTGAGGGACTACGGATGGAAACTAGCTCAAAGCTAAAATCCGGCATGTTTACGTTTTTAAAGCATTATTTGTTTTAAATGTTCATCAATGTGCACTGTCCCTCTTCAAATAAACGATTAAACGAAATGAAAAAATATCACATCATAATGTATCATATTTCCTTATCTGAGTCAGCTTCTTGAGCCGTATCTGGCCGTGCAACACTCACAGTGTCACATACTGTATGCAGAAGTATTATTTTAAGCAACACATTAAGTTGACGAAACACTCGAGTCAAATGTAATTAAAGTCAGATCGTGTCTTAGACAGGGCAGTGATATCATAAACCTGTTAATGTACGCATTCAAACGCTTTTTCTTTTACCAGCTGTATTCACCTTGCAGGTGCAGCTATGTGGCTTTTATCCTGGATAAAGTGTTTAAGTCATGGATGTTTAAAGTTTAACGTCTTCATATTTGTCTAATATTATAGTTGACTTTTCATTCAGGCCCCAATGGCATTGACCGGTTCACACAGTCTTCAAAGTAACCAAGCAACCTTAATTAATTTGTAATTTGTCTGTCCAATGACCCTGCTCCCTTTCATGTCATGTGATACCGTGCGTGACGAGCGAACCGTTTAATCAACCTCAAAAGTTATAGGTACTGTAGCTAGCAGCAGCAAGTTCGGCAGCATTATCAAAAATAGCTTGCATTTATAATGTACAGCAAACCAAAGCACAAGAGCGGCTCTCAAAAGAGAAAGGACAAGAGAGAACAAGGAGATGTAACGGCTAAACTGACAAAATTACACAGTTTTTTTTGTCATACATCGTCCTCCAAATCTCGATTAATTCTGTAAAGTGATTGTGTGATTCGTTTGCTGTGCCGTTGTCAGGCTGTGGTGGTCTGAGGCCAGGGCAGGCTGTTGATAGCCTACATGTGGCGCTTCTGAGTGGTTGTGTGTGTCCGTGTGTGAGCGCATCAGCGTGCACTTATGTTTGGGGCGATGGGGGGGGGGGGCCCAAAACAATATTTGCACCGAGGCCAATCACAACCTTGTTACGCCACTGATTCGACCGCAACCCTCATCTTGCGGAGGGAGCCTCTAACCGCAAATGCAGCGCACGTTTATGCGCTTATGCGGCGCAATTAGTGTAGGCGCGGCACAGTTTCGCCGCTGCGAGTCCATACCATACAGGAACAAACACTGGTTCACACATATGCACAACAACAAGTGTACAATGCCATATATCCTGTCTGGCAAGTTAATACAAAAAAAAGATTGATTGATCTAGAACAAGCTGACAAGCTCTATTTTAAGCGTGACTTTGCACATGACTGTGTTGAAAAGTCCGGATTTCAGTCAACACAATAGGATTCATCCATAAATGCACAAACTTCACTTTTTTTTTTGCCATCTCATGCTGTCTTGTGCTCCAAAGATTCTAAATTCAACTATTGATCCGTGTCAGATTGTATCATGTAGCAATGTGACTCTCACAGTTCGTTGCCTACTTCTCCACAGGCTCTGCAGACAACACCACAATCTAAAAATAGGGGGAAAGGAAGCCACGACTTTAAAGCAACGTTTGGGGACACACACACACACACCACACACACACCACACACACACACACACACACACCCACACACACACACACACACACACACACAACACACACACACACACACACACACACACACACACACACACACACACACACACACACACACACATTATTATGGTGAGTGGGTTAGGTTTTATATACAGTGCACTTTCTCTGCAAGCCCTGAGAAAAGGACATTTTACAAAAGAAGAGTATCAGAAACATAAGAAGCGGCAGGACGTGATATCTTCTCGGAAATTAAAGAACAGATAATAATCAATTTGTTCCTTTGTCATGTCTCCATGCTTTAATGTTCAAAAAGTGGGAGAGAAACTCCCTCTGGAGGGAACACAGGGATTTTAGCCTTTGCAGAACATTCACATGCACAAAAACCTGTATAACACACTACAGGAGAGGGAACACCCGGTAAAAGCAGAATAGGGGCCTGGCCGGTATTTGTTAGATGGTGTAACAGGGGCCAAAGGCAACATCAAACATCTTAAAGTAATATATTTAATGTAATATTAAATAACTCTAATCTGATCCACCAGACACAGCATGTACCAGAGAGGAAAACAGACCCACCTGGTGATTTAATCATGAAACTACAAAGCCCAACAGAGACACAGTCACCACAGTCACACACATCACACACCACCACACCACACACACACACACACACACACACACACCACACCCACACACACACACACACAACACACACACCACACACACACACACACACACACACACACACACACACACACACACACACACACACACTTCAACATATGAATTGCTGTTTTATATATTGTGGTATAATGTGCAAATTTTTTACTTAACCTGTTTTACGATTTCATTCTAAAATACAGAAATACATTTATTTGTAATAAATCGAGCCCAGGAGCCCTGCTGTCAGATGGCAACATTTCCCATTCAGATCACCTGACAGGATTAACGCAACAAGCACGCATTTCTGTGCAGTTGTTTATCTTCATATTTGCTTAAAAACACACGTTTGCATGCACTTTAAATCCGTTTGCAACTTACCCGTTTCTTCAAAGGTCGGTAGAGTGAACGGATGCTCAAGAAAAGCCCTGAACATCTCCGGGATTTCTGTAGACATGTCGTTCTTCTTTAAATTACAACTAAGTCAAGAAATGTTTAAAAGCTGAATCAATGAATCAATTAATAGAAGGAAGTATAAAGAGGCCGACTGTGGCTTACAAGAGCGTCACATTTATGGCTAAAATAAAACTTAAACAGGTCATATGCCTGGACTGTGAACCCAACAGGTTACTTAATTAGCCCGCCCACTCATCTCCCCGCAGCCAATCAGCAGCGGGCTTTCTCTCCTTAGTTTATCCTCAGCCAATCAGCAGTGCGCTTTCTCTAAGCATCAACGGAAAGAGCGCCGATTAGTCACAGTCAGCACATATTTCCATCACAGCGTCGACAGCCAATCATGAGCCGAGCTTGGATTACCTAAGGTTAATAAAAAAAATGGAAAGTGTAGACCCTGAACGTAGCAGTCAGTTACATAAAATTTAAAATAGGAAATACATTAACATATATAAACACCTGTAAATCCTCCCGTATCGTCAAAAAGGAACACTAATAACTATTTGGTGAGTTTTAAAACAATTGTATGCAAAATATCACTAATTGATTATGCATATTTTATTAAAGTCACACTACTTTAGGGAGTTTAAAATCATTGTAAGTCCTCATTAGAGTAGTATTTCCTAAAATATCAACCATTGACTGATATATTACAGGGTGTCCTTTCTATAGTAACATGTGTCCTATTTATATGCATTGGTACCAGATATGTAGTGTGTGTTAAAAGAGAACACCATTTTAAATGTACATACATATTTAAAAGTATGATTCTGAATCATTTTAAAGTAGGATTTTTGCCTTTTTAGCGATGATTTCTGCTGGATCTTTTTGTATGATACAGACTTTAATACACTTGTTCTTTTCATAGCATGCCTTTATGACTGGGAGGCGTGTGGTGTAGTGGGTTGTGCGTTGGTGTTTGGATCAGGGTTCATACAGGTTCAAACCCCACTGCAGTCAGCATGTCGTTGTGTCCCTAGGCAAGACACTTCACCCCAAATGACTCCTGTGGGGATTGCCCACAGTATTGAGTATGTGGATGTGAATTTTACTACATCAATAGGGCTAAGTTGCACATTCTTTTAGATGTAAAAGGACTTTGAGACAGCAAGAAAAAGTCTATGAAACAGAAGACTTGAAAAGCAGGGTGTGCGTTTCGTAAGTTTATTATACGTGAAAGATTTGAGAAAAAAATATCACTAACCTTCAAGTTGCAGTGACGCAGGAAGACCGATCTGCTGTGAAAAACTGTTGAATCCAATCATATTTAGTTGATATCTGATTGCATGCTTGAAGAAATAAAGAGAAAACACTTTTATTTTTCTAAAACAGTCCGTTTATTAAATGCTTTCAAGAGATTGGTTCACTTATGATATCATGAACTTCCAACCAGGGAGGAGAAAAGGGAAAACAAAGTCGATAAAACATAAAAACAAAATGTAAAATACAGTACAAAAAGAGGCCTTTGTTTTTTCCACCTTCTAACAACCCTGGTGTCTTCATCAGAGCGGCTGCAAACAATTCAAATAACCAATAACTCCTAACTGATTGAACACCAACAAATTAGGTTTTCTTTGTGGCTGTGTAGGTGTGTGTTGGTGCTCAAATGACACAAACTGTGGGGAGTGTGTGCGTGTGTAAATAAACACTGTGCTGAAAGGTATGAATAATAAAATGCATTATTTGGTCAAATTTCTAAAATAAATTGTCTGGGTAATTCAACCGTATCAGCTTGTCACATAGAGAGCCTTTTGAAGGGAGATAAGTGTAGTTTAATGATTATATTATAATTTCTAAATGTGTCTTTGGATGTCTCTGCATTGATTGCGAAATGCAGGACCAGTAAGACGTATAACAAACAAAAAAGAAGACTGACAGTGAGACTGACAAAGTAATGACAACTCAAAATAAACTCATTAGACATTCTAGATTAATTCATTAACATGGCAATCAACCATAGTCTGTCATTTGATAAGCCCTCAAGTCAAAACCAAGGAGGTAATGTGTAAAGATTATCACGTGAGATGCATTTTCAGAAACCTTCCTCCCCGTTAGTTTGTGTCATGATTCACCTTTCTTTACCAACACACAGAACAATGCAGGAGAAGATTCACAGTTATTTGTCCTGTGTAAATCATCCGTGTCTTTCTCCAACAACAGAAGATCCCCAAAATCAAATCCAAATTAAAAAAATAAAAGACCAACTTTTTCGGTCGTTTACCAGTCGTTTTCAGACCACGTCAAGATCTGAGCTGCTTTTTGAATATCCTGAAATAATGATTGAAGGGTAAAAGAGCATTCGAGTGTGCGGCACTTCTTTAAAACACTCTTCCACAGCCACAGAAAAATAACATCTCCACCATCTCTTATCTAAATTACCTTATAAGGGCGTCTAAGTATTATAATAGGTATCAGGTATTATATACTGTATATAGTAAGCAGGATTATACAATAGGGGGTATGTATCATCTTATATATCGAATAAGGCGCTATATGGGAATATATATAGGCTACTATGTATGCTTTTGTTTCCATATCCGTCTTTGCCTGGTGAATTTTAAACAAGAACGCACAGCAATGGGCAGTGAGCGAGAAACACGTTATTATATTCTGTAAACATCCTTTTTTTTTATCTCTGGCTAGCGCCCAAATAATCTTAAGGCTTACAATACAGAGCTCAGACAACATTAATATATACTGAGTGAAATGTCCTCACATTTAATCTTTCTGCTCACTGCCTCCCTGCGCATACATATTCACTGTTAATTATTATATTCATACATGGATACATATATAAAGAGAGTTATACATTGCAATTAACATACATATATCAATAGCATATATAGAGAAGAAATAGAAATAGATAGCAATCATTATCGTCATCATATTCATCATAATACTAGGAGTAGTAGTAATACGATGCCTCCAAGAAGCTAATATCAGGGGCTGTTCCAGAGCAGGGCTCGTTACCAACAATTAAACAAAAAACTGCAGTGAAACTGATCTCAGATCTGACGTTTTAGGAGAATAAGATTTTGGGCATTAAGTCAGCTTTTAAGAGTGGGGTATCTAGGACACTGCAGCTTTTAGTGTTGCATGATTCCTTTATTTTGTATTTATCCAGAGAAAATGAAATGTAACACAAATTCTTATGCTAAAACGTATTTTCTTTACTTCACATCTTTCTCCAATTTTAAATAATTTTCATGAAATTGAAGCCATTTGTGGATTTTTTGCGAAATTGAATTGAAAAGCAGATTCTCTTACGTTTAACCTACACTCTCAAATGACGTGCGTCCAGTTGAGCTGCAGAAAACGTGAACAAATAAAAAAACGTAATTTCGTAATTAATTAAACGTAATCTCCGCTTCAACGCCCGTTATCCAAACCCCGTCTGGAACAACCCGCACAGAAGGAAAAGAATGACTAAAATAAAGATAATTATAAAATAAAAGTCACTATAGTCATCTAGTTCAGCGTTACATGTCATATAGCAATACCTCAATAACAAGAAGTTCTTCTATGTAATCAATACAGGTTTCAGGTTATATATTTATTAAGCTTAACCGCTAAGTTATCAATTATTATTAGTAGTATAGCATTAAATATGTATAATATGTGTGTATCTGAATATAGATCCATCATGGCAACCAATAACCTGCCTGTGTGTGAGTGTGTGCGTGAGTGTAAGTGTGTGTGTGTGTGTATGTATGTGTGTGTATATATAGATCCATCATGGCAACCAATATCCTGCCTGTGTGAGTGTGTGTATGCGTGTGTGAATATAGATCCATCATGGCAACCAATATCCTGCCTGCCTGTGAGTGTGAGTGTGTGTGTGTGTGTGTGTGTGTTTATAGGCACATTATGTGGTGAGAATGATTTCCCATGAATAAAAGGTTAATATTAGGAGCTACTTATAGCCATCAGGAACATAACACATGGAAATATGAGGAAAACAGGGTTTCCTTTTGAAGGCTGCAGGGGCATGATTGGTTTTTCGGTGAAATAATGACCCCAATTTAACTGAGAGACCCTTACTCTATTCTTACAATCAACCATCGAAAATATACATTCTTAATATTCCTGCAACTCGTATCCTCTCAGCTATTTAAATTATATTTTTTCCCTTATTTAACTATTACAAACTCGTATTTTTTCATCACATAATTCATCTCACTATTATTCAGTATCATTAGGGTCATTGTTCCTTAATGGGCATCTGCGGTGTGCTTTACGTTAAAGTACATAATAGCTACTATGAGCTATAAGCCATGTGTACTCCAGCCACAGGTGATAACATGTATAGTTTCCACACATTCACTGCTTATGTGTGCGTGTGTTTTATAACATAACTACCTATCAGGAAGCCTTCTTATATCTATATAGGGGCATGTTTTCTGGGGCATTATACTGGCATACATTCCACAAACCACAGCAACAATTTCAATGACTAATTTCCCTAGTTTACATTCATTGCTTTCTACCAATATGGCAGACAATACAACAAGGAAGTACAACTCCCCTTGGAGGAAAAAGACAAATGCGCTCAGTTATTTTGACCCTCTTGTAATGCTCCCGTGAAGGAAGGAAAAGAGGGTTTTGGTTGTGTCCACCGAGACCCTCTTTGAACATCTCTTTATTCTTCTTCAGCGTAATGGGCTTGGCTTTTTTTTGGCACTGCAAAGTTACGATTTTAACTTTTAGCGCTTTTAATTCTGGTTTAAATTAATCACCAAGCTACATTTAAGAGCTGCGACCAGCGCGCCCACCCGATACGTGTTTTTTCAGTGCTGCGAGGATTTTTAAGAAAGAATAAGAAAAGCGGTGTCTGGTGGACACACACATCCCAAAGAGCGCTGCGGATCATGTTTTAGTCAGAGTTGTCTGTGGAGTTTCTGCGGTGTAATCTGCTGAAGGGGAACCTAAAGGATGCCGTGTGTAACTGCAGATATTAAAACACAACGCTGAAGCCGGAGCTTCTCTGTGTGTTAAGCGGTGCCTGTGATTGGTGTGAAGTGTGTGTGTGTGTGTGTGTGTGTGTTTATTGTTGGGGGTGGGGTCAACCATTTTGTGGTGTGTGTCCATCTGTTCTCACACTCGATGTTAGAGGAGGTTTGCAGAAACACTCAGAGGTCGTCGCCATCTGACATCCGCCGGCCGCCCTGAAACAAAACACACATCACATAATAACTGTGGGGGGAAACTTCTGAAGCAATAGGAGTCAGGACTCAAAAGAGAGACACGATGGAGAGCTGGAGCTTTGATGGCAAACACTGATGGGTTTATTTGGAGCTTCGGCCGGAGAATTCACAAGACATGTCACGGGCCACGAGTTGACCACACGGTAGAGATGCCACAATCAACTCTGAAGAACTCTATACCCCAGACCCATGTATTTAGCTAGTTCTGAGAGAAATGGTGATGTCCCTTCCATTGACCTGGGTTCCCTCCAACCGTATGCAAAACCCATGGTCACAAATCTGGGCGTCAAAATCGACAGTGCTTTTAAATTGAATAAACAGATAAACTCTGTGGTTAAGTCCAGTTTTTATCACTTGGGGTTCCTGTCCAAAATTAAACCGGTTTTATCCTTTGCTTAGCGTGTAATTCATGCCTTTGTTTCTACGCGTCTAGATTACTGTAATGCACTTTATGCCAGCCGAAACAAGACCTCGCTGGCACGCCTGCAGCTGGTACAAAACGCTGCGGCTCGGCTGCTTACAGGAACACGCAAAGCATGAGCACATCACACCTATTCTGGCTTCCCTCCACTGGCTTCCTGTCCACTGGCTTCCTGTCCACTGGCTTCCCTCCACTGGCTTCCCTCCACTGGCTTCCCTCCACTGGCTTCCTGTCCATTTTTAGAGTTCATTTAAGATGTTATTGTTTGTTTTTAAATCGCTCAATGGGCTGGCCCCTCAGTACATCTCCGACCTCCTAAAGGTGTACACCTCCTCAAGGGCTTTGAGGTCGGCTGATCAGCTTCTGCTAGTAGTCCCTAAAACAAAGAAAAGACCAGGGGAGACCAGCCCTTTCTCAGCGGTAGCCCCAGGCTCTGGAACGACCTGCCCCCCCCCCCCATGTCAAATTGTCGCCCACCCTTCAAACTTTTAAGTCCCGCCTTGAAGACCCACCTCTTTTTCCCTCGCTTTCGAGTCAGTCTGAGCTGTTCACTCGATTTTTATGCTTTTATTGTCTGACCATAGCCTTTGTGTACCTTTTATCTATTCTTATGAATGCCTTTTATCTTTTCTTATGAATGCCTTTTATCTATTATTGTAATATTATATTTTAATTAAATGTTATGTTTGCTGTGAAGCACTTCGGTAAACCCTCTGTTTTAATATGTGCTATATAAATAAAGTGGATTGGAATTGGATTAGAGTAATCAACATTGTGAATAACAAATAGAATGATAACACCTCTATGAGCTGACGCCATCAGGCAGGAGCAGAGGAGACAAAACACTGAGAGCACAGCAGCCAAGGTTACAGGTGCGTGCGCTCAGTCAGGACATGAAACTGATCAACTGGGTCACAGTTATGGGCCTTGGAAAATGTTTCCACAACAATAACAATAATGCTAACTAAGCAAATGGAGGCACAGCAAGGCAACACATTTCTGAGGTTTTCTGAGATATTTAGGTTTTACAACGACCTGCCTGAGACCAGGATTAAAAGCCCTTTTAAATCACTTTTTAAAAATTCACTTTTTTCTCTGTGTTTTGAGTTTTTTATTGGAAAGTCTGAAACCGTGGTTGAAAGATGCTATACAAATAATGTTTGTTACATGCAAAATTTTGTATTGAGGTTTTCTAATGAAGCTTGAATGTCGTCATATTTGGGAGAAAAAACTCATGTGCTGTTTACACGAGAACGCAAACGGTTGTATCCGCTACTTTTCTCTCGCGTATAGCCCGTTCGTTCACACGAGGCCGTAACGGAAACGCCGGAAACGGACCCCTCAAACGATAACGGGTCCCAGGGTGGATAGATCTGCAAACGGAAACGCTCTGTGGGGTCAAACGGCTCAGTGTGTACGCCCTAATAACGATCATTTTCCTGATAACGATGAAGCCATAGCCCCGCCTCTCTCCACCTCTGCTGCTCACTGCTGTAGCATGGTCAGTAGCTACTACTAGTGCTACAGCTCGACCATGCTACAGATGTTAGTGCAAAATCTACAGCTCCTCTACCACAACCATCAGCAACAAGTGGACATGGAGAACTACATGAACTAAATGTTGCCAAATCCACCGCGGGGCATAAACAGAAGGGTAACCATGACAACCATGCGGGGGTCTTCTTCGCTGCTTTTGGTGTATTTTGTGGTGGAAGTACAGCGCCACTTACAGGCCCGGCATATGTACTACAGCGTCTCCAGTGGGTCGATATTTTGAATTTGGATCGTTTGCGTTTCGAATGCGTTTGCGTGTAAATGGGGTCTAAATCCTCAATATCAAGGTGACAAATTGGGATTTCATTTGTTAGTTGTTCTGTTTTATTGAATCAACTTCCTTCAATTAAAATAATTTGTCCGTGAATTGCCTCCCCTGAGGGTGCATAAAGCAGGAGAGCAAGTAGTTTACTCACTGCAGTGAAAAAATGGTTTGAAACTAATTCTCTTTATGGTTTTAATACCTATCAAACTAGGTGAAGCCTCATGATGTACAGCCATGCAGAAATACAGGGTTGAACCGATGCCAAACACTTCTATAATCAACATCATCAGATTCTCCTCATCCATCGTAGAGGAAAACTAAAGTGCCACAATCACTTGATACTAAAACCCCCTGGAAAGAGGGGACAGCCATTTTAAAATCATGATAATGTTAAACTCACCATGCTTTCCGTGTAATCCGCTGTTATGGTGACCTGCTTGTCCTCTGGGGACGGCGTCACCGTGGAGATGTCGCTGCGCCGGCTCTGATTGGTTAGCTGCAGCCACAGTTCGTACATCTGTTGCATGTCTCTCACTGTGGGAGAAAGAAAGAGAAGATGACCTCAGTGAGATTGAATGTCAAGCAGAACAAACATCAGTGGGAAGTAATTGCGGTAGGCAATCAATTTCCTATATCCTGACTATAGTGGGGTTCAAAGTTATTACAGGAGTAACATGATTCAATCTATATCTGAGCTCTAATGCATTGATTCTGGAAGGTTCCTACAGCTGTTGTTCTTCATGTACGTCCACACGTCCCTCTCCTCCAGACTGTGAGCGAACGAGCAGTTCCCGATGTAGTGGCACTTCTTCTGCTTCATCACGTGCACACACATCTGCACGAGGCAAAGGGAGAGTGTTAGTGACCGCCATCAGTGTTGCAACAGAGTCTTTTGATTGGAGGGATGGTCAAAATCTTACTGTTGGAAAACTAGGGTTGCAATCACTGTAAACAGTAAGAGTTGGATACATTAATTGATCATCAGCAATACAATTACTAACAAAACACTTATATACTAATAAAGGACTGGCTTATCTAAAGCTAGTGAGTAGCACTTGAAATGTTTTGGCTCTATGAAACCTGATGTACTTATTGTTAGGGAATCATTTGCCCTGCATGTCCTCCTTCCGCCCCTCTGACGCACGCTGACCAACCTTGAGCAGCCGTTATCTCCCATAAGGAGGGGCTGGCCCTAGCATATTGTTGTTGTTGTCAGTTTGTGACCGGGGCAACTCTCGGTCAGAGATAGTTATTGTTGTGGGACACCTGGAACACATCCTTCTCGGGGGTGTAGATGACCTCGAGCCATAAGCGACAACAAATGTGATTCAGGGTCCTCAGCTGTTTAGTCTATCTATTGAAGAATGTTGATATTACACTCTGAACTAGTTCAAACACCTCGAGCTACAGGAGGGGTCTTCAGAATTGATTGTGGCATCTCTACCGTGTGGTCAACTCGTGGCCCGTGACATGTCTTGTGAATTCTCCGGCCGAAGCCCAAATAAACCGTCAGTGTTTGCCATCAAAGCTCCAGCTCTCCTCGTGTCTCTCTCTGAGTCCTGACTCCCATTGCTACAGAAGTTTCCCCCACACTTATATGATTCTGTTTTTCTTCAAGTGTGTATCTTCTTGGTCGAATGCACTTATTGTAAGTCGCTTTAGATAAAAGCGACAGCTAAATGTAATGTAATGTCATTTTAAAACACATACAGTCATGCTTATTAAGGAGTTGAATTGCTGTGTTATATGACACAGTTGACAGTGTCAACATGAAAACACACTGGCAGCACAATGATAATAAGACTCAGGGGTAAAGACATTTACAACAACACCTGTCCCCCAGAGCCAAGGCTGTACTGAGCAGGAGAAAGCTGGAGAGGGACAGAAATAATTTAAAAACTCACGTCGTATTGCTGAGGATAGGTGCGGGAGAAAGGCAGCGGCCGAACGACGACCCACTTCTTCTTCTCAAAGGATTTCACCAGCAGGACTCGACGCCTCCTTCGTCCAGCTGAAGGAGACAGAGATCCAATTAAATAAGGGAGCAAGCATTAAGCCTTAAAAAGAGCAACAACAACAACAGCAGTTAAAGATTTTTCAAGACAACAATATTTGCCTATATTAAAGTCTGCCATGATAAGATTTTAGATTTATTTCAAACTAAGGGGCAACAGATTGATATCTACATTTTGTTTTACCAGCAGTATTTCCCCTTGAGGTTCAGATTCTCTTTGTCTACGAGATGAAACGATATCATGTGACTTAACACATTTGTCGTGTCTGTGTGTGTGTATATATGTGTGTGTTGTGTGTGTGTGTGTGTGTGTGTGTGTGTGTGTGTGTATATATATATATGTGTGTGTGTGTGTGTGTGTGTGTGTGTATGTGTCTGTGTGTGTATGTGTGTGTGTTTGTCTGTGTCTGTATGTATGTGTGTATGTCTGTGTCTGTATGTGTGTGTGTGTGTGTGTGTCTGTGTCTGTATGTATGTGTGTGTGTGTGTGTTTGTCTGTGTCTGTATGTATATGTGTGTGTGTGTATGTATGCGTGTGTGTGTATGCGTGTGTGTGTATGTGCGTGCTCTCGTGTGTGTGTGTGCATGTATGCGTGTGTGTATGCGTATGTATGTGTGTGTGTGTGTGTGTGTATGTATGCGTGTGTGTATGCGTATGTGTGTGCGCGCGTGTGTGTGTGTATGTATGCGTGTGTGTATGCGTATGTGTGTGCGCGCGTGCGTGCGTGCGTGTGTGTGTGTGTGTGTATGCGTGTGTGTGTATGCGTATGTGCGCGTGCGTGTGTATGTGCGCGTGCGTGTGTGTGTGTGCGTGCGTGCGTGTTCCTCCTCACCTGTGCCGGGATTTAGCAGTGCAGTATTTGAGGTTCTTGTCTGGCTCGTTGACCTGTCCCTCCCTCCAGCACTGTCCGCACACAAACTTCATTTTCAGGTTCAGGGGTCGCCCTCTCCCCCCTCCGGCTCCCAACCCTCCCACCCCTAACCCCACCACAGGACCCACACCCCCCCCACCCATACCATCCCCTCCACCTCCCATTCCCCCCAGGCCTCCTGCAGGCATGCTGCTGCTCGGATGGGAGATGTGGATGGGCTGAAACACAGGGAGAGAGAAATGAGTATTGATTATATTGATAAAACAAACTGAGACATTTTAGCTACTTGAACACATCTCTCGATCATTTTCAAGGAGTTCTTTCAAAGTTGGGGTATCGTGACAACAATAAGAGGAACTGCTATACGATACGATAATAGAGTGCCACAGTGACGCATCGTAAAACCCGGAAGTAAGTTAGCATTTTACCACTTCCGGTTCCTTCGCCAAAAACCAATGCAATTTCTCCATAGGGTTTTGGAAAATATCTGGAAATAAGGTCTGTGGTTGAGACACATTGAAGAGACGGGTCATGTTTTGTTCTACGACATTAAATACATCAGCAGTGACCCCACTGGTGATTTTGAAGAGTTCACGTGTCTGAAAAACGATGGTTGTTACCAAGTGGCTGAATAGGACTACAGGAAGTTGTCGAGGCCCGTTGTACGTCATTATACGCCGAACACCGTAAACACTCCTCTAAGTTTGTTTGCCCTGTTCTGCTTGAAAGCAAGGACCTGCCTCCTGCAAACTGTTCAAACCGCTTCAAACTTGTACCATTTTGAATCTGTATGTTTGAATATGGATCTTAAGTTGGCGTGACGTTGAAGCAGCGACCCGGCTGTAGTTCCTTTATAGCATAACGTTAGCATTTTGCTTCTAGCGACTAGATTTATGATTAGAAAATTATAAAAGTAGGGTAGACATGTGGAGATTATCCGGCTGAACAAAACGTGATCCGTCTCTTAAATGTGTCTCAACCACAGACCTTCTCGAGCTATTTTCCAAAATCCTATGGAGAAATTGCATTGGCTTTTTGGAGGAACCGGAAGGAGTTTACTTCTGGGTTTTATGACGCGTCACTGTGGCACTCTGTACTTGAATGGTCAGATCAAGTCCTGAAATCTGACTTGCAATCGCAGCAGCTACATGTGTAACATCAACAGACAAATATCAAGACACAATACATACAAACATTTAACATAACAAAACATGCTCAAAGAGCCTTCAGCGTGCATTTGGATCTGGATTCAGTGTGTCTGTATTTACTGTGAGGATTGACTGGAGCACCAAGGATGCTTCAGTCTGACTTTATTGAATCGCGGGGACCCTGTTTTCTCTGATTAGATGGTAGCAGTTCATACTCGTTGTTCAAAACATGGTTTGGGTCCGAGATGATGTTGTTTGGACAGCCTCACTAGACACTATACTACATTTGTGAGAAAGATTTAGAGATCAAACTATCTCAGTGCGGTTTCCTGTCTCACCTTCTGCTGCTTCTGTGCGTTCTGCTCCAGCCGCTGCCAGTGTCTCTTGGACTCCTGCACCATCTCTTCATGTGTGATACCTGAAGCAACAAATATTAGAAGCAGGTTATTAAAAAATCCCTTTCTTGCTTTACTAGATACTATGTGTGCTGTTCATAATCAAATGCATCATACATTTGGGAATGCATAACTTCAGGAATATGGCAGACCTGTTATTAATCACCATTATGTACTGGATTATTACAGAGAAGCACAAGTTATGTAAATGTCTGTCTAGGGGTCTCTCTAATTTAAAGGGGACCTATCATGCAAAATGCACTTTTGTACGTCTTTTCTACATGAATATGTGTCCCCGGTGTTCCAGGGAACTCACCAAGTGTCAGAAAACACAACCCTCTCTATTTTCCTCCATACCCAAATCTCTAAAAAGGGGCTGCAAACGGATCTGATAAAAACTGATCCAGATTTGAACACTGTCCTGACGTAAGGACGGTGGCGCTACGGCTATTGGGCCAACTCCACCAATCAGGAGGAGAACAGCCACGGCCATTGCCGTTCGAAGCGCTGGAGACGCTGTAGTACATATGCCAGGCCTGTAGATGGTGCTGTTCTCACAGAATCAGCCCTTGCTAAAACAGAGCTAAAAAATGTCAAATTGAGCAAAATGAGGCATGGCTAAAATGCATGATCTGTTTGGTATTTTGAAAAAAACAAAAAGTATAAATATGCCTTATATAGGTATGGTCCTACACTATATTATTAAAATATAGCATGATAGGTCCACTTTAAAACAAAAAGTAAAAGACAGATATTGGTGGTGCAGCTTTGAATCATTGGAGTTGTTGTTTCACCACCACTGCCATCAGTGCAGTCAAAGGTACGTTTATTCTTTTTCATTCAAGATGGGTCAGAATGATTCCGCAGACGTCTCCTCTCAAAAACAAATGGCACAAAGCGAATAAACGGGGGAAAAAATGATGAATGAAGGAAAGAAAATCTAAAAGCTTCTATCAGACAACCACAACGCTGACACATGCACACGGGGGATCTGAAGCCATTACAGGCAACCACAAGAAACAGATCGTTACTTTGATTACAATTAAAAGACCCTCTCCATTTGAAAATTGATCCTTTAAAAAGGTAGGGTAGGTAAGAATGGAGAAACCAGCTCGAGTGCGCTAGAATTTGAAAGTACGCAGCCGAAAAATATCTGCCCCCTCCTTCAGACTTCCTTACAGAGCCCCTCCTCCAACACACACGAACGCACACATGACCAATGAGGGCACGAGATAAGTTTGTGCACAGATGGAAGGCTGACAGGCAGGTAGGCCATCCAGTTATTTTAGCCGGGCCGGCTAAAATGATTGGTCGTGCTTTTTACAGCGCTACGGCTTCCACAGATTACATTTTTTAATGTATTTATTGTCAAAGCATTTCATGTATTCATTGCTATCAGGATGTTAAGAGCATTCCATGGAATATAACTAAATAAAGAACGTTTTTGTAAATGAAATATGGTTTTTTTAAATGATTTCCAGTTGGAAAGAGAACCGATGCGTGTGTTCCACCCACCGGTGTCCTGCTGCAGGACCCAGCATTTGAGCTCGATGACGGAGTGAGCGAAGGAGCAGCTGTCCTCGCGCTGGCAGCCGTATCGAACCTCGTGGCGACAAACATCGAACTGACAGAGCGGGTGCAGCGGACGCACCTTACTGTAGCGCACGTTGGCCGACCTCACCACGTGCACCAGGCACCTGCAGAGGATAGAGAAACACAGTTATAGAAATGATACAAGCCAACAGACAACATGTATTAAGACTCACTATTTAAAGAAGAGATTGAGGACTTTTTTCCAAACTTCTTTACACTCACTTGTTGTCGTCGAACGGGTGTCGAGCTGTGAGGTTCGAGCAGACTGCTAAGTTTTCTTTGCTGCGCTTACTGATGATGCGAGGCTTACTGTCAAAACATTCCTGTGGAAAGAAGTAAAAGATGCTTACATAAGTTTAGATCAGAATTATATTTTTTATCTCAGGGGGGAAATTGGATTGTGTGACAGCTCCATTTTAGAAAATAACGTTGTGTCACGTGACTTGAATTTTTAATTGAGCCGTCCCTTATAGATACTATCTCTTTACGTATTATGGCGCGTTTCCACTACAGCGCGGAGCACGGTTTAAGAGGGCTGTGACGTCAGCGGCCCGTCTTTGGTTGCGTTTCCACTTGGCCTAGTACCGGCCGGCGGGTCCTAATTCACAGTTTTTCTGGCCTCATAAAATCGTGGTTCTAGGGCCAAGAGACAACGAGGCTGAGTCGGGCTGAGTATGCTAAACTAGAGAGAGAATCGCTGGCAAGGGGGGCTACAACTACAACAAGATGGACATATTTGACCGTGATTTAATTGTAATACACGTTTCAAAATGATGCCGAAGTAACAACATACTGATACCGGTTAGTAAAAACCATGAATTAATGCTTTGACAAGTCTGCAGACAGACGGCAGGCGAAAAACCTTTTAAAATGCGTGTTTTCTAAATGGAGATTGGCTAAGCTAACGCAGTATATGCTCCGACCCTCCACACTCACAACAACGGCCTATACAGACATAAATAAAGCAGCGACTGTACTCACCATGACACAGGCAGTCTGTGGTTTGTACTTGTTTAACTTTTGTCTAGTTTCTGAACAGATATGAGGAGCTGTGAGCTCTGAGTGCTAACAGCTAACGGCTGTGTTGTTTTTCTGGGGTTCTCATTGAAGATGACATCACGGCTCCGCCTACACTGCGTTACTATAGATACTACCCCAGTTCCTAAACTGTAATGGAATTGCGCCATAAAGTGAGCCAGTCCTAATGAGGCCTAGCCATACCGAGCGAGGCCGTGTAGTGGAAACGCGCCATTAGTGATGGGAATTCCGGCTCTTCTTAGTGAGCCGGATCATTTGGCTCAGCTCACTAAGAAGAGCCGGCTCTTTCGGCTCGTAAACGGCTCTTCATGTTACCACAGTTTACCACGGAGCCTCAGTTTCGCCGCTGTGAGGCTCCGGTGCTCGCAGTTCACGCGCGTGCTCCACTAGCACCCCCCGTCAAGGCTCGCCGGCAGTACACTTTCCGTCACAGGAACACACTTTGCTGGCGGCGAAAAGAATCCCACCAGACTCCTTTGCCCCTCCAACAGAGGGATGTCCTTGTCCTTTTTCCTTTTCGTCATTTCAAGCGATTAAAAACTCACGATCTTATCTCAAATGATAAAAAATGTTGGACGCCCTCGGCTCGAGTTCAGGGCGTTCCGAGCTGAATAAGGGCATCAAATGACGGCAAGACGCCCCCCTGGCGGAAACGCTGCTTCCAACCATCCTTTGTTTTGAGTCTTGTAAATGTTGAATGCGTGTAGAAGGAATATCATATGATTTTGATTATCCACACGAGCAGCATAACATCAAACCAGCAGCAGAAGCCAAACAAGACATCAAAACAAAATCATAACGTGTTGAAAATGTCTGTTTTAAAAGGCGCCTATAGTGGCTTTAAGAAAAATAAGGTAGGAAGCTGCAACCACCTTTATAATGAGAATATAAACACAGGCTGAACCGCTATAAGCACTCATTCCTACCTATGTCGATTACGCTTCTTAACATTCACATGAAATGATATGTAGTCAAATGTAATGAAATGTACTTTTTAAATGTTGGCCATGAGGGTTGTGCAATAGGTCGCCATTGTCAGTATGTGCGTCTGTGTATTGTGTTTGTTCAAACGGTGTATGACTGACGATATGTGTATGTCTCTTAATGTCCACTATGTTTGTATATGTACATGTATGCACTGCAGGACGGAGTCCAGAACAAATTTCCTTACGGGGACAATAAAGTATATCGTATCGTATAGACCGTGGCCTCACCTCACAGAGGAACATGAACATGCCCATGTGCAGCTGCAGCAGTCTGGTGACGCTGAGCGCTCGTCGCTCCGTGCTGCCCAGAGGGTCGAACAGCAGCTCTCGGCTCAGCGCTCCCTTCCTCTCCTGCGTCCAGACGTCGATCTCCTCCTGGCAGTAAGCAAACGTGCAGTTCTCTCCGTACTGGCACTCCTGACGCTCCTGCACCTCTGTGGCAGGAACAAGGTTTGACAGAATATAAACACAATCAATGGTCGTATTTAAACTCCACTTAGCTCTTGGCGCCTGTTAAGGAAATGGTGTGATCAAATGGATTAACATTGGTACTGTAATCAGTTTCTCTTATTGGGTGGTATCCTATGAATGGCATATCCATGTATGTGTGAAAACGGATGCCTTACATGTGTTTGGAAGGGGCTTTATGACACTACAGGAAGAATGGAAGCAATTTGCTCTAGGGGTTATCTGCTTATCCAATGAGTCGTGCCTACTGCCATAGGGCGACCACCTGCCCCAAATGATGTTGTTTGAAATGTAAACAAGCTTTGGTGTCTTCCTATAAGAAGAGTCGGTTACACACAGAACAGGACGCTCTCTTTGGTGGAGACGTCATACTTGCAAGTATTAAAATATCTTTGATACCTTTAATACGAATATTGTGTTACTGTACGTTTGTTATCCAACTGATCATTTTCTCTAGACAGCAGCTGATTTTAAGTAAATGTGTTTGCCAGCTTAATCAAGTACTTAATTAATAAAAATAAACACAGGACGTACCTTTACAGAGTACGAAGGCCCCCAGGAAGTTGTTTCGTGCGGGCCGAGGGCGGATCCTCTTCCAGGTCGGGTCGTCTGTGTTTTTGAGGCGGCAGAGCAGCACGTCCCTCTTGCAGCGATGTGCTGCCTCCGGCTGGTACTTGTAGTCCATAACTCGTGGACCTGCGTGCAAGAGGAAGAAGGAATGTAGATGTATAATGAACCTGTAACCACAATTTTAGGATGAAATGCATTCTGTACATCAGTTCGAGAGGCCATGATGACTTAATATCCCTTAAAGTGTTCGATTAGGGCTGAAACAATTACTTTTATTATCAATTATTTTGCCAATTATTTAGACAGAACCGAAATTAATCTGTTTAAAATAATTGAAAAGGAGAGAAGAAAGACATCTCCATTTTTGAGACTGACATTTTTTTTTATAAACAATTAATAAATTAGCAAAATTGTCTCGGATTAGTTTTCTTTCAATATTAGATTAGATTAGATTACTTTATTGTCATTACAAAATGCAAGCACAGTGTAACGAAATTAAGGAGGGTCTAACCAGAGTGCAAAACAGTCAGTTATATACACAATTATCAGAAGTATACAAAATAAGATACAAAATAAAGGTAAATAGATGGGAAATGTATAAATAAGAATAAATACACAGATAATAATAAATACAGTACTGTATATCCAGCAGTAATGCGTATTAACAGAAACTTAAACCAACCGATTCTGCTGTAACAGGCGTGACAGGCCTGCCGAAACTCGTGTGTGGCAGCCAGAGGATTTCTGGAGAGCAGAGACAGGTTTGTTCCTGCTGGACCGTTCTGCAGAAGAAGACGGGGGGGGGGGACATTAAGCTCAAGGGCCACATCATAGTCAGTCAAATTAAGCTAATTAATCCAAAGTAACACCATTAACAGTTAAAGCTGTTTGTTGCAAATGTGTGTGTGTTACTCACTGCATGTACAGCGCTGTTGTTGCGCACCCCAGGGATGAAGCTGTGACACACTCGTCCCCCTGACGAAAGAACACACCACACACGTCAGACTGCATACTGTAAGGAGGCTGACTCACACTTTCTGCTCAGTCACATTTCAGGTTAAAGCTAACTCCATACTGATCTCTGGTAATTAAAAAAGAGCAAGCTGACATATTGCACTGGGTTAGAAAAGAGTAGATTAATCTTTTTATTATGGCTGTTGTTCCTGATTCCTAAAACACAATCTTGTTTTAGAACACAAAATGTCGCTCTTTCTGTCTTACATTTATACATGCTTATCTTTCCTCAATACATTTTTTTATCAACAGTTTTGCGTACAAAGCTAAACATCCATGTACATTTGAGAGGAACATCTGAGTGATGGTGCAAGATACTACAGTACTTAAAAAAATGGTCTAATCTTCAAAATCATTTGAGGGTCACTCGCAATGTAAATGTATCTCTGTTGCTCCAATGTATTTACTGTTGGTGAGTGAACCACCATGCTAACCATGCCATGTTTAATATACTTTTATAATACAGAATTTCAATCACAAACTGGAACGATTTGTGTCATGATGGAGAAAGTGAAAGTGGACTGATTTAGGCCAGCCAGATTTTATTTGTACAAACGTATGATTTTACTGTGAAGACCTGATCTCTCCCTAATGTTCGTACTTTTTACTGTTTTCATTTTATCTTTGTATAAAAACAGAAAAAGGCATTTCGGAAAAAACAAACGTAAGATGTACAATTATTATGTCTTGAAAAAACACTGTAATTGTTTGCTGCCAAATGTCACTAAAAAATATATTACAAAAAAAATCAAATACAGAATTTCTTATGAAAGAAGTGGAATAAATGATCTCCCAGTCAACCTGTTCAGCCAACATGCCAACACAACCAAGTGCAAGACTGCAGTTCATTTTGACTCACCAGGGAGAGTGTACTCAGACAGCGAGTCCAGCCCGCCCGCGGAGACTCCCACGTTCCCGTCAGCGTCCGTCTCGCCCGTGGGGAAGCTCCCCAGAGCGTCCTGCGCCTGGGTGGAGCCCTGGTCCCGCTGGGCCAGCTGCGTGAAGGGCTCCAGGGGCGTCGTCTCACTGAGGGAGGAGCTGAAGAAGGCTGAGGGGAGCGGGGGGGGACGGGGCCGGGAGGCTCGGGGAGTACGGAGGCCGGAGACCCGTTGCCGTGTTGGGGAGGTTAGTGGGGATCGCACCCTGGACCGGACTCTGGAGCAGGAGAAATACAGGCAGGCTTTACTTTAGGTAAAAGACTTTCATTTGAAGTTAGAAAAAAGGAAATATACCGGTTCCATCCTGAAATATCAGAATCAGAATACCTTTATTAGTCCCACAGAGGGGACATTTACATTGTTACAGCAGAAAAGAGCCAAAGACAGCTTACCTAAGAAGCGTGCATAAAAATATTAAAGAAACAAAATAATAATAATAATAATAATAATAATAATAATAATAATAATAATAATAATAATAATAATAATAATAATAATAATAATAATAAGTTAAAAGAATTTAAAAAAATATATAATACAAAAAAAGTTACACAATTTAGAAAAAACACATCCTGTAACAGTTCTGAAGATTTAGCAGCCAGGTATATATTGCACAGTTATTAACGGCATATATATATATATATATATATATATATATATATTGCACATAATCAGTGGTGACTGGTCATTAGGGGGGACAGCCCCACCTAGTGTCAGCAGAAAGTAATTCAAATAAGAATTCCAAAAAAATGCAAAAGAAATACATCTTAAAATATATTTTAAGATCATGTTTAGAAGAATAGAAGAAGAAGAAGAATAGGGAGGGATGAAACCCTCTTTAATGGTCACACATGCAGAGCACACAGCACACACAGTGAAATTTGGCCTCTGCTTTTAACCCATCCTAGTACAAGGAGTCTAGTACTAGGAGCAGTGGGCAGCTATTGTACAGCGCCCGGGGAGCAATGGGAGTGGGGGGGAAGGGGGGTGTCCGGGGTCTTGCTCAAGGGCACCACGGCAGGGCAGGAGGTGAACTGGGACCTCTCCAAGTAGAAGTCCACACTCCATATTTAGGTCTGGTCGGGGACTTGAACCAGCGACCCTACGGCTCCCAGTCCAAGCCCCTACTGACTGAGCCACTGCCGGACATTTAGACATTTAGACATTTAGTCATCTGATTCGTCTGTACATTGCTGTTTTAGTCTGCGTTCTTCCAGTTAGTGTCCACAGTGTGCCTATTGAGCCGTGTTGAGCGATGTGGGGCAAGCCCTGTCTCTGCTATCTAAGTGAATGGGTGCTGTAAAAACGATACTGCACATGCTCAGAGTATTTACAGAGTATAGTAAAAATATTTCTGTCTCCTCAGTGGTTAACGCTCATCGCTCCTTCACTCACCTCACTCACTTTCTTTGGGATGCACTCCAGCAGACTGTCGAGCTCGTCCTTGATGACGCTGCACTCGTCCATGCGCTCCGACACGGGCACAGAGTAGGGCATGGGGGGCAGGCCCTGGCTGCTGGGGCTCTCTGACATCTCAGAGCAGGGCGTCCCCTCGGGGCTCGACGGGTCATCGCTGACCGGGATGGGAGTGGCCAGAGGAGCGGGGATGCACTGCGCGTTAGACATGTCCCCTGAGGAGGAAGAACAGATGAGGAAATTAAAATGGGTGTGTTTAATAGATTCAAGATTTAAGACTCAAAGGTTTTATTGTCATATGCACAAAGCTACAGTGTAGAGATGGCAATGAAAATCTTCTGACCTGAGCTCCTCCAACAATGTTTGTCTTACCTGATTCCATGTCACCCAGAGATTCCAGCCCATTGGAGGACATCTGAGGAAAACAATCACAGACATGATTAGCTTCTCATTCGGTCACCATATTCTGAGTATGTTTCTTCACAACAGCACCCACCTCTCCTGTGGGCGGGTTAGACTCCCCGTGATTCTCCCCGTCTGTGGCCGTGGACTCCGCCTGAGGGCTGACGTAAGCTTTACGACCCTTCAGGCCCAGCTTGGTGGCCAGATCCTGAGCCAGGTCGCTCACCTGTCTGTCCTGGAGGAGGAATCACAACGAAAGGCCCCACTTAGCAAGAACAAGTTGTATTCACTTTGAAGTTAAAATACAATGAGAAACAAAATGATAAAAGCTGACTCAAAACATCACATACACTCCCTATTCTATTCCAAATCTGCATTTACTAAAGCTGCTACATTACAGTAAAGGGGTGTTCTTTCTAATTAAATATCATCACTGCTTATAAAGTGCAAACTACATATCATATTCTATTTACATGGTTATAGACTTTTTGCACTACTTTTTATTTTATTATATATATATGTTGGATTTTTGGAGGAGCTCAGGTCATAAGATTTTCATTGCCATTTCTACACTGTAACTTTGTGCATATGACGATAAGACCTTTGACCCTTGAATCACAATATTGAGTGTGGATTGCTGCTCCTTCATTGTACGTTTTTACTGTTGTTTGATTTGCCTACATGCTGTAGAAAAAGCCCATTTCAACAGCAATGTCAAAGAGATAACAAACGTCTAAAGTTCAAATGATTCAAATATTTTCAGTGCTGACGACATACGTGCGGTGCTGTGAGGAGACATTTGGTTCCGCACTCGTAGGCCTCTCGGATTCGTCCCAATTCCCTCAGACAGATCGCCTTTCGGTACAAAGCCCTGCGACTGCCTTCTGACACACACAGTGCACTGTCACAGTCCTGGACCCCGCGCTCATACTCCCTCTGAAACACAGAGATTATTCAAATGTTCTTATTCCATATGAGCATTTGCAAGTGACATATCCCATCTTTTCACTTGTCCCTCACCGTCTGGTAGCAGGCAGCAGCCCTGTTGACGTACAGGCTCTCCAGCAGCTCGTTGGGGATGACGAGGGCCTCAGCCTGAGCGTAGCGGGCGACACTGATCCCCTCACCGTACTGCTGGGCCGCCTGACGACTGTCCCCATCTCGAAAGCAACAATTGCCCTCGTCCAGCAAGTTACACACCAACTGGGCCATAAATGCCTGAAAGGAATATGTAGGTTATAGGTGAGGAATCAAAAAAAGCAACAGGGAAACGCTTATAAAATCACATTTCTGAGCTTAGTTAAATGATAGCCATGGGGAGAACTGTGAAAAAGTATTATAGGAGCAAGTTGTTGCAAAGAAATGTGATGAAAAGGATCAATGCATACCTCATAACTCTCTGGCTCTGGGAAAGGCAATGATGACCTGTGGACAGATACATAGAAGGATGTCAATGCTTTACATATCCAACGTGTATCATACCCTTAATGGTTGGGTTGTAAAGGAGGCATTAAAAGGTAAACATTGCTTGTGCACTTACTGGATAAAGCTCATGGCTTTCTGAATTTCCTCTCTTCGTTTCTGTCGATCAGGATCCATGGTCTGAGGGTAAAAACAAGGTTAACAATTCCACTTCTTGCAACACATTTGACAGCTACCGTCAATTAATCCACATGACATTACATCAGTACTTTACTTGAGTATTTCAATGTTATGCTACTTTGTACTTCTTCCCCCAAGTCTACTCCAATCCAAATACTAAACCTAGATACTACATCTTTATTAAAACGTATCCTTTTTCCAATTAAAATGATTTATTTTGTCCATGAAAGAAGTAACTCATCACGTGAAGGAAAGTGCATGACATGTCAAATTTTGTGCACAAAGTTGCTCTACTCTTTCCTCCACTCTGGTACTTCTAATGTTACTTAAGTACAAGATATGAGTACTTCTCCCACCTCTGCATTCCATTATATTCTGCAATAATTAAATAACTTTTCAAAACCGGCTATCTAATTAAAGTCGTCCTACATAATCAATCTAAGGCCTGTTACAAAACAAGCTAAGCAATCACCGGACTTGCGTAAACAAACAGCCGAAATTGCTGACGGTGAAGCGGGCCACAGTATCGTTAGCATTAATAACTGACAGATAGTTAGAAAATAATAATGGAGCTTTTTTTTTGAGAGGGACATTAGCTACATAGTTTAACTGTTAGCCAAAACAGTGTCAGGAAAAAAATAACAACATTAGCTGACATTTCACCAATAGCTTATCATGTAAAAACAACTTGCTAGTATTGGGTTGCTGCTATTACTGTTAGCAACGTTAACATGGACTTTGTAAAGTGCCCTTGAGTATTTTGAAAAGCGCTTTATAAATTAAATGCATCATTATTATTATTATTATTGACGCTACCTGGGTTTACCTACACGGCCGTTAGGATTAGCCGGCTAACGCTACTTACTCAATGCTAATCACTGTAGCTTAGCTAACATTAAATAAATGAAGAGTGCTAAATTATGTTAGCTTTGAAAATGATTGATTATGTTCCAAGTTACGTGTGTTGTTATTATCTATATTATTGTTGAGCTGACATATATGGCTACCTTGTTTATAAACCGAGTGCCAACTAGCTAGCATTTAGTTACCTAGTTAAGTACACGCTAACTAGCATGTAGAATGTACTAAATGCTAATCACTGTAGCTTAAATTATGATAGCTTTAAAATGTCCGATTATGTTCCAAGTCATGAGTATTGTTAATATTTACGTTATTGTTGAGTTGACATATAAGGCTACATTGTCTGCTTATAAACTGCAAACTACCTAGCATGTATTAACTTGTACTAGTGCAGCCCAAGCTAACAGCTAAAGCCCTCAGTTAGCATATCAACTCACCGAGAGTTTCCTCACAGCGGGTTTTTAGATCAGAGATAGCTTCACACAGCGCTGGCGATACAGACAGGAGAAACTAGCAGTCAATGTCCAGGCGCATTTCTTAAGGTTTAGTGTCCCTGTCATTAGTTTGTGGAAAAAGCTCGAGTTTCTCTGCGCTGCTGCGGCTGGATCCTAACAGGCTAATAGTGGCTAACTGCTAGCTGTTTCTGTGAGTGCACAGGATCGCAACAAGTTTAAAAAAGAAGGGTGACCGCTAGAGGGCAGCAGCAACACCCGGTTCACTTCTCACTGTATTAACAGAGGTGGGAGAAGTGCTCAGATATTGTACTTTGTAAAAGTTAAAGTAGAAATAGCAGAGTGTAGGAATACTCTGTTACAAGTAAAAGTAAAACAAATTATGATAAAAAATACAATAAAACAATAAAAAAAAAAGAAATATATACAAAATGGACGTGAATTTTTTTTTTTTATTAAAATAAAAAAATCAAAATAATAATGAAATAAATAAAATAATAATATAATGCATAATACAATCATAACAAATACCTTGAAAAAAAAAGATATTTAATATAAAAACAAATGTTTTACTAAATCTAAAACAATAAAGTAATAATAATAATACATTTTATTTGGGGGGCGCCTTTCATAGCACCCAAGGACACCTTACAGGGCATAGGGTAATATAGGGGAAATTAAAACGATGGATTGAAATGTCAGCCGGGGTAAAACAAGACAAACAACAGGAAATGGACTACAAAAGGACACAGAAGGACACAGAAGGACACAAAAAGACACAGGGTACAGTTTACAATGAGAATGCCAGTTTGAACAGGTGGGTTTTGAGTTGGGTGTTGAATGTTGTTATGGAATCAGACTGTCGGATGTGTAGTGGCAGCGAGTTCCAGAGTCTGGGAGCCGAGCAGCTGAAAGCTCGAGCACCCATGGTTTTGAGGCGAGAGCTTGGGATGGTGAGAAGTCCTACGGAGGAAGAGCGGAGGGTGCGAGAGGGGGTGTACTGCTGAAGGAGGTCGGTGATGTAGATGGGGGCTAGGTTGTGGATGAGCAGGAGCTCCAACAAGCTGTTTAGGACAGAGAGTGAATACACATACTATACAGAGATGCTGTATGAGAAACCAATGTGAGTTTGGAAAATTGCACAATATACATTTATTCTAGTATACCTCAACAATGGAATTATGATCAGTTGAAATGGCCATGACATGGGACCTTTAAAGATGTGTGTTCTGTTTTATTCTCTAACTTTTATGTATTTATTTATACATTCATTAAAAAAAATATCCATATTTATTTCCGCATGTAGGCTATTTATTTCTACATTTATTCATTCCTGTATTTATTTATGTATTGCCCTATTTATTCATACTTATGTCATGTTCCGTCCTCAACAACAGCAGGTGGCGGTGCAACGGTTGTACCCGACGTGAACAAAATCAACGATGAAGAAATCTGTACGTCATGACGTCACATGGTGAACAAACAACCGGCGCGCTGTACGTAATAGCGGCGTGTGTGTTCCCTGCTGCCTTTCAACTGGAAATCACTTTTTCTGGTAAGTTTCTAAACTTCTATTTGACCTGTATGGCCGATCAAATAGCCATAAGACACCAGTATACACTTTATAAACGCCACAGTGAGAGTCACAGTTGTTTACGTTTGATGTTGGCTTGTTGTGACAACGTTTCCTATGTTGCGCACTTCTACTAGCTAGCACCGGTGAGGCTAAAAAGCTAACTCAGCATGACTGTTGTTGTCAGGAAATGATCTGTTTCTTATCTGTCATATAACAAAACATCTTGAATCAGCTCTTTTATATGTTGAGAAAAATACTTGCCATTTGTATATCAATGGACATACTCTATTGATACATATAGACAGCCACCTTGCACATCTGTAATTGATATCCCATCCTATGTGTTTCTGATCCTGTTTTATAAGTCTATATTTGTGTTGCTGAAGTATTTTCTGTCTTTTATAGACCATTTTGATTCATCGAGAATACTTTATATTGTGTATTCTTGTGATACGTGTCATTTCTATCTATCTATCTATCTATCTATCTATCCATCTATCTATCTATCCATCCATCCATCCCTCTCTCTCTCTCTCTATCTATCTATCTATCTATCCATCCATCCCTCTCTCTCTCTCTCTCTATCTATCTATCTATCCATCCATCCCCCTCTCTCTCTCTCTCCCTCTATCCATCTATCCATCCCCCTCTCTCTCTCCCATCTCTCTCTATCTATCTCTCTCTCTCTCTCTCTCTCTCTCTCTCTCTCTCTCTCTCTCTCTCTCTCTCTCTATCTATCTATCTATCTATCCATCCATCCCCCTCTCTCTCTCTCTCTCTCCCTCTCTCTATCTATCTATCTATCTATTCATCTATCCATCCACCCATCCCCCTCTCTCCCTCTCTCTCTCTCTATCTATCTATCTATCTATCTATATCCTTCAATATCGATATGTATGTACAGTAATCACAGTTTTGTTTACCTCTACTGCTGAGGTAATCCCACATTTGGGTCAATAAGGTATATCTAATGTCTGACTTCTGGATGTCTCCATAGAGTCAACATGGCGTCAGATGACATTGCTCTGCTGGCTGACGCTCTTTCAAAGACCCACGTCGGGGATGGAGAGTTGAGCTTTAAAGGCCTGGGACTGAAGCTGGACGACGCACAATCAGGTCAGATGTTCAGCTTTTCTTTTCTCATTGTATTTCATTTCACAGTTTCCTTTCAGAGGCAGTCCACATTCCCATCCCTCATAATGTGTATATATATACGGCTCCCAGAGCTGAACAAAGTCCTTCCGCTTGCCCTTAGGGATGCATGTCAGTCTTTCTAGACCAACACTACCAGAAAGTTCCTTCAACCAAATCCTCAGTGATGGGGCATCCGTACTTTTCCAACATAAAGCGATAGCCCTCCTACACTGTGCATTGTTGGCACCAGAGGACTGACAGCCTGTTTCTGTGCTCTCTCAGTGGAGGAGCTGGTCCGGGACATCGAGCAGTTTCAGGGTCTGAGAGCTCTGCGTCTGGAGGGAAACACGGTGGGGAGTGGAAGCAGCTCAAGCCATCGCCAAAGCTCTGGAGAACAAAGACCATCTCCAGGTACTCCTGCTTTCATAAACCGCATTTACAGAGAATGCTCCAAACGCAGTACTGATGAACTACATGTAATAAAACGAGTAGTTATACTACACTAAAGTAGCTTGCTGGTAGTTCAACTGCATTCTTAATTGCATAATGATAAGTAGTATTTTTTGCGTGAAGTTAACTACTTATTGATCAAACTGTTTTTAGCCATAACAAATAAGAATGTTTTATTTGTATTAGATGATTGCTTCGTCACTTTAATGAAACCCCCTTTGACCAGACTGTCATTGTTTTTAAGACAACTACATGTTCTTAGTAGCTTTTAACAAAATAAGATTTTTCACTAGGGTAACTATGTTGTAATTCAACTTTTTCTATTGTAAAGTACAGGGGTAGACATTAAGGGTAACATTCCACTGGCCCTCCGGGCCTGTATATTTTCATTATCACTGCCCCCCCCCCCCACCATTGTAACCACTGGCCCAAGAGCATTCGTCCAAAAAATCGACTCTAATAATGAAGAAAATGAACACATTTGTTGCAATAGTAATTTATGCACAAACTACATTACTACTTGTACTACAACATTTTAATCATCAGTTCTTTCTCATTTCCCTCAATTGTTCATATTCGGTTTATTAAAATAATTATATTGTGGTCATTGTTAAAGAAAAAAAAGGAGGGTGACATTTCTGCTATGAGTATTATTATTTGTATAATGCGCTTTCTGCCTTCCTGCCATCAGGAGATAGAAATGTAATAGATTAGATCAGAACCTTCATTCTCCTAAACTGCTGGGACATTTCCCTGAAGCCAATATACCTTTATATTTTCTACTCTTCACTTGCTTGTCAGAATGGGTCGGCATTGATGCACAGAGCCGACAAAAGACCTTGTTTATATCGTCATATTGAAGCCAACTCCATCGATCAAGCTAGCGTGGCTGAAACTTTCTCTCCCTCTTCTTCTCATACTCCCTGTCACTCTCCTTTAACTCCTCCGGTGACTTTCTTTTATTTGAAGATTGTTTTTTGCCCGGCGCTTGGCCAGTTACCGCTGGTATTAAAAACATTTTGGCGAATGGTTAGGTGGTGGGGCGAAAGTCTGTAGTGAAGGCTCCGCAGCAAACAGCTGTTTGCTTTTCATCCAACAATGGCAACCGCCTCACGAAACGCTATGTTGTAGCGTTAAGAAACGAAACAATTTAACAATGTGATTTTATGTCTTACGGACCGTCTACACAGCAGCGTTAAAAAAATCTTGGAGGTGGGCGTATCTGAAGCTTGGGGATTTTTTGCGAACAACCAATCACATGAATCTCCCGCCCGCGACATACGAAGCAAAACAGTTTGAAGTAAACTGGATATAAACTCCCCAAACAGGCGAAAACATACCACTGTCTCTGCCACCTCCCTCCATGCCTGGCTCCTCCGGTTTATATCCCGGTAGGTAAATAGGGACTGGTCATAAAGCACCGGGTGATTCCCTACCGCTAATTTCTCCTCAATTTTTTGGAATATGCGGTATGTCTCTCCCAGCATACACGCCGTTTGATTGGCTTGAGCTTGAACTGTCAGATTTGCGTACACGGGATTTGATTGGCTGACGCTTCCACCTCAGCCTCAAAAGTTGAACATTGTTCAACTTTGACGGACCGTCTACACAGCAGCGTTAAAAAAAATCTTGAAACGCTTCTGCCCATTCACTTTGAATGGGGTGACGTCACTTTCCCTCACTTTTCGCCGAACTGCATTGTGGGCAGGCGAGCGGAGATTTTCAGGATTTTCAGGATTCAAAGTTGAACAATGTTCAACTTTTGAGGCTGAGGTGGAAGCGTCAGCCAATCAAATCCCGTGTACGCAAATCTGACAGTTCAAGCTCTAGCCAATCAAACGGCGTGTATGCTGGGAGAGACATACCGCAGGTCATTTCCTCATATTCCAAAAAATGGAGGAGAAATTAGCGGTAGGAAATCAATCACCCGGTGCTTTATGACCAGACCTACCGGGATATAAACCGGAGGAGCCAGGCATGGAGGGAGGTGGCAGAGACAGTGGTAGGTTTTCGCCTGTTTTGGGGAGTTTATATCCAGTTTACTTCGGGCTTTTTTGCTTCGTATGTCGCGGGCGGGAGATTCATGGGATTGGTTGTTCGTGCCTTGCTCGCAAAAAATCCTCAAGCTTCAGATACGCCCACCTCCAAGATTTTTTTAACGCTGCTGTGTAGACAGTCCGTTAATCCTGAAAATCCTGAAAATCTCCGCTCGCCTGCCCACAATGCAGTTCGGCGAAAAGTGAGGGAAAGTGACGTCACCCCATTCAAAGTGAATGGGCAGAAGCGTTTCAAGATTTTTTTTTAACGCTGCTGTGTAGACGCACCGTTACTGTTTTTTTAATTTATTTTTTTATTTTTTAAACTAATATTTTGAATGGCCCGAGTGGGCAAGTGGAAAGTACGTTATGCTGGCCCGGGGGGTCTAAATAGTGCTTCCGGGCCAGCGGGCCATTTATAATGTGGTACCTGTTGTACCTTGCAAAGCTATGTTTTTGAAGTCACTTTCTCAAAAATGTTGCCTATTATTGTAGCAAAAATAAAATAGTGTTTTCTCTCTTGTTAAAAGCTATTTTATTGTCTTTCAGAGATGCTACTGGAGCGACATGTTCACTGGAAGGTTGCGCTCTGAAATCCCAACAGCTCTGGTGAGACTTTCAGAGACACTGGTGTTTAAAATCCTCTGGGTTTTCAGGATTTGTTTTGTGATGAAGTGTTTGATTCCCACTTGCTCAGAGGTCCCTGGGCAGTGCTCTGATGACTGCAGGAGCCCGGCTGACGGAGCTGGACCTGAGCGATAACGCCTTCGGGCCGGACGGTGTGAAGGGAGTCGAGCAGCTGCTGAAGAGCCCGTCCTGCCACTCTCTGAAGGAGCTGAGGCTCAACAACTGTGGCGTGGGCATCGGAGGAGGAAAGGTGAGATTGTTAAAATCACTCGCACCTCAAAGATGAAACGTAAATTGTCTTTTCCCCAAACAAACTGGAAGAAACAAGTCACCTGATTTATTATAAACCGCTGCGAAATTGTGCAGGTTTATCAACCTCACACTCAGGGACCTTTCACTCCTTGTGACTCGACACAATGTCTGTATTTATTATTCATTACAATTGTGTTTAACGTATATATGAATAAGCCCTGCACCTTATATGTACATGCTCTAAATCTGCACCTTATCCAGAGACATTTATTCATATTTATACATTAATGTGCATTGATCTGATATGTGAAGTTATTGAAACAACATGCACTTTACTACTCTTTGCACTTTCTGGTCGGATGCAAGCTGTTGAACTCTGTGCAATGACTATAAAGTTGAATCCTAACATCACAGTGCATTCTGTAACAGTGCTGTATGTTTGATTAGATCCTGGCTGAAGCTCTGATCGACTGCCACAGGAAGTCCTTGGCTCACGGATCTCCTCTCAGACTGAGAGTGTTCGTCGCAGGGAGGAACCGGCTGGAGAACGAAGGAGCCAGCGCCCTCGCTAAAGCCTTTCAGGTAGAAAATAAACACCCCTTATTGATTGATATTTTTTTAAAGCATTGACTAACACTAGACTATCAAATCAGAGATACTTGTTGATGCTTTTGAAGCCTCAACAGTATCTGTAATCACAGGTGTGTACAATTATTATCAGTTAGGAAAAGCACACATACAATATTTATAGCATGTGTATTGAATGGAAAATGCATTTTGTGTTTTTCTCAACTGAAAATAATTATTCTTACTAACTGCAAATATTCCTGTATATATTATAATGGTACAGTTGACCCCTAAATTATATTATTATTATATAATTAAGCAATAGCTCACGACAGGCCGTGGTATATGGTTATTATATCACAGTTAAGGGGCGTGGTTCGGCCTGACGCGAAGTGTGGCAATATGAAAGAAAAATACACACTGTAATTTAAATAGTTTTTATTAGTAAATAATGATGTTCAAAATAAAATAGTCCCTCCGTTGCCTTCTGCACGAAACAAACGAGGTGGAACACTAACAGCTAGCGAACATATTAGACAGAGAGCGTTGATCCATTATTTGGCTATTTATTTACATTAATGTGTATGTTGCCGTTTATTGTGCAGCCACTGAAAAACTGTCCAGCATCAGTAGAATGGCTTGCGTGGTTACTTGTATAGGCTGAGGTTGTTCTAGGCTGTTGCTTGGCGTGGCGAGAATATTGCTCCACTTTCTCCGGTCCCCGAGATTCGGCTTCCAGTAGCTCTGGAGAGAGCTTTCGCACCTGTGGCCACTAACGGTCATCATTTCTCTGCTTTGTTTCAAGACCCGCATCAGAAAGCTTTTGAATGGTTATACTTTTCCAGTTGGTCTACCTGCTCTTCACGTAGCTCTGCATGTCTTCGTTTAGGTGCTTTTTGTTCTGGAGATAGGCACTCGCACTCCTCAATCCACTCCTCCATAGTAAGGCCAAGTTAAGTAAGGGATAATGTGCAGCGAGGCGGTCATTATGGGTAAAAGAACACCCGACAGGCAGATCAAAAATAGTCCGTTGTTACCGTTTGAACTACGTAGCAACGGCAGGAGCTGCTTCGATAGCGTTTTTGCAGACCTTTTTGATTACAGATTTGAAAACATCGTTGCTTGCTTTAAAAGTAGCACAATTCATTATGTCAAACCTTGGAAAGTATCTAGATATCCCTGCCCTAATGCCAAAGGAACTGGCAACTGAATATGTTTTGCCGTTTGATGTCTATGTCTGGACCGCTGCGTAAAAAGGAGGGTTTCTGCCCCGTTACTTCTCCGCTGTTTTCTTGTTCCAGTTTGGAACATGCAGTTTGCTTTTCAGCCAAACTGTATACAGTTAAATCGACCGGACTTCTTTCTGCAGATGTGAGCGTCCTTAACAATGGTCAATAAGTCCTTGCTGCACATTATCCCTTACATGTTTCCATCTTAAGCTTTGTTAGTTAGTTAGTTTCGTAACGGACGTAATGTAACAGTTGTAACGGTTGTAGCTTTTTCTCAGACGCGGAGGGATACTGACTTGTTGTGAAAAGTAACTACAATTCTACCCGTGGTATACGCTCATTATATCACGGCTAAGAACCAATCAGATTGCTTGATTTGACTTGTCCGTTTTATAATATATTATTAACTAGTAGTAGTGCTTTTTATGAATCTTGTGATGGACATCATTTCTGGAAAAGGCAAACATTTTTGGGCAACCTGTATCTCCAACACTATATATATCACACTAAAACAATTTATAATGATAATAACTTGTTGTTTTTTTGTCTCTCCCTTTTGAACATATCCAGAAAATAAAAACATGTGAAACTCTGACTAACTGTTGCATAATCTCATCATCTTTAGGCAACATTTTAGAAACTATTTGATAACCTGTTCATTCTTAATAGCAATCTAACGAGCAAAATTGCCAAACATTTCCCACTTCCAGATTCTAAATATATGCAGCTTTTCTCGGTTTTGAAATGTGTATGGCTGTATGTTTAACATCTTCGTCTCCTCTCTCTTCGGTTTCTCCTTCTAAGCTGATGGGCAGCCTGGAGGAAGTCCACATGCCTCAGAATGGCATTAACCACGCCGGAGTGATGGCGTTAGCTTCAGCCATGAGACACAACCCGGATCTGCGCGTCCTCAACCTGAACGACAACACCTTCACCAAGAGGGGAACCATCGCCATGGCCCAGGTGAGTCCACACAATCCCTGTGACCAGAGGTGGGAAGTAGTGGAGTACAAATACTTCGTTACTGTACATAAGTACATTTTTCTGGTATCAGTACTCCACTACTTATTTTTCTGACAACTTTTTACTTTCTACTTCTTACATGTTGAACCCAAATACCTGTACTTTCTACTTCTTACATGTTGAACCCAAATACCTGTACTTTCTACTTCTTACATGTTGAACACAAATACCTGTACTTTCTACTTCTTACATGTTGAACCCAAATACCTGTACTTTCTACTTCTTACACGTTGAACCCAAATACCTGTACTTTCTACTTCTTACATGTTGAACCCAAATACCTGTACTTTCTACTTCTTACATTACATGTTGAACCCAAATACCTGTACTTTCTACTTCTTACATGTTGAACCCAAATACCTGTACTTTCTACTTCTTACATGTTGAACCCAAATACCTGTACTTTCTACTTCTTACATTACATGTTGAACCCAAATACCTGTACTTTCTACTTCTTACATGTTGAACCCAAATACCTGTACTTTCTACTTCTTACATGTTGAACCCAAATACCTGTACTTTCTACTTCTTACATTTTGAACACAAATACCTGTACTTTCTACTTCTTACATGTTGAACACAAATACCTGTACTTTCTACTTCTCACATTTCCCAAACAGGCTGGTTCCTTTAGTTTGAATGTGTGTTTGGTGGCGTGATCATTATTATTTAGAGTCATTGCGTGCCTATTGATTTGAACACGATCCGTGTATCCATCATTTCCTGGTCTTCTCTAAAGAAGAGGGACCAATGAAAACGTTGTCATGTTGCCGTTGTTCAGCATGGAAACATTCATTAGCTAACAATGACATTATTGTTCTATTAATATAAAGGGAGGTCAGGTACTCTTTAAAACAGCTGCTAGTTATGGGTACTTTTTACTGAAGTACATTTCAAAGCCCTCTTTACTTTTACTTGAGTAAAGAAGTTTAGTCAGTACTTCTACTTTCACCAGAGTATTTTTAAACACGAGTATCTGTACTTCTACTTGAGTAAAGGATGTGTGTACTTTTGTCATCTCTGCCTAGAACTAGAGTAGATATTTAGCCAGTGTTTTTGACTGAAACTGTAATTCCCCGTCCTCCCTCAGGCTCTGAGGCACCTGAGGAACGTTCAGGTGATAAACTTTGGAGACTGTCTGGTCCGCTCTGAAGGAGCCATCGCCCTCGCTGCCGTCCTCCGAGAGGGACTGCCCGTCCTCAAGGTCAGTTCACCAAAACAACCTCAGCATTTGTAAATGTCTGCTCTGTGAACAGGTTGATTAAAGTGCTTTCTCATGTTCCCTGTGTTCAGGAGATCAATCTGTCGTTCGGTGAGATCACAGAAGCAGCTGCTCTGGTTGTGGCTCAGGCCGTCAGAGACAAACCTGACATGGAGAAAGTGGATCTGAACGGTACGAACACTGACCGTCAGGAGTCACATGATAACACAGCTCCTACTTTATTAGACCCCATCATCATTTTTGTTGCAAGGGGCTAACTTCCATTACAGAAAATATTTGTTATCATCCCTTAAGATTTCTACCTTTTAATACATATTTATTATCAATTAATTAAAGTTTTTCCGACGATGGACACCCTTAAGTTCATATGGCCGTGAAAATCCTGGAAAAGTTCTGAGATTAGTTAATCAAGATGTTTGATTTAAAGGGAAATTGTAAAATATAATGAGTGTGATATTTTACTTGCAGTATGGAGTTAGCTTTAACCTGAAGAGAGTGTGTGTTACGTGCCGCAGTTGGTGCTTGTGTGTGTGTGCTTTTGTGTGTGTGTCTCTCTCTCTGATTGTCTCCAGGAGCAGCCTCTTTTTTTAGTTTGCAAGTTGGCTGGTGAGCCCTTTTTTTTAATGGACAAAAGAAAAAGGGCTCACCAGCCAACTTGCAAAGCAAACTAAAATAAACAATACACAAAAAGGTAAACTGGAGCACATCTCCTAACAATTCACAAGAACACAGAGACAGAGACATGCTGCACACATGCAGCCAGAGGAGAAGGAGAGAGAGGCCACTGCAGCCTTCCTCAGGTCCTTTTAAGGAGGCCCTGATTGGGGAGAGGCTGCACCTGGAGACAATCAGGGGGAGAGAGAGACACACACAAGCACCAACTGCGGCGTGTGTGTGTGCGTTTGTGCATGTGTGCGTGTGTGTTCAGTGGATAGTGTGCTGGACTTTGAATCAGGGGATAGCAAGTTCGAGTCCCACTGCAGTCCCTGGGCAAGACACTTCACCCCAAATTGCTCCTGTGGGGATTGTCCACAGTACTGAATGTTTGTTAGTCGCTTTGGATAAAAGCATCTAACAAATGACATGTAATGTAATGTAATGTAATGTGTGTCTAACAGGTAACTGTCTGGGACAGGAGGGCTGTGACGCTCTGAGGGAAGCTATGGAGAAAGGAGACATGCTGGGGTCACTCAGGTAGTGTGTGTGTGTGTGTGTGTGTGTGTGTGTGTGTGACTACTGAAGCTATTTTCCTATTACTTTTCTTGAAAAACTTGAGTCTGATCAGCTGAATTATGCTTTTGTTGACTTACTGTAGTGATGATGAAGGAGAACCTGAGGACGAAGATGATGATCAAGACGACCATGAAAACGAGGAGGAGGAGGAGGATGATGAGGATGCCAGTGACGACTGCAATGAAGATGAGGACGGAGAAATCCTGAAGGAAAACGGAACAACGAAAAAAGACGATAGTCCAGAAAAACCTCAGAGCTCAGTAAGAACACACAAACTACATCCTGCCATCGTTTCCATGTGTATTTTAACAGCTTAGCTTGAACAATAAAGCTAGTCTAGTCTAGTGAAATAGAGAGGTGAAGGAAGGAAGGAGTCAGCACTTTTAACACTTTTGGTTTGCTTTTTCTCAAAGTCAATGGTATTTAGAATGGGCTTTTTGGCTAGATGCCTGAAATGAGATCTGTGGTTCACACAAGCTTACAACATATTAAAGTTTTTTTTACAACATAAAATATGTCAAGTGTCTAAATGACACTCCAAACTAGGGCTGTGCGATTATGGCAAAAATCATAATCACGATTATTTGGGTCAATAATTGAGATCACGATTATTAAATACGATTATTCATTGACTTTGAAAACATCCATTTATTGAACTTGAAAACAAATACAAATAATAATTTGAACAGTATATTTTTAACTGTTGATTACCCTGAACGTATAATTCAACTGAAAAACCAATACAAAAATAAATGATATATTTAAATAAATAATATAAAAATAATAAATACCAATAAACAAGATCAACAAATATTTTGGAGCGCACTTCCACAAGCTACTAAACATATATAAATATGATGAATACAAATAAATGAGACCAAAATTAATTAGATCAAATATGTTGCAGTGTACTGTCACAACCTAGCAAAGCAAAATAATTGTTTTTTTAGATTATGTTTTCGTAATTGTGGCAGGCCAAAATCGTAATTGCGATTAAAATACGATTAATTGCACAGCCCTACTCCAAACATTAGCCACCTTTAGTTTACCGGTGGTGACAGGAAGTCATGTGACAGTACTGTAGTTCCTTTATAGCCTGATGTTAGCGTTTTACTTCTGGGCCCAGTAGTTCAAAACTTTTGATCCCTATCTGATCGGATCAGATTTGGATTTTGGGTAGTTCAAAACCAAAAAACAGGATTGGGATCACTTTGATATCCGATCAGATCAGGAAATCAAATCCAAGCTTTAATCTGGATCAAATCTTCAAAACGGGTTCATACCGACAACACAGGATTGGGATTATCTTGATCCCACCAGAGGGGTGGATTTCCAGTGGATTTCCAGAGCAAAATGTACCGTACAATTTATTAAAAAATATGTTTCAATATAAATCAGATGGCAAAGTTTGTTAACTGAAATAATACACAATGTTTAGCCTTCATGGCAAATCAATTTTATTTTTCATTTTTTGGTCACGTTTGTGGTGGCCTATTTTGTCAATCACAAATGTAATTTAGATTAAAGAAAAAATATCTTCAACAAAAGAAAAGTCCATCATCTGTCTACACCTTTCAAAAGTAATTACGGACAATAGATGTCTCTGCAATGTGGTCTCTTGTCTTGTATTATTTTTCATGTCCACTAAATGGAGATCGGTAGCACTGACATTCAGGATCTAGTCATCTTGAAAAGTCTGAATCTGGATCAGAGTGATCCCATCCTGAATTGCTTTGAAATACTGGGACAAAATCTGTCCGACTTGTCTGATCCTGGATCACAAAAAATGGGATTTCAAAATCTGATTGAGATTAAAAGTTTTGAACTCCTGGGCCTTACATGTAGGCTTAACCTTTTATAAAAGTGGCGTTAATATGTAGAGATTATCCTGCTGAACAAAACGTGTAAGTATCATAAAGGTGTGTTTGCCAACATTTTTATTTTCTGCAATATTCCAAAATCAAAGAAATTTGCTTTGACTAGGGAGCCCTTGCAATGCTAACTTCCTGGTCAATTTACAAAAATACGTCACCACTGCACTACTCCATTGTGTTTCTGATTGTCTTCACGTCGCCCTCAGGCAGAGATCATGTCCTTCCTCAGCTGCCCCTCAGCAGAGAAGCTGCTTCAGCTCGGAGAGACGAGGACAAACGTGCAGCAACAGGTGAAGTCATCTCAATATAAAGGGTCCCAGCAGGATGATTGTTGCTCCTGTACAATCTTTAATAACAGATGTTTTAGGATATAATCTGTTATTAAAACGTTGTTCTCACCAGGTGCATGCGTCTGACCCTCACACGGCGGCTGAAATCCTCCTGAAAATCTCTTCTCTGTACAGTGAGGAACCAGAGACAAAGACAGCCGTGCTTGAAACTATTGGTGAATTAAATCCTACTTTGTATTTGTAGGACAAGGCTTTATTATTATTATATAATATTTACACATACAGTCTTTGGTTGGAGACAAGAAAACATCTGTGCTTCACAAACACAGTCTTTTTGACTTTTGTCCGTTTTCTGATTTGACCTCTTTTGGCCTTGAACAGTTATTAAAATGTGGACATTTAGAGTGGAAACAGTTCTTGGATTACATTTTTCCAGGAACTGTATTGAGGAAAAATTTGTTTACCTGCTTTTTAATCCTACCACCCATTTGTTTTCCACTTGTAGTTCAAATACTGTTGTTGTTGTTGATAGATGTCAGTCTGTATGCACGGACCCCTCCTCTCATGAACTCCCTCACTGTGTGTTTTACAGACGCTGTGCTGAAGAAGCTCCTCTCTGGATCAGACCTCTCGTCTTACTGCTTCCTCTCCACGCTGCTCGTCATGATGGGACTCCTCAAGGTACAAAACTGTCCCTCCCTAAATCTGACACAGACATAATGGGGTTAATGTACCCCAGGGCCATTATAGGACAATTATCACTAATACAAATCCAGAAAGGGGTAATATTCTGGAGAAAACATAACAGAAAAGTCATAATTTCCCAGAGTAATGTCTTAAAGGGGACCTATCATGCAAAATGCACTTTTTGATGTCTTTTATACATAAAGATGTGTCCCCGGTGTGTCGGGGAACTCACGCAGCGTCAGAAAATAAAACCCTCTCTCTTTTCCTCCGTACCCAAATCTCTAAAAACGGGGCTACAATGGAGCTGATCCAGATTTGCGTCCGATATGAAGTAATATCTGAAATGTGGACCCACGGCCCTATCAGAAACGTTGCTATCAGAAACAATGCCCGACTGTTTTGGACGTAATATGGTCGGTGTTTACATTAGCATCGCTAACACTCAGAGCTAACCTGTACTGGAGAGCATGTGTGTGAAGAAGCAGGAAATAAAAAGGAACTCACCTTGTGGTATAACCGGCAAGAGAGAAAGCCTTTGAGCTCCATACTGTTTCAGAAACAATCCTTGATAATCCATGATATGGTGTTTCATCACGGCAGTATTTAGTTTAGACAGTAGCTGCCGGGTCCCGCATGAGCTCAGACCCCTCCTTTTTGATTTGTTATCAACTTATAATTTTTTTTAAGCTTTATACTTCAAATTAGCACTTTTGAAACAGGAAGTGAAATAGAGGGATATGAGGCATGGCTAGAATGGGTGATCTGTTTGGTATTTTGAGCAAAACACTTGATAGACATGTTTTTTATATATTTCTATATATCTGAGACCTATGCTATTGCCTAAAAATAGCATGATAGGTGACCTTTAAAGAGGACCCGTTTATGCTTTTTGAGGTTTTCCCTTTCCTGTAGTGTGTTATCTAAGTTTAGAACAAATATATTTTTCTTCATGTTTCTATCTGTTCTGACTTCAGGGCGAGGGGAAGGTGAAGAAGGTGCCGCTGGTCCCAGGTCAGCTGTTGTGTTTGGAGCACGCTGTGCAGCAGGAGTATTTCCCGCAGCACGTGGCCTCGCTGCTCCACACCTTCACCTCCAGGTACGAGCTGCTTTAAAACGTATTCTTTATTAGTTATTCTCTCACATTTCCCCTTTACATCCATTCATATTCCAATTTAGATGAACAGTTTCTTTAACAAGGGGTCGCAACATGTAGAAGGTCTCAAATCCAAGAGATTCAACATGAGAATATGGAAAACTAAACGTATAGAAATCAAATCAATAATACAGGGTGTCCGCGGGGTCTTAAAAAGTATTCAAAGTTGATAAGTTGTCTGCCATATTCCTGAAGTTATGCATTCCCAAATGTATGATGCATTTGATTATGAACAGCACACATAGTATCTAGTAAAGCAAGAAAAGGGATTTTTAATAAACCTGCTTTCTCCGGTTGTCCGCGGCGTCTTAAAAAGTATTACAAGTTGATAAATCAATTTAGCGAAAATTAAGGCTATTAAAAAGTATTAAACGGCATTTTCCAAGGTATTACATTTTGTAGCTTGTTTTCAATAAGTATATAAATTGTCCAAAGAGGTTGTATTCTACAGTTTGCCTGAATGTAATCATTGCGTAGGTGTGTAGTGTGATTCTGTGTAGTTTATTTATGGCATCCCGTTGGATTTGACGTCATCTGAACAGGACATCGCACGCTCACTGCTTGATAGCGCGCGAAGGTCCGTTTACGCCGGTTGTTAAGCAACATCGTTATGGGGAAATGCAAGTCTGCGTCCAAATGGTTGGAAGATAAGGAGGAAGGACAATCAATACTGTATATAGTCAATGTGAGGGTAAAGTGTGTCGCCAAGGTAACCGGTTAAAACTCCAAGTGGCGATGAGGTCTTTAAAATGTATGGAAAGGGTCTTATAAAAAAGGTCTTAAAGGTTTTACATTTGACTTCAGGATTCCTGCATATACCCCTGATCCTACATATTACAATAATACAGTCCAATATATCTTAGGACAAATATCCATGTACTAGGAATATTTCAAAAATAGAAATTCCTCATTTTAAAGTAGCCATATTTTGTTATGTTGGGTGTCACACAGCCAGTTCCTTTTTATAATCCTTCCATTATTAATCCCAGTGTCCCTCCTTAACCTCCACCCCAATGGCCGTCCATCTGGTAGGAGCATCTTTGATCCTGCAGTGTACGACTGTAAAGTTATTTAAAAGATGTTTGGTAACCTTTTTGTACGTTTTGTCTTTGTGAATGTGCAGAAACAGTGAAGCTCTGGAGTCCTGCAGCAGCGCCAGTGAGAGGCTGAGCAGCACTCTGGAGAAAAAGTGCCACTGATGAACACACACACACACACACACACACGCCTTAATGTCTTTGCCAACAGGTTTACACTTGAACAAGGGACACGTACGACCACTTACTGTTTTCTCCACTTCTTATTTGTATATTTTTTGAACACTGTCCAGAATGTCTTAGTTTTTATTTTTTCTACTTAATACTTGCGTCTTATTTTTTTATAGAAATAATAAAAAAATATTAGAAAATACACACCAGGTAACCTTTGGGTGAATGTGTAAAGAATGTAACCTGGAGCGGAGCTAACATTAGACCATGGCTCCTTTTTCGTTTCGTAACATCTTGCCGTGCATTCAGTTATACAAACTCTTTCAAATTCACTGTGAAAAGAAACCAACAATGTGTCTCTGCTCGACAGGGAGAGCTGCATCTTAAAAAATAACTTTTATTGCCGCTTGATCTGCCAAATTGTTTTGCTCGATTGGGTTTTTACGGAGCCCGACAGGTGCAAATGCGATATAACGGCCCCCAACTTCAGAAAAAAGGCAAATAAAAAAACACAAATGTGCCAAAACACTTTAGAAAACATTAACCAACTTGACCAAACATGTGCAGCGTTGACTAAAAGAGCTGCGTCAACAGAACGCTGCAAACACAACGCACCTGTAAGTGTAAGAAAATTGGGAACAAAATAAGTACACATTTTTTAGTTTAATATGAGATAACACAGAAAAGCGAGGAAATCCTTCCATCACTAAACTAATGATTCCTTTTTAAAAATATTTTGAGTTTATTTTACTCTCAATCGACCCATCGTTGCAGCTCTAGAGACATATCTACAGAGACTCTGGGTTGGAACATTAAGGTTATTTCCAGGGTGTCGATACATTTGGGATTTGTTCAGCAAATTTTGAGGGAAATTGCAGATATTCAGCTTCCTGATACTGCCACAAAGTTTGCTGTATGTATATTATCTCACATATGCTGCTATTTGTTGCTGTGAAAACGTAGAGGGAGACGGAAATTAAAAGGGCAATTATACTGAGTGTAACATTTACAATCTATATCACAATTAAGAGCTGCCTTAATTTTGCTGTGTTTTATTGATGAGATGCAATCATTACATAAGGTCCAGTGACGTCAGTGTGCATCAGACTGTGAGCAGGAATGAGCTACACACACACACACACGCCTTAACACACAGCTGCATGTGTGTATACCCTGCACTGATCCCAGTCATAACACTGCACAGCTCAGGGGACCACAATCACTTTTACCTCTTCTTGTTTTTTTTTATCCATAAATATAATTCATAAATGTGCTCTTATGTGACTTTGTGTTGCACCAATTCAGTTGCTTTGTGTTCCCTCAGATAGTGATGTAAGGGAACATTTAAAGGTAATAGGGATTAGGACTTTAAATACTCTTCTGATTAACATTAGACCATGTGGACTGCATTTTGTTTGGACAGGATATTGCTTGATGTGTTTTAACTGTCAGAAATATAACTCATCCAACAAGCCTGACTCGTCGTCTGTGTATAAATGTGTGTGTGCGGAGTGAAATTATACACTGTTGTTTTTGAAGAAAGCTTAAAAAGATGACATGTTCATCCTAAATGGAGAATTTGGTGTGGAAATTAGGTGTTAATTTGGAGGTGTAATATTCCTTTAACAGAATCCAGAGGTAGGAGGTGCGTGTTTGTGTCAGAGTAAGGTGGTAGGTGGGGGGGGGGGGGCTGTCAGTGAATGAAGGGATAAACTGAGTTTGTTTTGGATGGGGCCGGGGGACGAGCAGCAGAGAGCCGAGACCGTGAGAGAGTGAGCGGCCACAGAGCGACCAGGAACCGGACAGAACCAGGAACCACAGCACGGTGAGTGTGCGTAAAATGGATTAATTTGTCAACCAACAATAGGGAATTTATGTATTTCAATACATTTATTTGAGTTATTTTGATGGTAGAATATGAATGCTTTGACATATGTTATGTTCTAATCCAAATTGCTTATTTATCCAATCATGTGGACAGGCTGAGTTTTATTGTGCGCATTTTTGCGTAAAATGCAACATATTTTTGAACCTGTTATCACACTCACTATATACTGCTGTATGTTATTTCCTTGGTTGCCACCTATAAGTCCAAATATAACCAATACAATGCTGGTATTTTTCCATATTAGATAATTTTGCAGGATTTGTAACATTCCAAGATATGTCAATAACCATCATCCCTTACCCTTTACGCACAGCAAAACTAACACCATGTTTAGAATACGGTTGGTATAATGCAGGTTCATTTAATCGTAAAAGCATTCAGAGGCGTTGGAGAGGAGTTTTCTCTTCGTACCTGGCCAGAGGACACGTGTTTTTCCAGGGGGGAAACGCTCTGGCACCCACACCGGGCGGAGAGACAACTGCGCGTCTTTGTGCGCGCGAGGGCGGCGGCTCCTCTGCGGTCAGCTCTGTGTATCCCCGGGGGCACGCGGACAAACAGACCGGTGCAAGGGGAAATTCCTCCGGCTCTAGTTTCTCCACTTGTCCCTCTTTGCTCCGGGGGTTTGATGAACAAAACGAGGAAGGCTGTTAAAATACCCAAAAGGCTGCTGTATGGCCAGCGTGGTTTACATGCAGGCTTTTAAAGGAACTTCAAATATTCATAATTGATTAAATACAAAATATTTTCTATGCTCTGATTTACGCTGGATGTGTGCAGAAACATCAACTGTTCATCTAACAAAACTGTCCAGAAGTGGGCGTTTACATTTGTCTTCTAACAAAGTCAGAATGCGCAACAGCTAAATTGGAAATAAATGCAATTAAATGTAATACAGGCTCTTCCAACAATGCAACATAACAGAATACCTACATTATTAAATAATTATAATGATAACAATAAATGCAGGATAAAAAATAATAAGGTAAAACCATGAAACAGTATACTGAAATATTGTACACTGTAATACTGGGAGGATATCTAATATATGAAAAGATCAACCCCAACAAATGCAACATTAGCGGATAAATACATAATAAAATAAAAATAAATCACATTTTGTATTTTGGGAATGCAAGTTTTGTGCCCTCAAAGCATTGGTAACGTTTAGTTTGTGTATGGAGTAAATTACATACATAGTGTGTGGGGGAAACTTCTGAAGCAATTGGAAACAGGACTCAGAGAGACACGAGGAGAGCTGGAGCTTTGATGGCAAACACTGACGGTTTATTTGGAGCTCCGGCCGGAGAATTCACAAGACATGTCCCGGGCCACGAGTTGACCACACGGTAGAGATGCCACAATCAATTTTGAAGAACCCTCCTGTAGCTCGAGGTTTTAACTAGTTCAGAGTGTAATAATAAACATTCTTCAATAGATAGACTAAACAGCTGAGGACACTGAATCACATTTGTTGTCGCTTATGGCTCGGGGTCATCTACACCCCGAGAAGGATGTGTTCCAGGCAGGGTTCGAGTTATGTGGGAGCCAATCTCCCATAAGGAGGGGTCTGAGCTCCCACTGACGCAGTGAAATCATACATCTGTGGGGGTCGCTAATACATTACCAACATCAACAACCATTATTTTAATCACAAATAATGCATGTGTCAATGTAATATTATCTACGTTAACGAGGTAAATAGGCTAAAAAGAAAAACATGTTTTCCAAAAGAACTACGCATCGTATTCTCTCTTGAATGACAATATACCTGCACTGCACCTCCAAGGTGCGCATATATGCCTGTGAGCGTGCTGCGCGAGCCGAGATGATGTGTGTGTGGGGTAGTTGAACCTTTTCATATGTGTGTGTGTGTGTGTGTGTGTGTGTGTGTGTGTGTGTGTGTGTGTGTGTGTGGTGTGTGTGTGTGTGTGTGTGTGTGTGTTGTGTGTGTGTGTGTGTGTGTGTGTGTGTGTGTGTGTGTGTGTGTGTGTGTGTGTGTGTGTGTGTGTGTGTGTGTGTGTGTGTGTGTGTTTTAAAGACCCCCATAGAGCTCAGTTTATAACTCGAGCCCTGGTTCAAGGTGTCCCATAACAATAACTATCTCTGACAGAGAGTTGCCCGGTCACAAACTGGTAATAACAACAACTTGCTCCTAACAATAACAATAACGGCTCCGTCAGAGGGCGAAGGAGGACATGCAGGGCAAATTATTGCCCAACACATAGTAGAAATATATGCGTAAACACTGAAGCAAATAAAACAAAAAAAGACAATTAGAAAATAACAGAAAAAGTGCCTGTTAAAAATGTAGATATATATAAAACTGATGCTCAGACTTGGTGTTTTGCATTAATACAGCCATGGGTCTCCATCAGCTCCATATTTTTCAGGATTTGCTGCAGCAGGTTTGAGCATGGCACCGTTTCTCCGTGCCAACATTCGGAGACGTGTGGAGCTGTGCAGCTTTCCCTGTCCATTCCTGCGGATCAGGGCTGTTGATCCGACATGGGAATGTGGTTTTAAGGCATTCCAGTGAAGTCTGGCTCGGCCCAAACTCAGCAAAATAACTCTAATCCCCAAAAAGTACAAAATTATGCAATCTGACACCTTCAATAGAGATTTCAGGCGGTGTAGACATATCCTGGAGCCCCTAAATTGTTTCCTCTTTATATTTTGATTGTAACGGCATAGATAAAACATTCATGCAGGTATCAATCAGGCTACTCGTGATCCTCTATCAGAAAAGGTATTCAATCACAAGATCCCTGCATTAAGATGCTACTTCAGCAAAATAATACAAGTATTATGAGCTAAAATGTGCTTAAATGAATACAACAATGCCCCACTGTTACTGAAATACAGGTATTATTATATAGGTCAGTGTTAGATTGTCATTACTTCTGCATTATGTCTAAGTGATTTGCTGCAATGCTTTATTATTATTATTATTATTATTACACATAGTCTTTGGTTCGGACTCTTTTGTCTGTTTTCTGATATATAGACCATGAACTAGAATGCTTATAATTATGTTTATTTGAACTTAAATTGTAATTTTCCTTCCCAGATGTTCTTCCAGATGTGTCCTCACCTCCTCTGCTTCCTGCTGCTGCTCTGCGTCCCTGACACACACTCCGCTAAATGCCCTGAGCAGTGTGTGTGTGACCAGATCCAGCTCACTGTGACCTGCAACAGCAAGAATCTCACACACATCCCCCCTACTTTGGATGAGGTCACACACACACACACACACACACACACACACACACACACACACACACACACACACACACACACACAGCACTTTTCTTGCTAAAATCACAGCTTGCACAACCGGTTTTAATTTAGGAATCAATTATTTTCTTAATAGATCACAGTGAAATTGGATCTGCGTGGTAACGACATCCAGGAGCTTCCCTCTGGGGCCTTCAAACACACACCGTACCTCACACACTTGTCGCTGCAGCGCTGTAACGTCCGCAAGGTGAAGGAGGGGGCTTTCCGTGGCCTTGGACGCCTCGTCTTCCTCAACCTGGCCAACAACAACATCGACATCCTCTACCAGGTCCTCACACACACTCTCACACACTGCAGGTCCACACACACACTGTACCAGGTCCTCCTCACACACACACTGTACCAGGTCCTCCTCACACACACACTGTGTCAGGTCCTCCTCACACACACACTGTACCAGGTCCTCCTCACACACACACACTGTACCAGATCCACACACACTGTACCAGATCCACACACACTGTACCTGGTCCACACACACTGTACCAGGTCCTTACACACACTGTACCAGGTCCACACACACTGTACCAGGTCCTTACACACACTGTACCTGGTCCACACACACTGTACCAGGTCCTTACACACACTGTACCAGGTCCACACACACTGTACCAAGTCCACACACACTGTACCAAGTCCACACACACTGTACCAAGTCCACACACACTGTACCAAGTCCACACACACTGTACCAGGTCCACACACACTGTACCTGGTCCACACTGTACCTGGTCCACACACACTGTACCAAGTTCATACACACTGTACCAGGTCCTTACACACACTGTACCAAGTCCACACACACTGTACCAGGTCTACACACACTGTACCTGGTCCACACACACTGTACCTAGTCCACACACACTGTACCAGGTCTACACACATGTTTTATTAACTAAAAAATGTGATAATTATAATTTCAAAGCCTAACATCTGTGCAGTTTTAACATTTGTGAATGCCACTATAATTCAGAAGCATTTCTACACAGTATTGCTCCTTAGCTCAAGTCAAATGTCTGTCTCCTTCGTCTAACACATTTTCCTGGCACCACAGTGAAGCTTGATGTGTTTCTTGATGTGTGCCTTGATGTGTTCCTTGTGAGTCCAGGAGTCGTTTGACGGCCTGTCCTCGCTGAAGCAGCTCCTGATCGACCGTAACCGGGTGGAGGAGATTCAGCCCGGAGCTTTCTCTCAGCTCGGCTTCCTCAACCTGCTCTCCCTCACACACAACCAGCTGGTGTACATCCCCAACATGGCCTTCCAGGTAACAAACACACCTCAAATATAAACTCTAACACACAGTGAGAAGTTTACACTGTGCTTTCTGCAGCTGCTCAGAAATACAATTAAAGATAGTGGATTGTGTTTTAAATTATTGCAACTGAATCCATACACTTTCTCACTATTTGAATATTCAGGCTTTTTATTGTTGCAAAATAATGTTCTTGCACTAATCTATTCACAATTGTAATACCTCTTGCACTGTTTGTATGCAGCATTGTTGGAGGAGCCTGGGGTTTTATATTTTCATTGACAACAACCTGTTGCGTTGAATACGATAGTCTCTGAATCTTTGAAGCATTAAATATCAGACCTCCTTTTCTTCCTCCAGGGCTTGCAGAACATCAAATGGCTTCGTCTGAGTCACAACTCTTTAAATTACCTGGACACGGAGGCTTTGGCCGGGCTGTTCACGCTCACACGTCTCAGTCTGGACCACAACGAGCTGCAGTTCTTCCCCACAGAGACCATGACCAGGTACAGCGCGATGCTCCAAATAATAACACTAAATACAGAGGTGGGAAGTAGTGGAGTACAAATACTTTGTTACTCTACTTAAGTACATTTTTCTGGTATCAGTACTTTACTCCACTACTTATTACGACTTTTTACTTTGACTTCTTACATTTTGAACACAAATACCTGTACTTTCTACTTCTTACATGTTGAACACAAATACCTGTACTTTCTACTTCTTACATTTTGAACACAAATACCTGTACTTTCTACTTCTTACATGTTGAACACAAATACCTGTACTTTCTACTTCTTACATGTTGAACACAAATACCTGTACTTTCTACTTCTTACATTTTGAACACTAATACCTGTACTTTCTACTTCTTACATTTTGAACACTAATACCTGTACTTTCTACTTCTTACATTTTGAACACAAATACCTGTACTTTCTACTTCTTACATGTTGAACACAAATACCTGTACTTTCTACTTCTTACATGTTGAACACAAATACCTGTACTTTCTACTTCTTACATGTTGAACACAAATACCTGTACTTTCTACTTCTTACATGTTGAACACAAATACCTGTACTTTCTACTTCTTACATGTTGAACACAAATACCTGTACTTTCTACTTCTTACATGTTGAACACAAATACCTGTACTTTCTACTTCTTACATTTTGAACACAAATACCTGTACTTTCTACTTCTTACATTTTGAACCCAAATACCTGTACTTTCTACTTCTTACATGTTGAACACAAATACCTGTACTTTCTACTTCTTACATTTTGAACACAAATACCTGTACTTTCTACTTCTTACATGTTGAACACAAATACCTGTACTTTCTACTTCTTACATGTTGAACACAAATACCTGTACTTTCTACTTCTTACATTTTGAACACTAATACCTGTACTTTCTACTTCTTACATTTTGAACACTAATACCTGTACTTTCTACTTCTTACATTTTGAACACAAATACCTGTACTTTCTACTTCTTACATGTTGAACACAAATACCTGTACTTTCTACTTCTTACATGTTGAACACAAATACCTGTACTTTCTACTTCTTACATGTTGAACACAAATACCTGTACTTTCTACTTCTTACATGTTGAACACAAATACCTGTACTTTCTACTTCTTACATGTTGAACACAAATACCTGTACTTTCTACTTCTTACATGTTGAACACAAATACCTGTACTTTCTACTTCTTACATTTGAACACAAAATACCTGTACTTTCTACTTCTTACATTTTGAACCCAAATACCTGTACTTTCTACTTCTTACATGTTGAACACAAATACCTGTACTTTCTACTTCTTACATTTTGAACACAAATACCTGTACTTTCTACTTCTTACATGTTGAACACAAATACCTGAACTTTCTACTTCTTACATTTCCCAAACAGGCTGGTTCCTTTAGTTTGAATGTGTGTTTGGTGGCGTGATCATTATTATTTAGAGTCATTGCGTGCCTATTGATTTGAACACGATCCGTGTATCCATCATTTCCTGGTCTTCTCTAAAGAAGAGGGACCAATGAAAACGTTGTCATGTTGCCGTTGTTCAGCATGGAAACATTCATTAGCTAACAATGACATTATTGTTCTATTAATATAAAGGGAGGTCAGGTACTCTTTAAAACAGCTGCTAGTTATGGGTACTTTTTACTGAAGTACATTTCAAAGCCCTCTTTACTTTTCCTTGAGTAAAGAAGTTTAGTCAGTACTTCTACTTTTACCAGAGTATTTCTAAACACGAGTATCTGTACTTCTACTTGAGTAAAGGATGTGTCTACTTTTGCCATCTCTGTAAATAAAACAAACAACTAACTAACCCCAGACTGTTAAAATGCTCTGGTGCAAGTGTCATGCATTGTAACATCTTCAATCTCTGCCTCTCTGACTGCAGACTTCCAGAGGTGACCCGTCTTGACCTGAGCTACAACCCGATGACGTACCTGGGAGAGGAGGTGGTTTCCATGAACAAACTGACGCACCTCTTCATGGATCACATGTCCCTGCAGGACCTGGACCCCACGGCCTTCTCCAAATCCAGCAAACTGGTGCACCTGGACCTCGGTCACAACCAGCTGAGAGTCCTGCAGCCTTTCTCCGAGGGAACGTCGTCGCTGGCTCGCCTCAACCTGGCCGGGAACCCTCTCTCCTGCAACTGCTACCTGCGTCCTCTCAGGTAAACAAACACTTTAAAGGTCCCCTATTTTACTATTTTTCCTTAATATATTACAGGTCTCAGATATATACAGAGCCTGTCTCTGATTGGCTGAAACACCAAACAGATCATTGCAGCATCCCATAATCCCCTCTGTTTCAGCCCTGTTTCCAAAGTGCTGATTCTCTGTCTGTTACTTTAGATGAAAATAAGGAGCCCCTCCCCACGCCCCTCTGAGAGAGATTTGGTTAAAAAGAACACAATGGTGCTCTAGGAGGAGATTCAAGTGATAAGGTGGGGGGGGGGGGGGTTACCTTGGTTGCTGATTGGCTAATGGTTACACAAGCCAAAACATCGTTATGACATCATCAAGTGGCCAAAATCTGATCAGCTCATTTTCAGACAGGTTTTTATAGAAATGGATCAGGACAAAAAGAGAGAGAATCTTTGTTCCTGAAACTTTCAGAGTCTCTTTCCACAGAGGGGACACATGTTGATGAAGAAGAGACATGAAGAAGAGGGGACACATGTTGATGTAGAAGAGACATGAAGAAGAGGGGACACATGTTGACGTAGAAGAGACATGAAGAAGAGGGGACACATGTTGATGTAGAAGAGACATGAAGAAGTGGGGACACATGTTGATGTAGAAGAGACATGAGGAAGAGGGGACACATGTTGATGTAGAAGAGACATGAAGAAGAGGGGACACATGTTGATGTAGAAGAGACATGAAGAAGAGGGGACACATGTTGATGTAGAAGAGACATGAAGAAGAGGGGACACATGTTGATGTAGAAGAGACATGAAGAAGAGGGGACATATGTTGATGTAGAAGAGACATGAAGAAGAGGGGACACATGTTGATGTAGAGGAGACATGAAGAAGAGGGGACACATGTTGATGTAGAAGAGACATGAAGAAGAGGGGACACATGTTGGTGTAGAAGAGACATGAAGAAGAGGGGACACATGTTGATGTAGAAGAGACATGAAGAAGAGGGGACACATGTTGATGTAGAAGAGACATGAAGAAGAGGGGACACATGTTGATGAAGAAGAGACATGAAGAAGAGGGGACACATGTTTGTGTAGAAGAGACATGAAGAAGAGGGGACACATGTTGATGTAGAAGAGACATGAAGAAGAGGGGACACATGTTGATGTAGAAGAGACATGAAGAAGAGGGGACACATGGTGATGTAGAAGAGACATGAAGAAGAGGGGACACATGTTGATGTAGAAGAGACATGAAGAAGAGGGGACACATGTTGGTGTAGAAGAGACATGAAGAAGAGGGGACACATGTTGATGTAGAAGAGACATGAAGAAGAGGGGACACATGGTGATGTAGAAGAGACATGAAGAAGAGGGGACACATGTTGATGTAGAAGAGACATGAAGAAGAGGGGACACATGTTTGTGTAGAAGAGACATGAAGAAGAGGGGACACATGTTGATGTAGAAGAGACATGAAGAAGAGGGGACACATGGTGATGTAGAAGAGACATGAAGAAGAGGGGACACATGTTGATGTAGAAGAGACATGAAGAAGAGGGGACACATGTTGATGTAGAAGAGACATGAAGAAGAGGGGACACATGTTGATGTAGAAGAGACATGAAGAAGAGGGGACACATGTTGATGTAGAAGAGACATGAAGAAGAGGGGTCACATGTTGATGTAGAAGAGACATGAAGAAGAGGGGTCACATGTTGATGTAGAAGAGACATGAAGAAGAGGATTTTACATAATAGATGATCTTTAAAGAGGCCGTATAATGCTTTTGGGTTTTCCCTTTCATGTGTTTTATTTACATAATGCATTCTTAAAAAGCCTTATTTTTTTTGCCAAATTCTGATTGAGGAGACACAGATTTGCTTCAAATCGGGGAGATAAATTACAAAAAAACTGAGATATTTGTAGGTGTTCTCAGATGCCCTAAAATGCAGAAGGCCTTGCGACCCCACTTGGAGGTTTGGTGACCCCTAGTGGAGGTCAAGAACCATAGGTTGTGAACCAGTGGCAGGTCTCTATCTGTATGTTGAAATGATGAAGAATTGGTCCTCAAACCTCAGGGTTGTCTTAAAACCTGGTAGAAATTGGACACACTGATACAAAACGCATTTAGTTTTCCATATTTAGCCTCCACTTTGCTGTTTTACATGTCTGTATTTTGACAACCCCTTTGTGATTATATGTTTAATAGAATCTAAGTAAATGAGGATAATGTACATCTCTGTACGCAAATTCTACTATTGTTAACCATAATTGAACCTCTTTCTATTTGCTAAAACAAAGGACTTGTTATAATAAGCCAAATACATTTAGCCATAAAAATGGGAACACTCGTAAAATGTAATTAATTGACAGATAGTTAAGCAGCTGTGTTTCTAAATTGACCTTAATAAAAGGATCCACCATATTACCATTGAAATTATGTATATTTTATGTTTTTATAAATATAATAACAATATAAATGTTATTGTCTATATGTTAGGAATTATACAACATACATTGTCATACAGCTCATTGTTTATTTAGCTGTTAGATGGGAAGAAAAAAGGTGTAAGAAAAACGTTCTAATAAAAGTTTGAAAAAAAACAAAAAATAGGTCCAAGTGCTTTTCAGCGGTTGCCTCGCAACGGTTGCAAAGCCACGTAGGTGGGCGGGGCTTAGGGATCGTTCAGTGCCTCGAAGACGTCAGAGATGACATCATGTATGCGAGGTCTCTTCTTCAGATCAGTTCCTTCAAACCAGGCAGGTTAGCACACAGAGCATTTCAAACAATCCACATTGTTTTAGAAATATCAGGATAGTTAAACAGTAATCCACATTGTTTTAGAAATATCTAAATAATTAAGAATAATCCACATTGTTTTAGAAATATCTAAATAATTAAGAATAATCCACATTGTTTTAGAAATATCTAAATAATTAAGAATAATCCACATTGTTTTAGAAATATCGAAATAATTAAGAATAATCCACATTATTTTTTAAATACCGAGATATTTGAAAATCTTCAATAACATTATTGTTTAATTATCTGGTTAGTGGGTTATTAATAGAGTTATAATGTCCATGAACAGCCAGCAGACAGAGGAGATGCCAGATCTCAGAAGCAGTCTGACTCCTGTTGTTGAGCCCTTTGTCAAAGGGATGACAGCAGAGCATTGGCAGTCATTACGTTCAGGAAACCCTGATGGAGCCACCTTAATCGTGGTGGCAGACTTTGTACTGGAGGTTGTGTTGTCCCTAACTAAAGCCATTTTGGCTGGTTCTAAGGGCAGGAAGACGTCTGTCTCTCAGGAGAGCATCAGGTCCAGTCTGGGGGACCTGCTCTCCCAGAGTATTGCCAAAGCTCTTGACGTTCAGAGCCAGGTGGAGGGCAACAGCGTGGAGCTTTTGACAAGCTTTATTAGCAAAGAGGTGACAGAGAGCGTGAACTCTGCCACCAGCAGCACTGCTGAGCCTGTGGTGAGCCAGCACGTCGTTCCCCCCAGCAGGCTCAACCTGATGGTGGGGCACCTCTGCACAATGCTGAAGGCATTTGCAGGAAGAATTAGAGTTGGGAAACTCCACCGTAGAGCACGTGCGAGAAAATTAAGTCTTGAGACACTGATGGTGGAAAATGAGGAGCCCAGAGCTGATTCAGCGGCCTCAATTATTTCCTTTCTGCTAGAAGTCCAGGAGCAGAGTTCGTCAGGGGACTCAGTGATTGACCTCCGGAAACAGAAATCTGTAGAAGAAATAATTTACCAAGAGGTGAGAAGACTCACCGATCCTGTCCTGGAGGATTTGCCTGACCAGGTTTATGCTCTGCTTGAAGAGGAGAGCTCTCAGGAGATCGCAAACGCAGCGGAGGTCATCACATCCCTTATGGCCGAGGGAGAGCTGGATCAGGACGAGACGGATGTCGACGAGTCCACCCAAAACCAGAAGACCAAATGCAAGCAGGGCATAAAGCTGAAGGTGAAGAACTGCTTGGCAAAGCGTTTTGCCAAAGCTTGGATTCATCGCATAGTGGAAAAGCTTAAAATGAAATTCCATTCAGACCCCAAAGAGGAATCTATGAAGTCCATGATTTCACTGATGACCAGCGTAGGCAATGTGCTCCAGACAGCGGGAGGAGAGCAGGGGGGGAAAGAAATTAGTATCTCTAAAAGGTTCACAGACAGCTCCAGTGTCAAGTATGTAGACTTTGCTCAGGCACTGAGCAACATATTGTACAGACACATTGCCAGTGGTATGCCTCAGAACATTATCCCGGAGCCTGTAAGGAGCTCGTCTGTCACCACGTCTCCTCAAGTGCTCATTCCTCAGGTGCATCGCGAGATGTACGCGGACATGTGCAGTCAGGCGTGGCATTTTGTGTCGCTGATGACCTGGTTTGTGAACACTCAGGTAGCGAGCAAGAGTCAAAGGGTCCAACTGGCCATAATGGGGCCTGAGGCTTCGCTTCAGTCAGACGCCTTCGTTGAGAGGGACGAAGCTTTGGAGCGAGCCTCGCTTTGTGAGGAGACGACTAGCTGTCCTTTTAATCCTTTGGAGGGGGTCCGATACCAGGACTTAAAAAGAGCCCTTCTTTTGATTTTTGTGGAGAAGCTCGTCTCGCGGGCCTGCAGAAAATCTAAAGTGACGCATTTTTTGGATGCCAGAATGGAGGGCATCATTCTGCGCCTCTCTGATAGTATTTGGGCTAAATTTGAGGGAATTGACTTTCAAATCGACGCGGCGACCTTCACTGACCTTGACAAGATTATTTACCAGCGCTTGTGCGAGAAATGTGGCTCTCCAGAGATGCTCCTGGCCATTTGGCCCTTAAAGGAACAAGAATTTGGAGTTTTTATTGCCGAGTCCGTCAAATGTCATTTTATGCCAGCGAAAAAACTTGGACGCATCTGCAAGTTCTTTAGATCTGTTGGAAAAGCTGTATCCAACTTCTGCAGAAGCACTTTTTAAGTGAACTGAGACGCAGGGTTTCTCCAGGTTTTCCCACATTTTTTGCAAACAAATGAAAAAACTGCGTTATTTAGGGGAATATTTAGGGGACAATATAGGGGATTTATTAAGGGATGATTGCCATGAGTCTTTTTTTTTCTTCAAAAGCAACACAGGGTTTCCTCCGAGAGAAATAGGCTTCGGTTTGCCCGCGCTGATTGCTATCAACATTAGTCGTTAGTTTGATTCATTGCCTGATTTTAATGATATTATCAAGTTTTGTTATTCACGTTCAACCACATGGCTTTTTGTCCATGCTCAGACTTCTGCTCATACAGCAGTTTCAACATAATATCTCAATCACAGATTTCTAAAGTCTAAAGTGAACTACAAAAGCAATTAGAGACAACTGTCTCAAGAAAGAAATCATGGAAATTAGGAACATTTGAGGAGAGATTTATTGTAGTAGTATTCGTTTATTTGGGGGAAAATGGGTTGCAGCACATCACAAAGGCATTTAAAAAAAAAAAAAAATGATATCGGCAGACATGACAAGGGGCGAGAGGAGGGGGGGGGGGGTCAGTGCCAGACCAGCTGGGTAAACAGTGCGTCCTAGCTATCATTGATTCAGGAGTTTGATGGCTTGTGGGACGAAAGACAGCCTAGATCTGATCTTTTCAAACAGAGGGGCCCGATATCTCCGCCCGGATGGCAGCAGTTCAAAAAAATAAGAGTTAATAATAATAATAATAATAATAATAATAATAATAATGGGTTTAATTTATAAAGCACTTCATATTTGACTTCAAATCCCGAAGTGCTAAGAGGGTGCCTCAGGTTTTAAAACTCTGTCCTTGTGTAAGCTTTCTATACTAGAAAATGAGATTCCTGACAATTTACTGGACAATGTTAAACGATAACACCAGATAATTGAAAACTTTATTGCTATGTACTTTTATTAAATATTAACATGTAAAAGCTTATTCAATAAATACAGAAGTAAATTATAATCTGCTCATGTCTATGTGTTTTATTTCTTTATGCCAATGACAAATGGTTTGTTTACATAGGTTCATGTATCTTTTTGTTATTCACATTTCAACCTGGCTTATCAAAAGTTAGGATTTGTGTTCGTACAGCGCTTCATACTGTACAGTCATTCATAGCCTGATTTACATCATGTTTCCTTCATTTTATTCACATTTACAGAGTCTCCTGTTCACATTGGTAAAACCTAAAGTTAACAATACAAAATAATCATGACACATAGGTTAATATATCTTTCATAGCCTCACATTTTATTTCTAAACAAATTGTGAAAAGCTGGATGCTCTCAGTCACCAGCCTCAGTCATCAGGGAACAGAGTGATCGACATCTGAAACATATAATAGGTCACTTTTAAGGAGGTGAGAAAAATTCCTGCTCCTATCTTTGATGATTTGCCTGATCCGGACTACCCTCTGGTCCAAGAGGAAAGCTCTCTGGGTGTTAATAGCATTGCAGAAAGCATCACAACTCCTATTGTTGAAGAAGAGAGGAAGTTAGAGGAGACGGATGTTGTCAAGTCCACAAGTTATTCTAAACATAAAAACAAATTATTGCAGGGCATCACTGTCAAGCAGTTTTTTTTCCAAAGTGTGGATTCATCACATGGTGGCACAGCTAAAGAAAATATTTGAGCCAGACCCAAAAGTGGGAACCATCAGTTGAATGTCTACTGAGGCAGTTTGCTCCTGACAGAGGGTGGTGAGGAACCACATAGGGGGAAATAAATGAGTGTTTTCAGAAGTTTTCAAGTATTGTACTTTTGCTATCTCTGCACCCTGACAAACATTAGCCACCTTTAGCTTAGCGGTGGTGACGTGAAGTCATGTGACCGTGCTGAAGTAACTTTACAGCCCAACATAAGCCACCTTTAGCTTAGCGGTGGTGAAGTCATGTGACCGTACTGTAGTTCCTTTACAGCCCAACATTAGCTGCCTTTAGCTTAGCGGTGGTGACGTGTAGTCATGTGACCGTGCTGTAGTTCCTTTTAGAGCCCAACATTAGCCCCCTTTAGCTTAGCGGTGGTGACGTGAAGTCATGTGACCGTGCTGTAGTTCCTTTACAGCCCAACATTAGCCACCTTTAGCTTAGCGGTGGTGACGTGAAGTCATGTGACCGTGCTGTAGTTCCTTTACAGCCCAACATTAGCCACCTTTAGCTTAGCGGTGGTGACGTGAAGTCATGTGACCGTGCTGTAGTTCCTTTACAGCCCAACATTAGCCACCTTTAGCTTAGCGGTGGTGACGTGTAGTCATGTGACCGTGCTGTAGTTCCTTTTAGAGCCCAACATTAGCCACCTTTAGCTTAGCGGTGGTGAAGTCATGTGACCGTACTGTAGTCCCTTTACAGCCCAACATTAGCTGCCTTTAGCTTAGCGGTGGTGACGTGTAGTCATGTGACCGTGCTGTAGTTCCTTTACAGCCCAACATAAGCCACCTTTAGCTTAGCGGTGGTGACGTGTAGTCATGTGACCGTGCTGTAGTTCCTTTTAGAGCCCAACATTAGCCCCCTTTAGCTTAGCGGTGGTGACGTGAAGTCATGTGACCGTGCTGTAGTTCCTTTACAGCCCAACATTAGCCACCTTTAGCTTAGCGGTGGTGACGTGAAGTCATGTGACCGTGCTGTAGTTCCTTTATAGCCCAACATTAGCCACCTTTAGCTTAGCGGTGGTGACGTGAAGTCATGTGACCGTGCTGTAGTTCCTTTACAGCCCAACATTAGCCACCTTTAGCGTAGCGGTGGTTACGTGAAGTCACATGGCCGGTTTTTCCTTCACAGGGAATGGTCGATCCGTAACAAGGTGAAGCTGCTGGGCACCTGTGGAGGTCCGGCCCACCTGTCGGGGGAGAACCTGGAGGCCGTGCACCCTCAGGAGCTGCGCTGCCAGAGCCAGGAGGCCATGCTGAGGGCGGAGAGGGAGGAGGCCGCCAGGGTCACTCCTCCTCCCACTCAGGAGCCAAAGAACAAGGTCAAGTGTCCGGCAAACTGCGTCTGCGAGGTGAGTGCCTCTACCAGGTTTTCAGGTACTTGATGCACACATTTGTTGTCCACATATACTTTTTATATATATTGTTTTTACGGAGTCATGCTAGCTGTGTCCCCTGCTTCAAATCTTGGAATTGTGGTGCAGACATTCAGTTTTTTACCCAGAAATCTTGAGTACCCCAACGTTTTCTGTCAGAGATGTGTAGTACGGGTCCACAGCACATAGAAACTGCCGGATGCAAAAGCAATGGGATTTCCCCAACACTTCACATTAAGTGGAATTATTGTGTTTTGTCCTCTCTAACCTTCCCATATTTTCCAGGCTGATACACACCACTCTTCCTGTGAGAACCGCGCTCACACTAAAGTTCCTCGCGGTTTCTCTCCGGACACGAGGCTCCTGGACCTCCGAGGAAACCACTTCCACTTCATCCCCAGCAGCAGCTTCCCCGGCGTGGCCCAGGTGGTTTCGCTCCACCTGCAGCGCTGCAAGATCGTGGAGGTGGAGGACGGGGCGTTCAGCGGCATGAAGGGCCTGATCTACCTCTACCTGTCCGAGAACGACCTCTCCTCCCTTAGCCCCAACGCCTTCAAAGGTCCTTAAAATGCATCATTAACACTTTAAAGGGGACCTATCATGCAAAATGCACTTTTTGATGTCTTTTATACATAAATATGTGTCCCCGGTGTGTCAGGGAACTCACAAAGTGTCAGAAAACAAAACCCTCTCTCTTTTCCTCCGTACCCAAATCTCTAAAAACGGGGGTCAACGGAGCTGATCCAGATTTGCTGCCGATATGACGTAATATCGGAAACGTTGCTATCAGAAACAATGCGTAACGTTTTGGAAGTAATATGGTCTTTGTTTACATTAGCAAGCATCGCTAACACTCAGAGCTAACAGAGAGTATGTGTAAAAAAGTATAAAAAGGAACTCACCTTGTGGTAAACCCGCAAGAGAAAAAGTATTTGAGCTCCATACTGTGTCAGAAATAATCCTTGATGTGGTTTGGAACATGATATGGCGTTTAATCACGGCAGCATTTAGCTGAAAATCTCTCGGTAGAATTCTGAGCAGGCATTAGCTCCCATCCCCTCTTTTTACATTTTATTTTTTAAAGCTAAGGACCCAAAATCAGCGTTTCTCTAACAAGGCTGAAATAGAGGGGTATGAGGCATGGCTGGGTGATCTGTTTGGTATTTTGAGCAAATCACATACTGTTTTTTATATTTCTTTATATATCTGAGACCAAAAATAGCACGATAGGAAACCTTTAAAAAGTAGCAGTAGGTAGATTTGCCAGATAGATGCGCTTTAAATTCCTATCATTTAATTTCTCAGGCCTCCCTCAGCTCACGTACCTCCACCTGGAGAAGAACCGCTTCACCGGTTTCCCCCGGGGAGCCTTCAGCCTGGTGCCCAGCCTGCTGGCTCTGCACCTGGAGAACAACTCCATCTCCAGGCTGGAGCCGGACGTCCTGCTGGGGGCCGGGAGCCTGCGCTCGCTCTACCTCACCGGGAACGCCATCGGGAACGTGTCCCCTCGAGCTCTGGAGGGGGCGGGGGACCTGGACACGCTCCACCTGGGGGGCAACAAGCTGAAGGAGGTGCCCACCGAGGCGTTTAGTAAGATGGGGAGCCTGCGGGACCTGAGGCTGTCCGGGAACACCATTCGCTGGGTGGGGCCGAACGCCTTCAGACCCCTGGAGAGGAGCCTGAAGGAGCTGTACCTGGACAACATGGGACTGGAGAAGGTGAGGGGGTCACAAGCAGAGATGGCAAAAGTAACACATCCTTTACTCAAGTAGAAGTACAGATACTCGTGTTTAAAAATACTCTGGTGAAAGTAGAAGTACTGACTAAACTTCTTTACTCAAGTAAAAGTAAAGAAGTATGGGCTTTGAAATGTACTTCAGTAAAAAGTACCCATAACTAGCAGCTGTTTTAAAGAGTACCTGACCTCCCTTTATATTAATAGAACAATAATGTCATTGTTAGCTAATGAATGTTTCCATGCTGAACAATATTATTTAACAGTTGTGTTTCATCCCACAGAACATCCATACCTGTGACCTAAGATTTTCATTGTCATATCTACACTATGTACACATGACAATAAAAGCCTTGAATCTTGAAAAAGTATTCTGATGTTTATTGCTCCAGATGTCTCCGAGCTCCCTGGCAGGAGTGGGTCCAGGTCTGAGGAGTCTCTTCCTGGAGGGGAACCTTCTGGAGGAGGTGCCAGACCTCCACCCTCTCTCCTCTCTGGAGGTCATCAACCTGGCCCACAACCCTCTGATGTGTGACTGCCCTCTGCTGCCACTGCGCATGTAATACACGTCTTCTTTATCGTCTTTTTTTTACATCATAATCTATTTTATTTTTCACAATTTTCCTCCGTTCTCCTCACTTTTGAAATGACTTCTTCCTCCATTTCTTTGTAAACGCCCAATGACCAGATACATTAAAGAAAAATGGGAAAACGTAATTACAATCCACTCAATTTTAGCTAATAGTACCATCATTTGAGATACAGTATTTAGTTTTCAGGGCTTTTAAATACAAGTTAATTTCATATTGCCTCCATGTCATCAAATATTTTGTGTTTTCTTCACTTTTTAAATGACTAATTTCTTGTTAACTATATATATAAAAACGTGGGAAAACTGTCATATTTTACTTAAAGAACCATGACCTAAGATACTTCGTGTCCGGGGCGTTTTTAAATAAACGATAATGTGATATTTCCTCTCCAGGTGGATAGAGAAAGTGAACCTAAAGGTGCGAGCCACGTGTGCGAATCCCCCCGAGCTGATTGGTCGACGGGTGAAGGACGTCCAGGTCTTCAGAGCCTGTCCTGGGGGAGAAAGTCTTCCTTCCCCCCCCACCGTCACCCCAAAACCAGCAAAGGCCCCCAAAGCCACCAAACCCAAACCGATGCACCTCAAAGGCCCGCGGCGGGTCAAGATGCTCAAAGCCAAACGTCGTAAAGGATCCAACACGAAACCCACAGCGGCGAAGAAAACCACCAAGAGACGCAGCATGGCCTGAGAGGCTTTTTAAAGACAAACCATGGAGTTAATTCCTCTAGAAATGTAACAGCTTCAATATATCAGATTTCTATTACATTGTTTCTGCATCATTTTCTATTTGTCATCTGTTGGTAACTGTTGAAAAACGTCTGTTACAACACATTATGTAATGATTTCACTGACAAAATGTAACGCGTATAAAACACACTTCCTTATGTAATAACACTCATTCGTTAATAAGCAGCGTCAAGGCAATATGTAATGCATTCACCTGCTTCTCGTAATGTTTCTTACACCATGCCTGAGTCGTTTTATCAGACGCGGCCTGAGAAAGCTGCTTTTTTAAAGTTTTTAAAAGACAAACCATGGATTTAATTCCTCTAGAAATGTAACCTGTTAAGGGTTTTTAACATCTTCAATATATCAGATTTCTATTACATTGTTTCTGCATCATTTTCTATTTGTCATCTGTTGGTAACTGTTGAAAAACGTCTGTTACAACACATTATAAAATGATTTCACTGACAATCACACATATCGTTATGTAATAACACTCGCATTTGTTAATAAGCAGCTTCAAGGCAATATGTAATGCATTCACCTGCTTCTCGTAATGTTTCTTACACCATGCATGAGTTGTTTTATCAGACATGGCCTGAGAAAGCTGCTTTTTAAGAAAGACAAACCATGGATTTAATTCCTCTATACATGTATCCTGCTGAGGCTTTTTAACATCTGCTATAGGACAGACTTATATCAGTCTATTGTTGCATTATTTACTCAAATCATTAGTGTAGAAACAACACAAATATGCAATAACACAATATGTTATAGTTGGCCAACATGCAATACGTTTGCACGTTTTTATCCAATAACACCTGCATTTTGTAATAATTAACTACATATTGCAATGTGTTTTACATGTATGAGTCTTTTTTTATCAGACATGGCCTGAGAGCTGCTTTGTTTACGTTTTAAAAGACAAACCATGGATTCAATTCCTCTAGAAATGTAACCTGCAGAGGATTTTTTGAACATCTCCAATATTTCAGATTTGACCGTTTCTGCAGTTCTCCTTGTCGTCTAATAATAACTGTTGAAAAACATCTATAACACATGTGACAAATAAACGATGGACAACTTCACATTAAAGGTCCCATGTCATGCTTTTCTGGTTATTACCCGTCCCCTTGTGTGTTATGAAGGTTTTTCTGCATGTGAACGGTCTGCAGAGTCACAAACCCTCAAAGTACACCCTGTAGCGAGTAAAACTCTAACACAGAAAAGACCTGTCTATGCTGCCCCAGAACGCCTCGTTGGACATTTCTCTTTTTCCATTGTTTGCTTCCTGGGTTCAGTGACGTGTGAACACCCAAATCAACAACAAATGACCGGATTGGCCCAAATGGACCAATCCGTGGAGCACCTCCCACACCAGGATCCCTTGGCTAACTAACAGGGAGTCCCCATTGACTTGCATAGAGCTCCCTGAACGCTGGTAATAGACGAGTTGGGATGGTGGAGAAATGCTCTCCGCAGACCCATTCTCACAGCGTTATAAACCTTTTTCTTTCTCAATATCAAGCCACACTTATTGTTTTTACTTCGGCTGTGAGTGTTTGTGTGTGCTCAGGATGAGTTTCGCTGTGTCTCGCTGTATCGCCGACCCGGAAACCTGTCCGCTCCTCGCAGCAACGAGCCTCGCAACGTCCCGACCAATCAGAGCACAATGGGCTCACAGGGAGGGGGGGCAGGAGCTCCAACAAGCCGTTTAGGACAGAGAGTGAATACACATACTATACAGAGATGCTGTATGAGGAACCAATGTGAGTTTGGAACAATGCACAATATAAATCTATTCTAGTAGACCTCAACAATGGAATTATGATCAGTAGAAATGGCCGTGACATGGGACCTTTAACACAAGGTTTTAACATCTTTAAGGCAAGTCAAGTGAATGAGAAACATCGTGAGAAACACCTGCAGAATGAACAGAACTACAAGCATCCAAACCAAAGAAAATTTTTCCTTTATAATCAATTATTCTATATTTACAACAAACAGAAAAAACACCTCTGTGAATAAAACAGGACTATATGTGAACTAGGAATGATCTTCAGATTCATGTTTACAGCTTGTAAGTCATATGTTCATTGTCATTGTGTAGTCAAATGTGCTAACATGGAGAACGTGAGGTAGTTTTGGCAAAGCGGGTCCTTCTGAAAGTCGTGTTTTTAACATATATAAAGAATGGTAGGCAACTCAAAACCATTTCCGTTATCAATTAACCTGCACACTTTCTCAAATTTGCTGATTTTGTCAATAAAATGTCAGAAAAAAAGTGAAAAATGTCCATTTTAGCTTCTCAACATCCAAGGTGATGTCTGTTAAAAGTGTAGTTTGTCAATCCCTAACACCAAAGATAGTCACTTTAATGTCATATATCAGAAAAAAGCAGGATATCTATGTATTCAAGAGACAAAACACATTATATCTAGCTGGCGATCATTTTTCTGCCCATTGACTCAGTGGACTAATCGTTGCAGCTCTATGTGAAGTATTTAAGGTATGACCCCCAAGATTATCGTGAAATCAAATCCAGTTTTTAATACTTTTTATAGTTAATATCTTCCCATTCAATAATATCTTCATATTTAAGGTTGTATTGGTAGTTTTGGAGTCCAGTATTGTTAGTTTATTTGTGTTAGTGTGTGACTTTTTGGGGTTTTAAAGTGTTAGAGAGTCGACACAATAACACAAAAGCAAACAGATCGAAGCAGCAAATCCTGTGTTTCAAGAGGTAAACCGGTGTTTTTGTTAATGGAGTCTGAGCATATTAAACGGGTTCAATTCCCTGTAGGAAAAAAGGACTATTGACGGCAAGGAAAAGTGGTGAAAATACTCAAAATATAGCATTATCCTTAACAGATAATGATGTTTTAGGGGTCTTAAGTACGACTCTTATCTTCCTGCTGGTCCTTCTGTTGGTTTCTCCAAACTTAGACTGCCATCTACTGTTGGTAATACACCGACCATGGATAAGTAGATCCTATAACCCCAGAAACATCTTCTCTATTGGTTTTACATTTGCTCTGAATCTCCTAGAAAGCTTTTTTCTGTCTCGTTTTGCCAGTTTTTCTTCAACGTAATCGTCTTTTTCACTCCATAACATAGCCTTCTCAATCTTTTTCTCTCGTCCACCTCATGTCTCCATCCCTGCAGCCTCTCCTGTTGTGTCCTGCTCCGTGTTGCTCTCTTCCTCCATGTTGCTTTCCCCACTGAAGCTCTCTCCAAATGATCCAAACTCTTCACTTCTTCTTCCCGTTGTAGTTTCTTCCATGCTGCTCTCCTCTGTTTCCGGTTGCTGTCCCGACTTTCTCTCTCCACCCTCCTCCTTTTTGATTCTATCCAGAGCCGCTTTAGGAGTCTCCATCTCCACCTCCACCTCCTCCACTTTCACCTGCACCGCAGAGACTATAGAGACAGAAATATGTCAGCAGATGACAGAGGTGGGAAGTACATTTACTCAAGTGCAATTTGAGGTACTTTCCATGTTATGCTTCTTTACACTTCTACTCCATCTAAAGCTTTAGCTACTTAAAAAAAAACTATTCTCTAAAAATGTAACTAGTGGACGAACTCTTTAAGTCACCAAAGAGTCAAATTATTGAAATATTTTTACGTAAAAAGTCAATCAGGAATGTGTTTGTCTTCAACAGTAAAATGCTACTTGATGCATCTAGAAATGTCACATATATAAATATAATCAGTGATGGAAGAAGTACTCCTACTGTTAGAAATACTACAGTGTAAAAATACTCAGCTACAAGTAACTTAAAGGTAGGGTAGGTAAGAATGGAGAAACCAGCTCGAGTGCGCTAGAATTTGAAAGTACACAACCGGAGAAAATCTGCCACTTCCTTACAGAGCCCCTCCTCCAACACACACGAACGCGCACATGACCAATGAGGGCACGAGATAAGTTTGTGCACGAGATGGAAGGCTGACAGGCAGGTAGGCCATCCAGTTATTTTAGCCGGGCCGGCTCAGATGATTGGTCGTGCTTTTTACAGTACTACAGCTTCCACAGATGACTTTTTTTTTTATGTATTTATTGTCAAAGCATTTAATATATTCATTGCTATCGGGATGTTAAGAGCATTCCATGGAATATAACAAGTGTTTCTGAAGTGAATTACCTAACCCACCTTTAAGTAAAAGTATATGCATACAAATATACTTTAAGTAACAAAAGTAAAAGTTGTCGTCATGCAGAATGGCCCATTTAAGCACCATGTATTTTTAAATTATTGTATTATTGATGCATTAATGTGTTCATAACTTCAATGTTGCACTTGGAAGAAGTCAAGTCTATTTGGTATTATTTTATATACTACTGGTTGGCTTAACCTATAATAAAATATAGTAATGAATTAGTTCTTTATATATGTATATGAGTAAAAGTATAGGGTAGCTAAAGGAGAAAATACTCAAGTAAAATACACAATTACCTCAATGTTTTACTTAAGTACAGTACTTGAGTAAATGTACTTAGTTACAGCCCACCTCTGAATATATTTATATACACACAAAAAGGCAATTTTTACTTTGACTTATTATACTTGAAGTACATTTTGCTGATTACACTTTTGTACTTTTACTTAAAGGTAGGGTAGGTAAGTTTGAGAAACCGGCTCGAGATACACTTTTTGTTATATTCCATGGAATGCTCTTAACATCCCGATAGCAATGAATATCTGAAGTGCTTTGACAAAATATCCATAAAAAAATGTCATCTGTGGAAGCCGTGGCGCTGTAAAAAGCACGACCAATCATCTGAGCCGGCCCGGCTAAAATAACTGGATGGCCTACCTGCCTGTCAGCCTTCCATCTGTGCACAAACTTATCTCGTGCCCTCATTGGTCATGTGCGCGTTCGTGTGTGTTGGAGGAGGGTCTCTATAAGGAAGTCTGAAGGAAGTGGCAGATTTTTTCCGGTTGTGTATTTTCAAATTCTAGCGATCTCGAGCCGGTTTCTCCAAAATTACCTACCCCACCTTTAAATAAGATTTTTGAATGCAGGACTTTAGTTGTAATGAAGTATTTTGACACAAGGTATTTGTACTTTTACTCAAGTAAAGTATCTGAATACTTCTTCCACCTCTGGAAAATGACCAAAATGACGTCACAGAAATGAATCAGTTTGTCCACTTACTGTCCCGCTCCTCCGGCTCAGTTTTGGGCAGGACGAGAGGAACTTTGGGAGGAAGACGGAGGTTTTCCGGCTCTGGAGGAGCGTCGGTGGAGACGTCGTCCGGCTGCTGAACATCGTCTTCTTCAGCTTCCCGACAGAACCTCTTCTTCCCATTCCTCTTTCCTAATGAAAAAAGAAAAGTTATATAACTATCTAATTAAAAAGAAAACACTAAATATGATGGGAAAACACGAGTCCATGTACATTTCCGATTTAAACGTACTTCTTTTCCCCTTTTGTTTCTTGTTCTGTGCCGCAGGGTCGAATAGAACTGTAAACAGAAGAAAAACGTGTCATTTATATCAAACATTTAAAGGCCCTGACACACCAAGCTGACACCAAAGAACACGTCCCGACGGACCCGACTGTTGTGTCGCCTCACGTCTCCTGCGTCTTGGTCAAACAGTCGCACTGGAACACACCGCAAAGACTTCAGCCGACGGCCAAGTAGCACGTACGCACTGCGCATGCGTGAGTGGCAATAACTCTCCTTACCAGCAGGCGGCGGTAGTGTGTATTCTTAATTCAAAAGAGGCAACAACCGGAAGACAGACTGCGTGATACACCGAGAGAAGAAGAACAGACTGCGTGATATATACAAACAACAAATAGCATGCGTTCCATGTTCACTCTCGTCCATCACAGACTGTTTCACATAACGACTTATAATCGAAAGCATGTTTAGTGCGGTACTGGAAAATGAAAAATAATAGCCGTCTGTGTGTGCTGCCTTCCCTTCCGTTTCGCTTCTCATGCACTGATTCGCTAAGCTGAACAGCCAATCAGAGTGATTTCTTTTGCCGACAGCCTCCCGATTCAACATGTTGAATCGGGGGGCGGAAGGTGTCGGCACGGCCGAAAAGACACGACGGTGCAGGACACACCAATCTGAGTAGGGCGACAGGACGCTCATCGACGGTCAGACATCTATCGACGGCCGAAATCAGCTCGGTGTGTCCGGGCCTTAAGAGAAAACATCCACACAGACATCATAAGTCACCAGTTAAACCTCCAACCATGATACTGGAAGATATCCTGTCTTTCTTTCTACACATTTTCTTAATAACAGTTCAATCAGAATCAAAATGCCTCTTGAAAATCCTCAACAGCTTTCCTTAGATTCTTAAAGAAAACTTTTATTTTCTCCACAACATACTACAGTTAAGTGATTTTTAAAATGAGTGTTTACCGAGTCCTGGGGGCGGCTGCAGAGGATAGTCCATGAGGTCACACCAGCCCACAGGGTAGATGTCGGGCGACTGGTGGTCGAACCACTGGTCGAACTCGTCCTCCCAGCCGTCGAAGTGTATGAGCAGCAGGCGGCCGACGCAGCGCTTCACCGTCGCCACGCAGAGCAGCCGCGGCTCCATCAGATCCACCGCCTCCAGCTTCATGTCGGGGGAGAAGCCGTGACCCGGGAAGTCCTGGGGGAAAAGGGGGATTAATATGTAGTTTGAGGATGTTTCACAGAATATTTAGAAGTCCCCGATTATACTGTTTTTCATCAATATATTATAGGTCTCAGATATATACAGAGCCTGTCTCTGATTGGCTGAAACACCAAACAGATCATTGCAGCATCCCATAATCCCCTCTGTTTCAGCCCTGTTTCCAAAGTGCTGATTCTCTGTCTGTTACTTTAGATGAAAATAAGGAGCCCCTCCCCACGCCCCCTCTGAGAGAGATTTGGTTAAAAAGAACACAATGGTGCTCTAGGAGGAGATTCAGGTGATAAGGTGGGGGGGGGGTTACCTTGGTGATTGGCTAATGGTTACACAAGACAACACATCGTTATGACATCACAAAGTGGCCAAAATCTGATCAGCTCATTTTCAGACAGGTTTTTATATAAATGGATCAGGACAAAAAGAGAGAGAATCTTTGTTCCTGAAACTTTCAGAGGGGACACATGTTGATGTAGAAGAGACGTGAAGAAGTGGATTTTGTATAATAGGTGACCTTTAAATCTTCTGAGGGACAGAAACCGTTTCAGAATGATTCTAAAGAGAGAGCACAGCTACAAATGCAACACTTTGGACTTCCTGTCTTACGGCGTTAAACAGTCGTGGCGGTACAGATTTAGCGTTGGTGTCCGTCAGGTATTCCTCCCAGGTGAAGATCTGAGAGTCATAATCTGCCAAGAGAGAGAAATCAGGAAAAAAATTATGTATTTATTGAGTTAACCAATCGTTGTGGTTTCTGTGTAAAAAATAGGACCACTGTATGAAAGCTCTGTATTTACCTGGAGGAACCGTGAGAGGGATGTTGTTCTGCTTGCAGAAGTTAACAGGAAGGATGGCGTGAGACGAGGCGTGGTAACAGAACCAGTCGTAGCCGTTAGACGAGACGCCATCGATCCCGACCATCAGGTAACCGTCTAACAGCACCTGGAGAAACAGAGGAGAGATGGATGAAGGACAACAATACAGGAAGTGTTCATGTATAAGATACACTTTGTGAAAGGGTGTGAGTCCAACCTAAGCTCTTAAATAAACTAAGAAGCCAAAAATACAGATATTCGTTTCCATTGAAAGCATACGTTTTTTTTTCACTGTCAAATAAAGGAGTCTTACCTTCTGAATGGTGGCCACACAGATGCTGCCCAGGTTGAGCGGGTCGATGGCCTCCAGCTTCATCCCCTCCTCAAAGTAACATCCCTCCATGTAGACAAACCTCGGCTGCAGACAAGAGAGAGAGAGAGTTGAGTTAAAGCAGATTCATGTAGACGGTGACTTTCTATAGTGAGGGCAGATTAGTGTATTAGCAGATTAGTGTTCATCCTGAACTAGTGCTTATACATTAGGTCCAAATACAGTTTTATTCTTTTTTTTCAATTTCATTGAATTTGCTTTGGTGTTTAATGTTTTTAAATTAATATGCATACATAGACACAATAAGATAAATAAGTATAAGTAGTGTAAAATAAGGGCTCCACGAGCACCCCTGTCCCTGTCCCCCCCCCCCCGCTCAAGCCCCGGATCTCCTATGAACCTAAATCCGCCACCGGTATGAGGGATGTCTACACTTACCTTTTTAAAGAGCACGAATGAACTGTCATAGTTCCCTCTGAAGGTCTTGGAAGCAGGTCCCGTAGTGGTTACTGAAATAAAAAAATATATAGGCATATATTATGGGTCTCAGATATATAAAAATATATAAAAACATGTCTATGATGTGTTTTTCTCAAAATACAAACAGATCATGCATTTTAGACATCCCTCATACCCCTCTTTTGCAGCCCTGTTAGAGAAACGAGGATTTTGGGTCCTTAGCTTTAAAAAAAAAAAAAAAGAAAACAAGAGGAGGCGGAGCTAATGCCTGATCAGAATTCTACCCGAGATAAAGTTAAATTTTGCTGTGATAAAACGCCATCCTGTTCTAAACCACATCAAGGATTATTTCTGAAACAGTATGGAGCTCAAATGCTTTTTCTCTTGCGGGTTTATCACAAGGCGAGTTCCTTTTTTTATTTCTTGCTTTTTAAACACATGTGCTCTCCAGTACAGGTTAGCTCTGAGTGTTAGCGAGGCTTGCTAATGTCAACAAAGACCATATTACGTCCAAAACACGTCAGGCATTGTTTCTGATAGCAACTCTCTGTGGGTCCGCCGCTGATTTGACGTCATATCGGCAGCAAATCTAACCTAATCACTAGTTTAATCCTATGTTAGTAATCGTACCTGGTGCTTTGATGTTGTGTCCGACCTGCTGGGACCAGCCGATCTGGTGCAGCAGAGGACTCGCCAGGTGGCACCAGAAGTCGTCAACGATGTTTTCGGGCGCATCGCTCTGGTCCTCGTAAACCAGCCGCAGACGGCCCCCTCTGATCGAGTGGACCGCCGCCAATCGAGTCCGACTCACATGCTTCGGGTCGACCACCTCCACCCGCATCCCGACTCTGAAGGAGGTCCGCATGCTCTCTCCCAACTAATAATAATAATAATAATAATAATAATAATAATACGTTTATTTAGTATAGCACCTTTCAAAGAAATAGAATCCACAAAGTGCTTCACAAGAAAGAACAACAATTAAAATTAAAACCACAGAAACTTGAATACAATAACAACATGAGGCAGAAACTTAAAGGGGACCTATCATGCAAAATGCACTTTTTTATGTCTTTTATACATAAAGATGTGTCCCCGGTGTGTCGGGGAACTCACGCAGCGTCAGAAAATAAAACCCTCTCTCTTTTCCTCCGTACCCAAATCTCTAAAAACGGGGCTACAACGGAGCTGATCCAGATTTGCGTCCGATATGACGTAATATCTGAAATGTGGACCCACGGCCCAATCAGAAACGTTGCTATCAGAAACAATGCCCGACTGTTTTGGACGTAATATGGTCGGTGTTTACATTAGCATCGCTAACACTCAGAGCTAACCTGTACTGGAGAGCATGTGTGTGAAGAAGCAGGAAATAAAAAGGAACTCACCTTGTGGTATAACCGGCAAGAGAGAAAGCCTTTGAGCTCCATACTGTTTCAGAAATAATCCTTGATAATCCATGATATGGCGTTTCATCACGGCAGTATTTAGTTTAGACAGTAGCTGCCGGGTCCCCCATGAGCTCAGCCCCCTACATTTTTATTTTGTAAAGCTTTATACCCCAAATCAGCACTTTTGAAACAGGAAGTGAAATAGAGGGATATGAGGCATGGCTAGAATGGGTGATCTGTTTGGTATTTTGAGCAAAACACTTCATAGACATGTTTTTTATATATTTATATATATCTGAGACCTATGCTAGTGCCTAAAAATAGCATGATCGGTGATCTTTAAGGTTAAAACATTAAAAAAAACAGAACATATCACACACATCTCAAGTAGAAACAAAAGCCAATGTAAAAAGATAGGTCTTCAGTACTTAGGAGAAGGATAAGAGATGTATTTTTGTTTGACTGAAATTCAAACCATTTGTTGTTGTTGTTTTTACTTATTTTATGTATCGACTGTGGTATGCATACATATACTTTGTTTTAAATACAATACAACAATTATTTGAGCACCGGATAAAGCGGTTGACAAATATATATTTCTTTATCATTCATACAAAAATGTAATAAAAAATTAAACAAAATAGAGACACATGCTTGATTGTAAACCTTTACGCCTGAACCTGTCCAGATGGAAATTAGCTTAGAAGAAAATCTGTCATGAATCATCACTTTTCTTGTTTTTTATGCATGGTGCTTGTTTAATAAAGACTATTAATTATACTTACAATAAAATCAGCCTCAGTATATTCAGACTTACCTTCAGGTAGAAGTCCACAGGTAAAGTGTGGGTCCCCACCAGCGTCTTCATCAGATACTCTTTCCAATCTGGGATGTGCTGCTTCACGTCTGGGGAGACACAATTCCTCAATTTAGATTATATACTATAAAAGATCTGATGAAGGCTAACACAACACGTTTAAAGGTCACCTATCATGCTATTTTTAGGCAATAGCATAGGTCTCAGATATATAGAAATATATAAAAAAACATGTCTATGAAGTGTTTTGCTCAAAATACCAAACAGATCACCCATTCTAGCCATGCCTCATATCCCTCTGTTTCACTTCCTGTTTCAAAAGTGCTGATTTGGGGTATAAAGCTTTAAAAAATTAAAAAGGAGGGGTCTGAGCTCATGCGGGACCCGGCAGCTACTGTCTAAACTAAATACTGCGGTGATGAAACGCCATATCATGGATTATCAAGGATTATTTCTGAAACAGTATGGAGCTCAAAGGCTTTCTCTCTTGCTGGTTATACCACAAGGTGAGTTCCTTTTTATTTCCTGCTTCTTCACACACATGCTCTCCAGTACAGGTTAGCTCTGAGTGTTAGCAATGCTAATGTAAACACCGACCACATTACGTCCAAAACAGTTGGGCATTGTTTCTGATAGCAACGTTTCTGATAGGGCCGTGGGTCCACATTTCAGATATTACGTCATATCGGATTAAAATCTGGATCAGCTCCGTTGTAGCCCCGTTTTTAGAGATTTGGGTACGGAGGAAAAGAGAGGGTTTTATTTTCTGACGCTGCGTGAGTTCCCCGACACACCGGGGACACATATTTATGTATAAAAGACATCAGAAAGTGCATTTTGCATGATAGGTCCCCAAGAGAAACTGCTGTAATGACCCTCATGATATTTGATTATTTTTCAATGTGGCCTTATTTCTCAAGTCCTATATAGTAACAACACAGTCATAGCTAGAAGTAGGGGGGACTCAAACTCCAATTGTGTGCAGTATATCATACTTGTTTTAAAATGTAAATTGCTATACTGCTTCTTAGTCTGAAGTTTGGGAATTTTCTACTGATGCAAGCTTGTGTCACACATGATTTAGCTCTCAGGCCATCGCACGATAATACCTGTAATCCAGATTCTAGCTACGATTAACAACATCATTTAGGATTTTTTTTTTAAAGAAACCATGCATTTCAATCACAAGTACAGGTAGTGGTGTTCAGAGAGTTAAGTGCTACAGGGTTCATACACTTTTTCACCAATGATTTTCAATGACTTCTCCAGGACCTTTACCTAATTTTCCATGACCAAAAACATTACTCTTTCTCAGCGGTACCACTGAAAATGTTTTATTTTAACATGGAACAGGAAAATAAGGTCTGAAACATGTTGTGCCTATCTAAAACAAATCAAATAGTTGGCTTACTAGCTTCTACATGCTAAAGCAACTAAAATAGTTACATTTCCATAACTTTTCCAAAACTTTGGGAAAAATATTGTTTTCCATAACTTTTCCAGGGCCTGGAATTAGCATTTTGAATTTCCATTACTTTTCCAGGTTTTTAATGACCGTAAGAACCCTGGTGCTAGCCTAAATATAAATAAAAAAGACATTAGGAAGTCATCATTCTGTCTTATTGTGTGAGTGCTCACCTTGTGGGGGCACCAGCAGTTTGCTCGTCATGGCGCACCATCCGATCGGGTTCAGCTCTGCAGAAACCAGGCTGCACCAAAAATCATGGCTGCTGTCTTCCTCAAAGCCTTCGTACCGCAACAGAGCTTTATATCCTGCAGACGAGAGGAGAGTCAATTACATTTTCTCACTGCATGACATGTCACTTGTTAGACGCTTTTATCCAAAGCGACTTACACACTCAATACTGTGCCCACAGGAGCAATTTGGGGTGAAGTGTCTTGCCCAGGGACACAACGACAAGCTGACTGCAGTGGGGTTTGAACCTGTGCTCCCATGATCCGAACACCAACGTACTAGTCCACTGCGCCACAGCCTCCCACTGCTGTTGTTTTAATATCTAAAATGTGCATGCTTTTGTTTTAATTCATTCTGTTTTGCTTTAATCCGTACGGGTGTCTAAACCTCTCTTGTGCTGCAGTCTTGGTCACTCCTGGTTCTAATACAGGTTGAATACAAAAGTTAATATTCACGCTACTGTATTTCCAAACATGCCTGATCAATTTAAACCTATTATCTGGGTTGTAGGGCTTAAATATGAGACCATTTATTTTGATTATAGCCCCACAGAGAAGCATTAACATCGATTACGAGTAAGAAAGATAGACTTAAGTTCATAATCATGTCCTCACCTGCGATCTGGATGACAGAAGCGATCCAGTAGACTTTACTGGGCAGGACAGCGTTTGCGTTCAGGACCTCCACCTTCATCCCAAGAGAGATGTCGTCCCACTGAGCACACAGGGGAACCTAAAGGGGGGGGGGGGGAGGTTAGCTTCATTCATTTCTGTTATACTGCAATGCTAAACCAGGCTTGTGATTAATCCTGAATATCTAAAGACTAGCAAGCCTGTGACTTTGTGCCTCACCTCAACTGTTGCATTATGTATTCCTATTTATTCATTTGTTTTTGACAATTATTCAAGGCTTTTATTGGTCATACGAACATAGCTACAGTGTAGTTATGACGATGAAAATCTTAGGTCACAGGCTCCTCCAACAGTGCAACACAAAACACAGATAAACACAAAAAAATTGTGCAAGTAAATAGTAAATACAAAAAGAAGCTTAGTTCGTATCTTCAGTCACTGGACAGATGTTTCAAAGTCACCCTAAAACCAAACTATAATAGTTATATATAATATATGCCTCCTACTGTCTGCCTAAACCACACCTATTTCTATTTCTAACAGCCATTCATAAAAATACTGACACATCGTATATATTTCACAGGAATTAGAGCGTTATTGTCAGCACCGTAACATCTAGTGTTTACCTGATTAAGTATTGTTTTTCGTTAAATATACAACAAGGGTGTATATGCTTGGGTAAAAAGGCTGTATGTATGCAAGAGTAGATTTATATATTGCATTTGATCTGCGAGTGAAAACAGAGTTTCTTGTGACTCTTCTCAGACTCACGTGTCTGAAGCAGGAAACGGCAGCAGCGAGAGCCGTCTCCTTCTCCAGGTAGGCGCCCCATTCAAAACCAACAGGGGATGCTGCAGAGTGGGAAGAAACGAGGATTAAAAAGAAGATTTAATGAGATATATTCGTGCACATGTACTGTATGCAGCTTCTGGTATTCAGAAACACACAAGAAATAACAGTAAAGTTGCTCTTTGCAGGAAAATCAGTCACAAAGTTAGAAGAAATACTTAAAATAACTGATTTACATCTGATTTTAAACTGTAATTAAGTCATTTACTAAGTGTGTGTGTGTGTTTCCGTGTGTGTGTGTGTGTGTTTCTGTGTCTGTGTGTTTCTGTGTGTGTGTGTGTGTGTCTGTTTCTGTGTGTGTGTGTGTGTTTCTGTGTGTGTGTGTCTGTCTGTGTGTGTGTGTGTGTGTGGTGTGTGTGTGTCTGTGTGTGTGGCGTGTGTGAGTGAGTGAGTGTGTGTCTGTGTGTGTGTGTTTCTGTGTGTGTGTCTGTGTGAGTGAGTGTGTGTCTGTGTGTGTGTGTTTCTGTGTGTGTGTCTGTGTGTGTGTGCGTGCCTGTGTGTGTGTGTGTGCGTGCCTGTGTGTGTGTGTGTGCGTCTGTGTGTGTGGTGTGTGCCTGTGTGTGTGTGTGTGTGTGTGTGTTCTCACCCTCCTGTGCTGGGGCTTTGTTCACTTTGTTCAGCACTGTGGCTTTTTTTGTGGGGGGCTTTCCCTGAGGAGAGAAACAAAGAAATAAGTCTCATTGTCATAATTGTTTGTTTCCACTTCACCTCGTTAAGCAGGTTGTAGCACATTTAGCCATGTGTATATTTATTTAAAAACTGTATGCATGTACTGCAGGGGAGGAGGACTTTATAGAGATTTTGATAAATTGTGTTTATATTTTCCCCAATATGGAAAGAGAAGATAAGTAAATATTTAAATATGTGATCAGACATTCTCCAATATTACTTTTTAGTTAATTAAGGAGAAATCTACAGACAAAATTCACTGTTTACTCATTTCGTTTTAGAAAATCCGGACATCTATGGCCATCTTATCAGTATTTTAATTAATCTGTATTTGTATTTATACTTTTGCTATTATTTTGTGGTTTGTAGCCTTATTTTTGTATACTTTCCCACTCATTACTCTATGACACCAGAACAATATAACTACTGCCACCATGTGTTTGTAATGATAAACTATGGTAATACAAACATTTATTGTACTTTATAACAACCAGTGAAAACATTGTGAGGTTTAGAAGACACAAACTTCAGAAACTAAAACGTATTCTGTGTAGCCCTACATTTTCTTTTCAACAATATCTACAGCATGAGTAACAAATATGTACTTTTGCATATTTGAATTGAATTTGTAAGAAAAGCTCTTCTTGAAATGAATTGATCTTAAAGAGCTTACGAAATGAAGGACAATACTGTTCTTATTACGATAATATATACTATTATTAATGGAAAATCATTTGTCATTAATGACAATATGCCCGCAGTATTTATACATCGTGATTTATTACAACTTTCCGATGTTACACGACCGCTCCGAACAAAACAGCTTTCGCCGGTTAGTGACGTCACGCACGTCGCGGTACGTCACGAGTAGAACACACTTGTTGAATAATACACAAACTATAAGGCTGATGACGGACTCTGGCTCGGATATTTCTACAGAATTGAGTGACAATGAGTCGTCAATAGACTCGGTGCCCTTTCAAGAAGAGGATAATTTTATTGAAGAGGATGCCGGTGTGGTGGAATCTGTGGCTCAGTGGGATAGTGCGCTGAACTTAGTGCGCTGAACTTTGACTCAGGGGATAGCAAGTTCGAGTCCCACTGCAGTCAGCATGTCGTTGTGTCCCTGGGCAAGACACTTCACCCCAAATTGCTCCTGTGGGGATTGTCCACAGTACTGAATGTATGTAAGTCGCTTTGGATAAAAGCGTCTAACAAGTGACATGTAATGAATCGGATCATGCGGGCGAGTCTAACGTGGTGGAACCATACCAGTTTGAGCCACAGTATTCAAGTAGCGGTAGAGATACAGACGGGAGCAAACATGGGGATGATGATCCTGGATTTGGCGGAGATCCGGTGCGGCAACAGAACACAGACTGGTACATACATCTGACTTTAATTCATAGAGATTCTCAATAAATAGTAAATACATCGTAATGTAGCAGGCACACTTGGCTCAGGCAACAAAACACAGACTGGTACATTTGACTATAATTCATAGACACTTGGCTCAGGTAACTGCATCACACTCTGCTAGGCTTGGAACTCACCACAGAAGTAGGTGTCCTCCTAAAAATGCAATTATTTCTCAACAATCCTTTTGTACATTTAGGTGTACATGTGAAAAATGTACAATTGAAGAGTGCCAATGCTGCCAAGAAAAGGATGTCATGGTGGCCAAAATGGAGGAATTCAATGAATATGAGGGAGATAGTGAAAACATAACCTGCGTAATAGATCACCCAGGATTCCAATCAAATTGTCTGGATGTTTGGGTGTTGCAGACAGCCTACCATCATTATTCAAAGAGGGACAGACTAGACAACAAGCGGGTGATCAGCCACGTAATGAACAAGTTACTTGTGTTCACAAATTTGTAGAGCTCAGAAACTTTGGGGAAGTTTAATGGTCACTCTGGCAAAGTTACAGAATAAATAGATAAATAAGCAAATAAGGTTGAAGTGATTGACATTTATGATCTTGTATTTTACAGAATGTATCGCTATGTGACATACCGCCAGCTAGTGAGATTTTGCTGGGGAATACTTGGTAAGAACCACAGAATCCCACTGCCATCATGTGCCATTAAAAAGATCCAGGCGACGTTTCCATTCGACAACTACACATCGTTCAAGTATCCAGCACTTGATTAGAGTCAATAACAAAACAGATTGTCCGTTCAGTGATTAAATCTGCTTCTAAACAGCACAACAGCCTCTCTCTCAGGGGCATCGCCTGGCCTGCGCATCCGGGGAGCAGGTGAGGACCCCCCTATAGGAGGTGAGGACCCCCCTAGAGGAGGTTAGGTCCGCCCCCAATTTATAAAAAATAGCACTTTACACCTGCTTACACCTATATGCCGTGAGCTGATTATCGAGCCTTCATTGTAACAGTCGCAGGTGTACTGTGCGTGTGTGTGTGTGGGGAGTGTTGCAGTAGAAATGTCCACTGTAGCACCCGGTACCTTAATGTACCTTAATGAACTGTGGGCTAAGCCCCGAATGTTTCCAGGTCCAGGAAACGCCCCTGCTCTCGCTTGTCTGGATTTTCCCACCGACTGCTGAGTGGATCTGGGACGTATAATTTTACTATAAATGCTGTTCATGGGCAAAGTGCATGCAATAATATATGGCGTCATGACTTCATCAACTAATACATGTGTGAGATTTGACATGTCATTTTGATTCATGCTTGTAAACATTGAACAACAAGTAGCGCGGCTTACCTTCGCTCTCTCCCTTTTGGCGAATGCATTGCGCCGTCTCTTTGGTGGAGGACTCTGCATAGGGGGACGTGTAGGAATCGGCGCGGTGACTTGTGCTGGCAATGGGGGTCTTGGCAGTATTGTTGGAACAGCATCTTTGTTCAGTTTGAAATTCTTTTTTAATCCAATTTCCTTAGCGAGCATTGTGGATTGTTCGAAACACGATCTCTCGAAGTGCTGCCCACAAATTGTCGGTTTCATCGACCCCGGATTACCTGGTCCAGCAAAGTCCGCCCTCGTACGACGCACTTGTTTTGTCCATATACGCGACATTTGACAATTATTTGGCCACAAAAACATCCCATAGGCAGATTTGGAGACGGCCCCACATCCCCATACAACACATCGCTTGCCGATTATTCTTGACGTCTTATTGCTGTGCATCCTTTGTTTTAATATTTGCTTCAATGCATTCAATGGCGACTCAGCTGTGTTCTACTCATGACGTCACCGCCGGAAATGACCGAAGTTGGTTTCCAGCGCGACGAACGATTGTTACTAACGGACAACTTTTGAATGCTGTTATAATCGTGATTTATTCAAAATACATCAATAATAAAAAAATTAAATGGCACATTTCACAATACAAATGCAACCTCTATCATATACCAAGCCCACTAACAGGTGCTAATAGAGAGGCGAAGTCCCTCCCTTTCCGGTGGACCTCCATGGGACCTTATTTAGGAAAAAGTATGTATTGAAGTCAATGGCGAGAGAAAGATTATCTTTCGATCCCGTTTGAATTGTGCCACGAATTACACATATGATGTTTGTCAATTTAAAAGAGAATTTTGCAAGTCAAAAAAATTAAAATGTGTCGTGAAACTGTGAAGTAACACTTTTTTTGTGTGAAACTTCATCTCCCGTCTCACACCACACACCAAGACGGCCGTCACGTTGGCACATTTCACTTCTTTCTTTCAGAATGAGGCGGAAAGTATTAAAAGAGGTGAAAATCACTCCAAGTCTGGGCATGTTGAGAGCTGTACATACACCCAAGGGGAGTTAGTCGGTTCCGTAAGAGCCAGCATGCGGGACCGGGATTCTGGGATTTGTAGTCTTTCTAGTTGCGTATTTTTCATAGTCTTATATTTCAACAGTTTTATGACAAACTGTGACTTTTTTGACATGGAAATGATTTTTTTAAGATTGACAAACATCATATGTGTAATTCGTGGCACAATTCAAACGGGATCGAAAGATAATCTTTCTCTCCCCATTGACTTCAATACATAATTTTTCCGAAATAAGGTCCCATGGGTCGGAAGTAGATGGGCGGGACTTCGCCTCTCTATAGCATTTTGTAAGCTCTTTAAAGATGTTCTGACCTGCAGTCGAGCCAGTATGGAGGTCTTCTTGGAGTTTGATGAATACGAACGTGAACAAGACAAACTGCAGAATCGCTTCGACTTGGAGAAGAAGGTGTTTAAGTCGCCGGTGGTGCCGCACATCTCACACACCACTGGGAAGATAAATAAAAACATTAGGCATTAAACACCCTCAACTCTTTTTCAACAGTCCCTTTGTATTATAGGGATGTTTTGTAGAGAATATAAATCCTTCATTTAGACTGAATATTTCCATTTTTAGTCTTCACTCTTGTTCCTCATTTACTCCTCACCTGTCTGTTCTTCACTTTTCTCTTCCGGCATCATCCCTCCTCTTGTCGGCTGTTCTTCGTCACTTTCTCCCATGCTTTCATCAGACTGAACGGGCGCAATTTCAATATGTTCTCCCTGATTACAGATTAAAAAAACGAAGTGGTAAATAGGATGTGTAAATGTAAAATGGGGCCAAACCACCAATAAGCGCTACAACCCCAGTCTTTAAAGTGATTGAGTCTACTTTGATCATCTCTTTGTCAATTTGCAGTTATCTTTGTGAAGTTGTTTGGTCCCCAAGTCTTTTTCTGTTAATAATGGCTGCAGATATTTTGTGTTTTTATCTGGTTGTTTACCACAAGTCTCCATGCAGTATTTGTTGGTCTCTTTGTAATCATTTTAAGTTGTTTTGTGTGTCTCTGGTTTTAACCACATTCAAAGTAGTTTAGAGTCTTCTTGCAACTGTTTGATGTCTCTTTGTAGTCGTCTTATTTATTTTGGTAGTCATTTTGTGTCTCTTTCTGGTTAATTTCCCCTTTTCAAAGTCATTGTGAGTCTATTTGTGGTCTCTATGGAGCCCTCCTGCCCCTCTTTGCACTTGTTTTGGTCACTTTGTCTTTATTTTTGGTAATTGAATTCGCAAACTGAAAACCAATATAATTTAGCTTGTACCTTGGCCATTTAAAAAGGGGGGGCACTTAAAGGTGGGGTAGGTAATTTTGGAAAAACCAGCTCGAGTGCGCTAGCATTTGAAAATACACAACCGGAAAAAATCTGCCACTTCCTTACAGAGCCCCTCCTCCAACACACACGAACGCGCACATGACACGCGCACGAGATAAGTTTGTGCACAGATGGAAGGCTGACAGGCAGGTAGGCCATCCAGTTATTTTAGCCGGGCCGGCTAAAATGATTGGTCGTGCTTTTTACAGTACTACGGCTTCCACAGATGACATTTTTTTATGGATTTTTTGTCAAAGCATTTAATATATTCATTGCTATCGGGATGTTAAGAGCATTCCATGGAATATAACAAAAAGTGTATCTCGAGCCGGTTTCTCAAACTTAGGTAATTCACTTCAGAAACACTTTTTGTTATATTCCATGGAATGCTCTTAACATCCCGATAGCAATGAATATCTTAAGTGCTTTGACAATAAATACATAAAAAAATGTCATCTGTGGAAGCCGTAGCGCTGTAAAAAGCACGACCAATCATCCGAGCCGGCCCGGCTAAAATAACTGGATGGCCTACCTGCCTGTCAGCCTTCCATCTCGTGCACAAACTTATCTCGTGCCCTCATTGGTCATGTGTGCGTTCGTGTGTGTTGGAGGAGGGGCTCTGTAAGGAAGTCTGAAGGAAGGGGCAGATTTTTTTCGGCTGCGTACTTTCAAATTCTAGCGCACTCGAGCTGGTTTCTCCATTCTTACCTACCCTATCTTTAAGACTAACTAATGCCTCAGCACATACAATGATCTGTCTTACTTGAAGCAAATATATCTGCACTTTTTGAGTTGCTTCTTTATGATTTATTGCACTTATTGTAAGTGACTTTGGATAAAAGCATCAGCTAATGTAATGTCATTTAACATAATGTACATTTTGAGTCTCTTCCTAGTTGTTATGTGTCTCTTTCAGTAATCCCTCCATGACTTTACATCATCAATGTAAACAACCAAGAGGCTCGTTTGAAGCACTTAAAGAAACGTTCTCTCCGCAGTGACCTTTCCTTCTTCAGGATAATAACTACTCACACTTGTGCGCTCTCTCGGTTCTGCAGTAATGCTCCGGCATTGGATGGCAGGCAGGCAGTGAATGCATCCCACGCCGCTGCAGGAGGAACATTTTGGACGGATGAATATTGTCGGAGCGGCTCCAGGTTTCAGCTTCAGAGCTCCAGAGGGGAGTTTGGGCTCAAAGTACTCCCTCCCAAAGTGCTCGCTGCACAGGTGGGAGTTGGGCGTGGCGACCCAGTGGCTTCGGGTGCGCTGGACCTGCTTCTCCCATTTGCAAAACCCCTCGTGGTCCTTGGGGAATTTAAACAGCGTCGCATCATCTTCTGCAGTTTTGCCGCATCCATAGGCCACACAGTGGTAAGGCATCCTGTGACGACATCAAATATGAAGCAGAAAACAGTCAGAGCCACGGTCAGCTGGAAGTCATTGTCGGTCTATATTATTCACGAAACTTCCGAAGTACATTTCAAAAGTTTGCTCAAAAATCATCTCTGTATAGGGGGGTAGTCTGGGCTCATTTGCACCCTTTAATTTGTATTATATATACTATTTTGTATGTTCTTTCCCACTATGACTATGTATGTCCTTAAGTATGGTATTCCTTCTTTATTATTTATTGTTGGCTGTTCTGTTTGTCTTCTATGTTGAAAAAGGGAAGCATGATTTCCACCCCAAAGAAGTCTGTACTATTGCTTACGAACGAAAACGAACGAAAAATCCTCTCTGTATCATAAAGCATAAATGAACTGTGTCAGTGGGTATGTACAATTATTCTCCTTTGGCTTAAGATGGTGAAAATAGGATGATAGATGTTGTTTTCACTTCATATTGAATTGTGAATTGCATGAAATGATGAGCAGTTTTTTTGTTTTGTTTTCTGTATGTTTGACTGTGTGTTTGTGCGAGAAAAAATAGCCAATGCTCATGCTAGTACTAATGAGGATCCTAATACAGAATAAAAAGGACCACAAATGCAAAGTTATTTACTATAATATGATTCAGAAAAGAGAAAAGAGAAAAGCTCAATCTCGTTTTTATCATTTCTGTTGGTTCTTGGTGAAGTATATTTCTTAGTCTTAAATGATGCATTCCACTTAAATTACACAGTAATTTCTTACCGAAATGTATGATGAATAATGCCACTTGGGTAACATATTCACATTAGTTCTAAAATATGTGAACTAAACCAGCTTCTATAAACCAGAACTTCAAAACATTTGATAAACAAGAAGTGCACACAGAGTAAACACATTACCAGCAATACCCTGAAAAACAGCCGAAATAAGGACATTTCTGAATGAAATGTTGCTGCCAAACTCTCTGTTTTAACCGTTTTAACCAACAAGTCACAGCCTACATTCAAACATAAACAAAGTGTGTAGCTCACGTGCTACTGTACATGCAAGCTAACTGCTAAAATGGCTAATAGCAAGTTTGTCTTTTTATGAAACACAAATGAACTTCTTGTTACTTTAAAGTCTCTACTTACATAAAGGTTTAGGCCCTCAGTGAAATGTTTCGTACAGCAGTAAGACTATTCTGGACCCTAAGCCCAATGTGTTGTGGTCGCTTACTTTTGACGTCTTCGCATTTACTTCTTGCGCCCGCGCAAAGCATTGTGGGAGTTTGAGTTTTACAGCATTGGAACGAAAACGTGTCAGCTCCTAATCTCAAACAGTCAGAAGTTGAACGTATTTTAGTATGTTTAGCTAAACACAGTACCGAAGTACAATTTTGAGGTACTTATACTTCCTCGTATGTTACTTACTACCTCTCAGAGGGATACATATGGCTTACAATTCCACTTCACTGACAGCTTTGGTTACCTTTCATAATATGATTTTAACACACAAAACATATGAAAATGTACCCATGAAACAATACATTGATTAACCAAAGAAATGACTGACAATTGTTCAGATAATTTCACTCTTTTTCATTGTAAAATGTTGCTTATAAGGCTACTTAATTTACTTATCTGAGTACATCTCCATCTCTGTTTTGGAATAAATTACCAATACCTCTGAAATGTAGTGGAGAAGAGGCATAATGATGCATAAAGTGGAAATACTACTACTATTAGTAAGAATTGAGGACATTTAATTAGCTATTTTCCACCACATCTAATAATAATCCAATAATCTAATGTACCTTTTAATTGTAAATGCTTTTAAACATCAATAAAGTTTTTCAAGATTGAAGCAGAACTTTTAAATCAAGCTGTGTATTGAAGATTAATCTTGATTGAGATATTGCAATAATGTATGAGTTAATAACTGACCAGGCCTTTTCTAAAGTTAAAGAAATATCCTGACAGTTTGACCAGTTATAGCAGAAAAGCACAGGTGTTACTGATAATGTTAATGATGCCTCTGTTCAATTAAGGCACACATGTCAAACTCAAGGCCCGGGGGCCAAATCAGGCCCTTGGTGGATTTAATTTCGGCCCGCAGGATAATTTGTAATTACTATTAGATCTGGCACGCCGGTATATTGCACTCACACCTTCACTTAATCCTGAGGGTTTCCTCAGCTCAGAGCCTGACCCCAAACATTGATGAACTTGCACCCAAGATGAGATGCCAAGTATCTGGCTTGAACTAGCATCACAGAGCAGCAAACTGAGTTTCAATGGATGTTTCCTTCTGCACTTTTTCTCTCACGACAACAGGGCATGTTTGGTTTTTTCTTTGAGGGAAATAGTTTTTTTGAAGCTGTTGTTGGCCTGTGGAAAAATGTAATCATAAGAAATGACTCAGGAAAATCTGCAGATAGAGCCATAAGAAATGAATGCAACTGATTATTTAATGTTTAATGTTGTTTTTATAGGCAATAATTTAAGCTTTGTTAGTTCCAGGTTTAATATGTGCAATAAGTTCATTTCAATAAGTTTTGTTATAAACATTGAAACAGTCCGGCCCTCGACTAGTACCGATTTTTGGATTTTGGCCCACTGTGTATTTGAGTTTGACACCCCTGAATTAAGGTGTCCCAAAATGAAGTTACAGTGAGCCAGCAAACACAATACAATGACCCTGAAACTGAAGCAGCTGATTTGTATTTGGACATTATGAATTAGATTATTTACACGTCATGTTTTGTCTACTGTGGCCTGTTAAAGTGTCTTCAGTGAAAAGGTCTATTTGTAAAAGAGAAATGATAATTGTATTTAAATCAACCATGGAAATTACAATAACTTGGGTGAAAATGTTTAAGCAAGGAATTTTCTCAACAATAAATGAGTACATAGCATTAATTCTGTACTAGTAATGCCACTATACAATACTTATCTAGAGAAATTATCGATTTATCCGAAAAATATATGAATTTATTTTTACGTTATTATTATTATGCCTCTAAAACTTTTCACAGAGAGTTTTATACGACTCATTTAAGGCCATTATTTACATAAATATCCATGTGAAACAGGAAACAACATGCACACACACACTTCATAATCAAATGTCTTGCGGTTACTTGAAACTGTTTTTTTTGTACTTTGTGGGTGACTATTTATCCAGCATATATCAAGATCATATGACTTATTACTTACTTATGTATAACATAAGTATAATCCTTGTTTCTTTCCACACAGACACACACACATTGGAGAGAATGCAAACACATTTACATCTCCAGATTGATACATAATATTAAGTTAGTAAGAAGAAAAATACATATAGATTTTGGGCAATGCCTGATTAAGGCCCTTCTTTTTTCCAACGCTGCACAAACAGCTTCTGATAACTTTTTGTTAATAAATCGATGCTTGTTTTGCATAAAAAACAAGTAAGAAGGTAAGTGTGTCCTTGAGATATCTACATTCATTTGTTGTAATGGTGTAGTAGTTGTTAAAATGACATCTTTGGTTTGATTCACCACACTAAATATATTATTCTGTGTCATGAATAAGACAATGAATGAATGGCTGTGGAACACTTACATCTATTCTGCAGATACTGTCACAGCTCTTATACTGATGCAGGTTTAGAAGAAAATGTTCATTGTTTTTGGAAAGCTGGACATTTTGGGATGAATATGAACACTTTTCCTGGAGTAATTGGATGTTTTTGGTACAAGAAAAAGTCAGGAAGAATATATTTTTCCAGCCATGGAGCCAACATGCAGAGTCAAAACCAGGACAGGCTGCATAGTCAACATGTTACCTATGAGAAGACAAGCAAATCAAAAAAGGCATGATTGGGTTTTAGTGAATGTTAGTTATTGAGGAATCAAGTTCGTCAAATCGTCATTCCAGTCATGCAAAGAGCTTTCAGTGTGTGTGAAGCCACATCTGTCTGCTGCACAACATATTTATGTTATTCTTGTTAAAAGGCTGAACATCTGATCAGCAATTAGATTACAAACTTGCATTTAAAATAACTGTTGAACATAATCCAACTTTAATCTTTGCAACTGTACCTTATCAAAAAGTTCAGGTTGATGAATGGATGAATGTCATTACAAATAACTTGTTTATTACATGCCAATCCCATCTAAAAAGCATTGTTATTTTTCCTTATTGCATCATTTAAGATAAATGGTCAAGAAAAATCCAACTTTTTGCAGCTGAACCTCACCAAAAAGCAGATGCAAATTCAGGCTGCTGCATGGATGAATTCCATTACAAATACATGCAGATTCCAGCTCATAAGTATTACCAATTTCCTTATTGCAGCTGCACATTATCCAGTAGTATTGTTTTTCATATTGCATCCCCTCATCCTTTACCCGCTGCCACCAGCAGCTCCACCACCGCCACCACCATCACTTCGCAGGCAAACAAGCCTCTACTGCCCGACATTATCTCCATCCAGACTCCGCTGAAAAAGGAGGTTCAAATGACGGATGAAAGCATGGCCGAGAGACCAGGGGACAGTGTATTTACATCCGAAGAGGCTGTGCAAGTTTAGAGGGGAAGCCTCTGCGTGTGTCTCCCCCCCCCTCCTCCTCCTCCGCTGGCAGAAATTTATAAAGAACAAAAAATCCGACGAGGGAGGGAGGGAGGGGGGTTGATATTCGCCGAGGCTGAAATCGAGAGGCGAACCCAGGGAAAGAGGAGTGTGATTTCTACACGGGACTTTCCCCCTCTTAGTCCCCCGCAAAAGGAGGGGGAAAAGTCGCAATATTTTGGAAAAACCAGGAAGGAATGAGCTTCTAAGGGGGCGTTTTGCAAGTGTGGATACTTTATATATATTTTTATTTCGGGAAAAATATGGCCGAGAACGTTCTGGACTCTGGCCCGCCTTCAGCCAAGAGGCCTAAACTCTCCCCGCTGTCCGCCTCCGATGGGAACGGTACGTGTTTTTTAATAGTATAATGTGGTGGTATTTGTTTAGTTAGCTCAGGTTTGACTTTAGAGAGGGGGACATATGAGTGGTGGGATTCAGTTTTTACCGTAGCTTGCTAACTGTTAGCTGTGAGGAGTGTGTGTCGGACGTGAAGAGCAGGTTCCCCGCTGCTAGCTCAGATGCTAACAGCCATTTTAGCCGGAGGTAGCTACGTTAGCATTGAGGCTAACGCTAGGATAACTATCAGAATCAAGCCCAACAGCAGGAAGAGCGCCGGACGTTGAAGCACATTTTGCGTAGTGGCTAAATGGTGGTACTACAACGTATGTGTCATTGGGCCCAAACATACCTTTTCCCATTGACTTGCATTCATAGATATCAGAATCAAGTAGTTTTACACATACGAGGAATTTTCCTTGGTGTATATGGTGCACACATAAACACAGAAAAACGACCAAGAAATACTTTATTTATCCCAAGTTGGGAAATTGTACAAGAATGACAAACTGTCTTCAAAATAGAATAGATAGAAATAGAAAATACATATTATTCAGAAGAGTATCTTAGAATAAACATTATAAAATATGCAGAAGCCGGAATTTAAGGCAAGCAATAACAAAGAGTAAGCTAATTTATTAAATGTAGAGGGAAAAGCACACATTATTAGTAATAGAAAAAATAAAGACAAATAAATACACAGCCATGGCTTAAAAAAAACTCAAAATTAGCTTGATAAACTACCCATCACCTTTGCAGCCCTTATTTGAATCATTCGGGTCTAAAAAGTTGTAAAAATGCACTAAAAGCTGAATCCAGAGTTATTTCTCCATTCATTTGACAGCTCAGTGGGAGAAAGCTCTACTGCGCATGCTCAATGGGCCCACATACGGGTACTTTGCTCAGGCCTTTTTGGCTCGATACGCCACTTTGCATCTCTCATAGGAATGAACGGTATCCAGTTTTCTCTCTAAATCCATGGTAGCTCTGTTAGCATCTCGGCTAACCGAATGCGGGTCCTCCACAGACTGTCTAATGGCTACTTTAGCCGGGGGGATGATAAACTCCATGCCATGCCGACTTATCATGAAGTAATTTAGTGTATTTACACTTGTGACCAATTGACAGTTAGCTATAGTAAACCCCCATTGTGTTATTTTAGTTTTTAAGGCGTCTAAAGCAGTGTGTTGTGTTGCCCCATCATAACTCAGACCCTTTCCCAACTAACGTTAAATTCAATATATTCAAAGGATTTATTAACATATAGCTACCGTGTAGTAATGGCAATGAACATATTATGTCCAAAGCTCCTCCAACAATGCAACATAAATATATATGAGACATAAAATAGTGCAAGAAGAAACAGAGTAGTATAAGATTATGTTCCAAGACCAACGTGTACCAAGTAATGCAGACGGAGAAGTAGACTATATACATGTCAAATAAAATACGATAAGCTAAACTGTGCAGGCAAGTAAATGCAATAGTCTATATACATGTAAAGTAGAATAAGATAATGTAAAATGAAAACTGAACAGTGGAATAAGTACTGCTTACTGTAGTAATCAGTATTTATTCCACGATACAGTATTAATTTGACATTGTGTTCTTGTTTATCTTAGCTTCTTAGCTACTGTAGGTAGTGTTGCAGATGGTGGCGAGGCTAGCCTTGTGTGAGAGATAAATGTAGGCCCACATGTCCGACTGATTGTAAAGCTTCACATTGCCATTGTTGGTGTGTTTTTTTTGTTGTGGATGGCGTGTGACAGCAGCTGGAATACTGGCTAGCGCCATGCCACTACGATATTAGTGGAGTTAGCAAGTAAATACTGCTCCAATGAAGAAATATCATCACTTAATCCTTAATTTTGACCATAAACAGCTGCATGTTGAGCTGTCCACTCAGCTAAGGCTGTCTGTAACTGTCAGTGTCTGTGGAAAGGGACCTAAATCATCCACACATTAATGTTAACTTGCATGATGTATTTGAAGGATCAGTGCAGTGCTGTCAACATAAATATCTATATAAGAGATGCAATGTATTGCACTCAAAGACATTATCTTCTTATATATTTGTGGTACCACCGTCATGTAGAGTGTTTATATAGTGTAGAAATAAAAGCATATGACACATTAAGAAGCTATGGGACATTTTAAAATGCTTTTGCATGATATTACTCTGTACTGGTTTCAAAAAGCAACCAGGAAACGCTGTCAGTGCTGCAACTGCAGAATAATATCATTGTAGATCAATCATTTAAATAGTCATAATTCATTAAAATGCACCAACAACACTCAGAAATGTCCAACACAAGAGACTAAATTAGATTCTGTTCTTTAAAACATTTGGAGGGGAGGGCTAGGCTTTTTGGTTTTGATGTCTATCATGCGTCTTATTTGATTGCCTAAGATGTGTGCTGTTGAACTCAGTGGATACACACTGACACAGCGAACGTCTCCATTTTGTGGCATTACTTTCTATGAAACGGTCCATTCGTCACCTGGTCGGCACAAACCTGTGTTTGCAACATGTTGAATCACTTTGCTGGACAGGGATTCTGTGTGTGAGCAAAGCCATGTGGGCGTGTGTGTTTGCATATATTGTAGGTTTGTGCATGCACGCAACTTTCTTCTGGATTTCATCTGAAGTGAAGTGCTCAGTTGTGTTTTGTTTGATGCTATGTTATTAATTCCTGATGGGAGAAAATTGTCTGTACGCCTTTTAAACCGCTTTTATCAGTTCCATTGCGTTGTCAGACAGGCTTCACCTTTCCTGTTGTCCTCGAGTCAAATTTTATATTGGAATAAGGGATTATTTCGTAAAATAAACCAAACGTGGAAATTAGTTCTGCTGACCATACATTTAAAAAAAAAAAAGGAAAACTTGTGGTTATAAGTCACAATTAAGTTGGCTTTAAATGTGAAACGCAGATTTAAGTTATGATGTATACTATATGCTTCATAAACAGTCAAACTGTGATTGACAAAAATTTCAAAGTTGACAGGCAGAAGACACAACGGTCAAAAATGAAGGAATAAACCAGCACATTTTTGTTGTCTTCATCTTCCTTTGACTCCCTTTTCACTGACTCCTCCGCCTAAACTTTGCATTTCTTCTCTTTTTAGATTTCGGCTCACTGTTTGACTTGGAGCACGATCTCCCAGACGAGCTCATCAGCTCCAATGACTCGGGTCTGGTTAACGGAGGAGACCTCAGCCAGCTGCACACCTCTCTGGGCGGAGGAGGACCTGCAGGTCTGGGTCCTGGAGGAGGAGGCGGCGCTGGAGGAATGGGGCTCGGCCTCGGACTCGGAGGTCAGGATGCGGTGGCAAAGCACAAACAGCTGTCAGAGCTTTTGCGATCGGGGGCGCCCAACGCGACCCAGCAAGGGCACCAAGGAGCCATGGGCAGCCCAGGAGGCTCCAGTGCTTTGGGGCAACACTTAGCGAACATGAAAGCATCTCCTGGTCCTCCTCAGATGATGGGCCAGCAGCACATGTCCCCTCAGCAGCAGGCCAGCCTGATGCAGCAACAGAACGCTGGCATGATGGGTGGCATGAACAGGGCGATGATGGCAGCGCAGCAGAAAGGCAATAACGGACAGCAGCAGCCAGGCATGATGGGGAGCCAGGTGATGAACGGCTCCCCCAGGATGGGCTTTGGGAGTCAGGGGATGGGGGGCAGCAGCAACCTGTTGGCGGAGACCCTCCAGCAGCAGGGGGCCGGGGGCCAGGCTGGGATGAGAGGCCAGCAGCCCGGAGCAATGAACAAGGTAAGGGTCCTTTTTTTTTTAACACTTTTTTTTGTTGAACGTTTTCATTATAATCATACAGAATGTCATTGAGCAGTCAAATACATATCAAATCAAATATATATGGTATATTTGATTTGATATGGATTTGACTGCTCAATGACATGAAAGAAAACAAAAAACATACAAAGCAAAACAAATATATTCAACACCTACAATATTGCTTTAGAAATTGTAGTAGCCCAGATTTCAGCAACACTCAAATCTATACACAATCCTCTTCAGAGAGTTAAATCCAGCTTGCACTTCTCGGTGAGTCTCCTTTTAATTATAAAAATGCTGTTTTTTTCACCATGTGGTGTAACATTGAAGTTATATGGAATATTATGGTTGTATATATTCATATTGGGTGAAAATAAACTGCTGCAGTTCAAGTCCCCGCTGTAAAGTCATTTGTAGAACCCGCATTATCTTCCAGTAATGCTCTAAAAACCGTAACTCCCGCCCAGGGGTGTAAACGATACTATGGTCTGGATCACTATGGACGCAAACTGAAAAGATCGTTAGACGCGCCTTCATTTTGAAAATCCGATGCACATCTGTATCATCATATCCGTCCCAAGCGCACCTCATTTCTACAAGTCCAGTACAGAAAATATATTTGAGCTGCTTTTTGTGAATATTGATTAGGGCTGTGTGATTATGGCAAAAATCATAATCACGATTATTTTGGTCAATAATTGATATCACGATTATTAAAAACGATTATCCATTTACTTTGAAAACATCCATTTATTGAAAAAAAAATGTGAACAGTTTGTTTTTAACAGTTGATTACCCTGAACTTTAAGTATAATTCAACTGAAAAACCAATACAAAAAATAATAAAAAAAAAAAAAAAAAAATTACAGTCTTTAAAAAAAATAAATAATAATAATCGTTTTATTTTGATTACGTTGTTTTCGTAATCGTTGCAAGCCAAAATCGTAATCGAGATTAATATACGATTAATTGCACAGCCCTAATATTGATGGAAATCATTAGGTCAAATGGACATACTATGGTTTCATATCAATCACAGGTCACTTAATTAAATCTTATAAAAAACATTTTGGCAAATCTAATCTGTCCAAAGAATCAAAAAGGTATTGCAACGTGATGAAACTAATGATCTACACCCCTAAAACCGCCCGTTATCTTACTTTTGAAACATAAACAATGGGGTTCATTTGACAAGCTTTTGCACATGATTGATGTAGGTCATGATCTTATGTTTGTGCAAAACTATTAACGCATTATTTTTAGCGTTTTCTTTAAAGTGTACTGCTTTTTGGAAGGCTTTAGTTTGATTTCTGCCCAGAAAGAGATGCTCTGGGTCCTTGAACGTACCTCTGTATGTTAACATCCACGAGGAAACGCTGCAAGCTCTTGATTGGAGTTGAAGTGGCAGAGGGCTGCTCAGTTTGTGTGATTGAAAGTCTCACTGGAAAGACAATAACGGTGCGTCTACACAGCAGCGTTAAAGAAATCTTGAAACACTTCTGCCCATTCACTTTGAATGGGGTGACGTCACTTTCCCTCACTTTTAGCCGAAATGCATTGTGGGCAGGCGAGCGGAGATTTTCAGGATTTTGAGGATTCAAAGTTGAACAATGTTCAACTTTTGAGGCTGAGGTGGAAGCGTCAGCCAATCAAATCCCGTGTACGCAAATCTGACAGTTCAAGCTCTAGCCAATCAAACGGCGTGTATGCTGGGAGAGACATACCGCAGGTCATTTCCTCATATTCCAAAAAATGGAGGAGAAATTAGCGGTAGCGAATCAATCACCCGGTGCTTTATGACCAGACCTACCGGGATATAAACCGGAGGAGCCAGGCATGGAGGGAGGTGGCAGAGACAGTGGTATGTTTTCGCCTGTTTGGGGAGTTTATATCCAGTTTACTTCGGGCTTTTTTGCTTCGTATGTCGCGGGCGGGAGATTCATGTGATTGGTTGCTCGCAAAAAATCCCCAAGCTTCAGATACGCCCACCTCCAAGATTTTTTTAACGCTGCTGTGTGGACGTACCGTAACTGTGTTTCAGCCGCTGGTGATGCTGCTGAATGAATGTGATGGAGACACTGATTTCTGATTTAGCCGTTGAAAAAAGCACCGAGATGGTTTCCAGGTTTCGTCTAAGGGGGCAGAAAGAAAGATGTAGTGGTCTTTCTGAAAGCGATGCAAGTAATAAGGAGGAAAGGAACGAGCAACAAATCATAGAAAAAAGTTCAAATAACTCACGGAGAACAAGGGATAACAATGCTTGTCGGATTTCACATTCTGCTGGCTGCTGTTGATGTTGAAACCTGCTTAACTCATTTAAAACTACATTTTCAGTTCGTCTTCGATGCTCTTGAGCAGTTGTGCAAGTGGTAAAAAAAACACGTTCTTTTGGGAGATAAATACTTTGGCACGAAACGATGATGTGAGGAAACATCCGCAGCCTTAAGCAGCGCAGATTTGACAGCTTTTGGAGACATTTGAGCATTTTTGTCAAGAAAATTATGCTTGACCTTTTATGAACCTGCATCGTTTATCAAGCCCGAACTACTGCAGCATATTTGGACCAGAGCCTAGCTAGAAAACATCCTTTTCTCTGTATTCCCACTGTAAAAATATATACTAAAGTGTACACCACAAGCTTGAGTCCACACAAGACTTTGCAGCTCGGCACATGACGCCGTGAGGACGACATTCATTAAAGGGGAGTTTTACCTGTCAGCAAATGAACCCCGTAATTCTAGTGTTTAGTCAGTTTAAACCTAATTCTAATTTGTTAATTAGTTTTAATTGGTTGATTAGGTAGCTCATACATTATGCATGTCATTACACAGACTATAAAAGCTACATTTAAAAATAGAAAATCAATAAAAACACACCTGCTTTGAACAAGCCTGGCGTTTAAAATGTAATAGAAAGTGTCAAAGAAACGCAGATCTAGGAGACAACAGAAGATTATTTTGCAAAATGTTAAAACACACAATACCTTTGCATGCACAGTTAGAGAGCAATCACTTATAACATCGGTGAAATGGGGTTGATACTATAGTTTATTGTCTTCTCTAACTCACCAACAAAATGTTGACAATATCTGGTTTGCTTACTGCACATGTTTTATATTTTATTGCATTCTATTTCAATGTAAATTACTGCTTTATTTTATTTTCTATTTTACTATATTTTTTTGTAATGTTATTAAAATAGTTCGCTATCTGTTTTTTTTTTTTTTTTACTTTTATGTATGCACCACGACACCAATTCAAATTCTTGCTCATACGTGTCAACCAGTGTTTCCGCCAGACCAGGGCTGGGGGGGGGGGGGTATATATGACGTCACGTATAGATCCTATCACTTTACGTATTAGTGATGGGAATTCCGGCTCTTTTTAGGCCCAGGCCCCACGGGAACGCATACGGCAAAACGCATAGGAGTAACGCAAACGCAATCGCCAAAAAGCTTCCGTCCACACGCAATATACACCGGATAGTGTCTTGCCACATGAGACAGCTCCGTTTAGATCCAACCGCTGGAACAGCTGCAGTACATATGCCGAGCCTGTACGTGGCGCTGTAACTTCCTCCACAAAAGCAGCAACTTCCTCCACAAAAGCAGCGAAGAAGAATGGTTGTCATGGCTGCACTTCTGTTTATTCTCCGCGGTGGGGGCCAAGGGATCCGGGCAGAGTTTTTCGCCAGTCAACGTGTGTTAAAGTTTAAATCTTCCGGACAAAATTATAAAAGTGCCGGTCAAAGGTCTTCTTTGTTATTTATTGAGCTTTAAAACAAATGAATAACGACGATATAATGATATATAATAATAAAATACACGGAGCCTGTCTCTTTTTCCTCTCTTCTGACAGCGTCAGCGTCAGTGTCTGTCTCATGCAGCAGCTGATCCAGTAAGTAAACTCGACAGTAAAAATAAACATATTTATAACTAGTTTAGTTTGAGAGGTAATTAAAATAGCTAAGGGTGGTGATCTGACTTGAAGTGTGTGTTTTGCTCTCGCTGCATCACAGCGGGAGGAGCTGCGTGTCTCCGTCCTGTCAGATTAGACTTCACTCGCGTTTATGTCCATATCGAGATAAAGATAAATAATCTGAATTCAGTGTGCAGTGTACTTTTACGGGGGTGAGCAGCAGAGGCGGGGAGAGGCGGGGCTATTGCGTCGTCATTATCAGAAAAGGATGACCGTATAGGCGACCACACGGCCCCGTTGGACCCCCCAGAGCGCTCCGTTCCCAGATCTATCCACCTTTGGACCCGTTGTCGTTTGCAGGGTCCGTTTCTACCGTTCCGTTACGGCGTCGTGTAGCAAAAAGGGCTATACGCAAGAGAAATATGCGGATACAACCCGTTTTCGTTCCCGTGGAGCCTAGGCCTTAGTGAGCCGGATCATTTGGCTCGGCTCACTAAGAAGAGCCGGCTCTTTCGGCTCCCAAACGGCTCTTCATGTTACCACAGTTTACCACGGAGCCTCAGTTTCGCCGCTGCGAGGCTCCGGCGCTCACAGTTCACGTGCGTGCTCCACTGGAACCCCACGTTAAGGCTCGCCGGCAGTACACTTTCCGTCACAGGAACACGCTTTGCTGGCGGTGAAAATAATCCCACCAGACTCCTTTGCCCCTCCAACAGAGAGATGTCCTTGTCCTTTTTCCTTTTCGTAATTTCAAGCGATAAAAACTCGATCTTCTCTCGAATTATTTTTATACAAGACGCCCCCCTGGCGGAAAGCTGGTGTCAACCTACCTGGTAATAAACCTGTCTCTGATTCTGAATCTCTCTTTTTCCTCCCAGATGGGGATGATGGGGAACCCAGGCGGCCCGTTCGGAGGTCCGTATGCAGGGAATCAAGGTCTGGGCGGCGCAGGGCTGGGCCCTCAGCTCCAGAACAAAGGTCCCAACAGCCTGGCCCAGTTCAGTGTGGACAAGAAGAACCAACCCATGCAAGGAATGGCCGCCATGGTAAGGAACAAATACAGATATTTCTATAGATTTAAAGGTCACCTATTATGCAAAATCCACTTCTCCATGTCTCTTCTACATCAACATGTGTCCCCTCTTTTTCATGTCTCTTCTACATCAACATGTGTCCCCTCTTCTTCATGTCTCTTCTACATCAACATGTGTCCCCTCTTCTTCATGTCTCTTCTACATCAACATGTGTCCCCTCTTCTTCATGTCTCTTCTACATCAACATGTGTCCCCTCTTCTTCATGTCTCTTCTACATCAACATGTGTCCCCTCTTCTTCATGTCTCTTCTTCATCAACATGTGTCCCCTCTTCTTCATGTCTCTTCTTCATCAACATGTGTCCCCTCTTCTTCATGTCTCTTCTACATCAACATGTGTCCCCTCTTCTTCATGTCTCTTCTACATCAACATGTGTCCCCTCTTCTTCATGTCTCTTCTTCATCACCATGTGTCCCCTCTTCTTCATGTCTCTTCTACATCAACATGTGTCCCCTCTTCTTCATGTCTCTTCTACATCAACATGTGTCCCCTCTTCTTCATGTCTCTTCTTCATCAACATGTGTCCCCTCTTCTTCATGTCTCTTCTTCATCAACATGTGTCCCCTCTTCTTCATGTCTCTTCTACATCAACATGTGTCCCCTCTTCTTCATGTCTCTTCTACATCAACATGTGTCCCCTCTTCTTCATGTCTCTTCTTCATCACCATGTGTCCCCTCTTCTTCATGTCTCTTCTACATCAACATGTGTCCCCTCTTCTTCATGTCTCTTCTACATCAACATGTGTCCCCTCTTCTTCATGTCTCTTCTACATCAACATGTGTCCCCTCTTCTTCATGTCTCTTCTACATCAACATGTGTCCCCTCTTCTTCACGTCTCTTCTACATCAACATGTGTCCCCTCTTCTTCATGTCTCTTCTACATCAACATGTGTCCCCTCTTCTTCATGTCTCTTCTACATCAACATGTGTCCCCTCTGTGTAAGAGACTCTGAAAGTTTCAGGAAAAAAGATTCTCTCTCTTTTTGTCCTGATCCATTTATATAAAAACCTGTCTGAAAATGAGCTGATCAGATTTTGGACACTTTATGATGTCATAACGATGTTTGGCTTGTGTAACCATTAGCCAATCACCAACCAATCACCAACCAAGGTAACCCCCCCCCCCCCCCCCCCCCATCATCTAAAGTAACAGACAGAGAATCAGCACTTTGGAAACAGGGCTGAAGCAGAAGGGATTATGGGATGCTGCAATGATCTGTTTGGTGTTTCAGCCAATCAGAGATATGTTCTGTATATATCTGAGACCTGTAATACATTGATGAAAAACAGTATAATAGGAGACCTTTAACCCAAGTGGATCTTTTTCTAATTCACGCAACGTATTCCCTCCTCTCCCAGGGCTCCCAGCAGTCGCAGCCCGGTGTTGTCGGCCCCTCTGGAGCTCCAGTAGGTGGAGGGTCTCCAGGGATGGGACCCAACGCTCAGGCCTCTCTGGTGGCTTCGCAGGTTTCTGCAGCTTCCTCCGCTGCCGGAGCGCCGCCTACAGCCGACCCCGAGAAACGAAAGCTGATCCAGCAGCAACTGGTCCTTCTTCTGCACGCACACAAGTGTCAGCGGCGGGAACAAGCTAACGGGGAAGTGAGGCAGTGCAACCTGCCACACTGCCGCACCATGAAGAACGTCCTCAACCACATGACGCACTGCCAGGCCGGCAAGTCCTGTCAGGGTGAGTCGAAAAGACGCTGCTGCAGGCGTGTGATGAGTCCCTGTGTTTGACAGGAAGGGAGGTTAGAGAGACGGCTTTACAAGGATAATATAAACACAGTCGTTTAGTATTTATATTACAATGAAGAGGCCGTGTGAGATCACAGTCATGCTGTATTTTTCCAGTTATAATCATGTCTGCGGCTGCAACTTGGCGTGTACATCATTGCTATACAAGTCCATTGTCATTAGGAAGGGATATATGGGGAAACATCTATTTATTTCTGATTAAATACCCCGATATTGCTATGATATCCAGATTATTCACAAATATATAATAATAATAATGGGTTCCATTTATAAAGCACTTCATATTTGATTTCAAATCCCGAAGTGCTACAAGCAGTGAGCATGAACAGTATAAATAGACATTACACAACACGGTAGAATTAATAAAAAGCAATAAAAATAAATAAAAGGGTGGTAAAAAGGTCTAGGCAAAGGCTCTTTTGAAGAGATGGGTTTTGAGGCCTTTTTTAAAAGCCTCCACGGTCTGTGGTGCTCTTATGTGGTCGGGGAGAGCATTCCACAGACTGGGAGCAGCCGAGCAGAAGGCCCGGTCTCCCATAGTACAGAGCTTAGTCCTGGGGGGTTTGAGCAAGTTGGAGTTGCTGGAGTGGGTGGTCCGCAAGGAGGTATGGGGGGTGAGGAGTTCCTTGAGGTAGGGAGGGGCAGTTCCATGGACACACTGGTGGGTGAGGACGGAGACCTTGAATTCGATCCTCAGTTCCACGGGGAGCCAGTGTTGTGCTTTAAGGATGGGGGTGATGTGATCATATTTGCGCACCCTCATCAGGATCCTAGCAGCGCTGTTCTGAATGTATTGGAGCTTCTGGATGCTTTTGTTAGGGATCCCGATGAGAGTGCATTGCAGTAGTCCAGCCTGGAGGAGACAAAGGCGTGGACTAGCTTTTCGGCGTCAGGCGGAGTGAGTGTGGGGCGGAGTTTGGCGATGTTCCTGAGGTGATAAAAGGAGTTCTTGCACAGCTGTTTAATGTGGGCCTCAAAGGTCAGATGGGCGTCCATTTTCACACCCAGGTTGGTGACTATTGAGGAGAGGGTAATGTCCTGGCCGGAGAAGGTGATGGTGGTGATGGTGGATGACCGAACCTGGTGTGGGGTGCCAACTATAATGGCTTCGGTCTTGGAGCTGTTGAGTTTCAGGAAGTTTTGCTTCATCCACGCCTGTATCTCCTCCAGGCAGGCAGTGAGTGTGGGTGAAGGCAGGGCTGCAGAGGAGGTAGGGTTGATCCTGAGGTACAGTTGGGTGTCATTAGCGTAGCAATGGAATGATACTCCATGTCGGCTGATGATAGAGCCAAGGGGGAGCATGTAGAGTGTGAAGAGGGTGGGGCCGAGAACTGATCCTTGAGGGACACCACAGGTGACGTTGTGGGTAACCGACTCTGCCTCGCCCCAGGGAGACGTACTCTGTTCTCCCGGTGAGGTATGATCTGAACCAGTCAAGGGGAGAGTCAGAGAGTCCGATGGTGGAGTGCAGACGATGGAGGAGGATGCCGTGATCGACGGTGTCGAAAGCTGCAGTGAGATCGAGGAGGATGAGGAGAGAGGGAGAGCCAGCATCAGCCGTCATCAGCAGGTCGTTGGTGACCCTGACCAGGGCAGTTTCTGTGCTGTGGCCTGGGCGGAAACCAGACTGGAACTTCTCAAATAGGTTGTTGTCGCAGTGTAGGCGGAGCCGTGACGTCATCTTCAATGAGAACCCCAGAAAAACAACACAGCCGTTAGCTGTTAGCACTCAAGCTCACAGCTCCTCATATATGTTCAGAAACTAGACAAAAGTTAAACAAGTACAAACCACAGACTGCCTGTGTCATGGAGAATACAGTCGCTGCTTTATTTATGTCTGTATAGGCCGTTGTTGTGAGTGTGGACGGTCGGAGCATATATTGCGTTAGCTTAGCCAATCTCCATTTAGAAAACACGCATTTTAAAAGGTTTTTCGCCTGCCGTCTGTCTGCAGACTTGTCAAAGCATTAATTCATGGTTTTTACTAACCGGTATCAGTATGTTGTTACTTCGGCATCATTTTGAAACGTGTATTACAATTAAATCACGGTCAAATATGTCCATCTTGTTGTGGTTGTAGCCCCCTTGCCAGCGATTCTCTCTCTAGTTTAGCATACTCAGCCCGACTCAGCCTCGTTGTCTCTGGCCCTAGAACCATGATTTTATGGGGCCAGAAAAACTGTGAATTAGGACCCGCTAGCCGGTACTAGGTCAAGTGGAAACGCAACCAAAGACGGGCCGCTGACGCCACAGCTCTCTTAAACGGGGCTCCGCGCTGTAGTGGAAACGCGCCATAACATGCTGTGTCAGATTGAGGCAGTCCAGAAGTAGCAGAAACTCAGTGGCAAAGTGGCATGAGGGGGAGTCAACGTGAATATTAAAATCTCCAAGTATGATAATATTGGCAGAGGTTGTGCATAGCGTAGTGAGAAGGTCTTGTATCTCTGGGATGAAAGCTGAGTTGGGTTTGGGTGGCCGGTAGATCAGAAGTATTGTCAGGGCGAAGGGGGGTTTACATTTAAATGCAAGGCATTCAAAAGAGGACAATACAGGCAGGGGCAGGAGTGACAGTTCCAATTCCTTTCGGTAGATGACAGCTAGGCCTCCACCACGACCAGTGCTGCGGGCTTTCTCCAAGTAGCCAGGAGGGCAAGCTTCATTGAGGGTGGAGTAAACCTCTGGCTGATGCCAGGTTTCCGTGAGGCACATGAAGTCCATTTTCTCATCAGTGATGCGGTCATGAATGAAGGATGCTTTATTACTGAGGGATTGTGTATTCAGAAGTTCTATTTTGGCTTTGGAAGATGTGGGCTGTAATCCACTCCACGTTTTCCAGACTCCTTCGTGTGTGGCGGTCTTGCGATGCTCTCCGTGTATTCATGCAGCGGTCTCGCGATGTTTCTGGCGCGATTTGACCCCGCCATGACCGGGCTCTGATGACGCGTCAGATGTGCGACACGACGGCAGACAGATGCCCCTTTCACACCGGCGCTTTTTCCTGTTCACACCGCAGCGGCGCCGCGTCATAGCTCCGGAATGCGGTTCACTTCCAGCTCCAAAAAATTGTCGGTCTAGAGGCAAGAGCTTCGGAGCTATGACGCGGCGTCGCTTACGCCTCTCTTACGTCGAGGCGTGCAGGAAACTAAACCCACCTCCCCTGAACATGGGTCGACTGAAGAGTCTCGTCATGCCTGCCTACAAGCAGTAGCGCTGAGCAAAGTGACTAGAACGCAACCACACACTTATAAAAAAAAAAACACACTTTATAAAGTCAGGCAACACTAACCAGGCTTCTTGTGATTCTGTTTATTTGTACCTTACTTTGACCATCCGTTCGCTGTTATTGATCATTGTGGAGAGCAGGCAGACGTTTTGTTTGTTATTATAGCAGCTATCGGATGGAATCAATACATGGGCTGCACAGGTTGTCATGTCCGAGCGTCAATTCAGACTGACACCAAACAGCGTCAATTCAGACTGACACACATTCACTTATGGGGAATTGGGGATATGTAACAGCTGCTTGTGTGACAGTCAGACAGTGAATACTTTAGAGCCGTGTGAGCTAACCCGGAGCTAACGGGAGAATAAACTCCCGTGGAAGAGCAGCACTGCAGCGGTCGGTCGGTGGTCTCTGCTCCATAGTTTCTCTTGAAATAAAACCACGTTGTACATTTTACTCATACATAATCCGTTTCATATTTAATACTCCATATTCCATATATTTTGAATATATATATATATATATACAAATATATATATATATATAATATCTGCATGTATATTTTCTATTTCGACATGTATATTTTCTATTTTATATTTTATTTTATTTTCTTTCTATTCTTGTATATTTTGTAGTTTTGTTTTATTGTAAAATGCCTTTTATGCTGCTGTAACAAAAACAATTTCCCAATTTGGGATCAATAAAGTACGATCTATCTATCTATCTATCTATCTAAATGCAGCTGAAACACATTAATAAACAATGAACCACGGCACTCTGGAGAAAAGTATAAGGTTGGAGAAGTCGTTATTTAATTGAATCTGGCTTCGTATGATTAAAAGCAACACGATCATCGACCCGACGCAGTCCCCCCCCCCGTTGTTGTTGTGAGCTCCGTTGGGGAGAAAATCAGCGACGTAAACTGTGACGTCATGACGCAGCAGCGGCAGCTGGGCGGTGTGAACAGAGCGGGAGCTGAAAAGGGAAACCGGAGCTGAACCAGAAAAGCTCTAGCTAGGAGCTAGAAAGGGAAAAGCGCTGGTGTGAAAGCCGCAAGAGTGGATGGATGGAATTTCTGCATCTCCGTGCTGGGAATATACAGTTTGTCTTTGGCTTCGGTGGATATAGCGAGGCCGACGAAGAAGTCCAAGTTGTTTAATGACTCAGGTGCAGGTTGGAGCGTTGGAGCGGTTGAAACTCAGGAGTTGGGGAATAGAAAACCTCAACAGGTCGGGCGCCGAAGGAGTTTGGTAGCGGTGCTTAGCATTGAGGGCTAACAGCAACGAGACGGTTGGAAGGCTATCCCGTTAGTAGACCTCACGTCTGGGAATGAAACAGAGGATTGGGGTCCGCCTGCTATCACAGTAGTAGCGGGAGAGAGGCAAGCAGTCAGCCGGAGATAGTCGGCGAATTTGGGCGATACAGCAGGTGAGTCCCGACAGGTTTAAGATATAAAGGCACTTGTTAAACAGACTCAACGTTTAGCCATATAGCTTAAAAGCAGATAAAATAGCTTAAAAGCAGATAAAAACTCTGAGGCGTAGGAGAAGAAGCGAACAAACAAGCGCCATTGTCCTCCTTCGTTGCCTCCCACTGTGAATCCAATCTTCTGAACCTTCTAATTGTGGTTAAATAACAACCACACCTATCATCCTATTTGAAGTAGGAACATTTAATGACTGAGTGGATGAATAATAATAGAGCTAGAAAAGTCTGATAAATTCACAAAATGACATAATTTCACTGAAATACATACTTTAATTTGGGGGGGAAAATATGTATGTATAATTTGTCAGAAATCTAACATCACATCTAGTCTTTATCACAATATTGACATTTATATTTTGCACAGGCCTAATTGTTGTCCAAAGGAATAGTATTTAAACAAAAGGAAGCCCCATCGTATCGGTTACAGTGTGCGAAAAAGCACACGTCCCACCGCCCGTTGATGTACTCTCTATACCAGGGGTGCCCAATACGTCGATCGTGATCGACCGGTCGATTTTTTTTTTTTTAAATTGTTTTAATTTAACCTATCATCCATCTTTACTATGGCATTTGCCACTTGATTGACGTACAGGTAAGCCAGTCTGAGTTGTATTGTGCCATACGGGTTCATGCAGTTATGAGGGGGCCACACCTCCTCATCTGAAGCGCAAATGCGGCGCACTATTAAGCGCGCCACAGTTTATCCGTTTAGTCCGTCCTAGAGATATAATAACCTCAGCTTTAGGTCGACTTCCTAACAATGTGTCTGCAATTTTAGGAAGGATTTAAGGTAACTGGCATCTCCTAGATTAATTTCATATTTTTCTCCATTACCTCACCTCACTTTGTTTCATCCTTTTGTAACTTATTTTACTTAAAGGGGACCTATCATGCAAAATGCACTTTTTGATGTCTTTTATACATAAACATGTGTCCCCGGTGTGTCAGGGAACTCACGCAGCGTCAGAAAATAAAACCCTCTCTCTTTTCCTCCGTACCCAAATCTCTAAAAACGGGGCTACAACGGAGCTGATCCAGATTTGCGTCCGATATGACGTAATATCTGACATGTGGACCCACGGCCCTATCAGAAACGTTGCTATCAGAAACAATGCCCGACTGTTTTGGACGTAATATGGTCGGTGTTTACATTAGCATCGCTAACACTCAGAGCTAACCTGTACTGGAGAGCATGTGTGTGAAGAAGCAGGAAATAAAAAGGAACTCACCTTGTGGTATAACCAGCAAGAGAGAAAGCCTTTGAGCTCCATACTGTTTCAGAAACAATCCTTGATAATCCATGATATGGCGTTTCATCACGGCAGTATTTAGTTTAGACGGTAGCTGCCGGGTCCCGCATGAGCTCAGACCCCTCCTTTTTTATTTTTTATCAATTTTTTAATTTTTTAAAAGCTTTATACCAAAATCAGCACTTTTGAAACAGGAAGTGAAATAGAGGGATATGAGGCATGGCTAGAATGGGTGATCTGTTTGGTATTTTGAGCAAAACACTTCATAGACATGTTTTTTATATATTTTTATATATCTGAGACCTATGCTATTGCCTAAAAATAGCATGATAGGTGACCTTTAAGGCAGTAAAAACATTTGTTTATTTGCTTCTTGACAGAAGTTAAGGGTAAAATGTTTCACAGGAAATGCTTTTATTTTGAAGTGCAAGTATGTGTCCTGCTCTTACTCCTTCCTGTTATGATTTTGAAACGAATACGAGTATGTTGACTGCATTTTCCCGTTTTCTACCGTTCTTGTTGAAAACGGTTACATTAATCAAATTTAAACACGTTCAGTTTGGACAAGATTTGCTTGGTTCTACATTCGAAGCTTTTATTACACAACACATCCCTGTTCTCCTGCCTGTTTTCCTCTCCCTCATATACCTCTGTTTGTGTTTCTTTCTCCCCCCATCCCTCCCCTCAGTGGCGCACTGTGCATCCTCGCGGCAGATCATCTCTCACTGGAAGAACTGCACGAGGCACGACTGTCCGGTCTGCCTGCCGCTGAAGAACGCCGGAGACAAGAGGAACCCCCAGTGTGAGTGTCGGTATCTGGCCAAGCAACGCTATACATTCATATCCTGCACACTGCGCTGTACAGGATACTATAGTAGTGTTATATCATCATCAATGTGACTTATTTCAGGCCTACTTGCGAATGCATCGATTTCTGTAAGAGCTGTATCGAAGACTTCAAATCTTTATTCATAACTTTAATGTCAGACATTTTTGTAGGTGAGAAAACGGTGCTCTCAGTAACCTTATGTCACCATCTCTTAAACACACACACACACACACACACACACACACAAGCCACGGCGCTCGGACCTGACATGTATTTATGTTGACAAACATGACAAGTAATACATTATAAAAAGTTAATTACATAAAAAGAATTCAGGATTTTGTAAGAGGACTCTCGTTCAAATATGAACTCAATTGAAGCTCCGGATAAATAAATAAAATACGACATTTGGTACAGCCCTAAATCGTATTAATAGTGTGTTGAAGATATTGCCTAGTAGTGAGCTAAACGCCTGTTATGTTCTTATCAAAGCAGCATGGTTTTTGTGAGCTTTTTGAGTCACAAGTTTGTATTATTTGCACTTGATGTTCTGTTAAGCAGATGTAATATTAACACTCCTCTCTCCTCTGCTCCTCTCAGCTCTTCTTGGTGCAGCAGCTGCAGGTTTAGGCAGTTCTCTCGGGTCGTTACCGGGCGGACCACCAAGCGCCTCGAACCTAAACCCCCCGAGCCAGATCGACCCCAGCTCCATCGAGAGAGCCTACGCAGCGCTGGGCCTCACGTACCAGGGGAACCAGATCCAGGTCCAGAGCGGACAGCCCAACATGTCCAACACATCGCTGCAGGGCCCGGCCGGCATGAGGACTCTCAACACAATGGGTGAGTTACGCTGCATTCAAGATTCAAGGCTTTTATTGTCATTTGTACATAGCTACCGTTAGAAAAATCTCACTGGTCACCGGCTTGAGCTTCAATCTCAGGATCCATGTATTTATGATACTCTCAAGAATGGAAGTAGTCATCACATACAGAGCATCAACTAGTTCCTGAACAGTGTCCTTCACATGCTACTACTACAATTACTTATACTACTACTACAACTACTTTTACTACTACAACTTCTACTACTACAACTTCTACTACTACAACTTCTACTACTACAACTTCTACTACTACTACAACTACTACTACTACAACTACAACTACAACTACTACTACTAACACCACTATTACTACAATTGACTACTATTACTACTACAACTACTTATACTACTACCACTACTACTAATACAACTACCACTACTGTTAGAAAAATATCACTGGTCCCCGGCTTGAGCTTCAATCTCAGGATCCATGTATCTCTGATCCTCTCCAGAATGGAAGTAGTCATCACATACAGAGCATCAACTAGTTCCTGAGCAGTGTCCTTCACATGCTGATATCCAAGAGAGGGAGTTACACAGTCACAAGATGGAGGAATAGAAAGCAGTATTCAATGTTTACTTCAGATTAGCTCCACGTCAGAAATGATCATGCTTGTCATATGTCTATCTCCATAGAGGCTGAATCATCATGTTAATCACATAGCTATCATGTGCCTAAAACAGTCCTGATGCTCTTCTAGGTAATCATACATCCTGTCATGAACACAGCTACAGTTGGGATACCTTTGTTATCATGTGGACTCTGATATTGGAAGAGAACATTCACTATTTTCCCAACAGTAGGGAAACACAAAGAATCCAAACCCCCTAATAACCTGTACCTGTTCTGTCTATAGGTGTGAATCCTTTGGGAGTGAATGGAGGCGTGGGAGCTTCAACTCAGAGCCAACAATCCAGCCTGCTGCAGGACACCATGATGCACCTCAACGTCAACACACAAGGGTAAGACAGACACACACACATTCAGCATTATTAAAGGGCACACAATGTACACAATATCAGTTTTTTTTTGTATTACTGCACATATTTTATTCCATTCTATTTCTATGTAAATAGAACACAAACACAACCAAACATTCCCCAACATTAGACATATGGTAGATTACAAAATAATAGTTTGCAGTTACTAGAAATCAGTTTAAAGTACAGACCAATACTTTTATATCTTACAATATTTATTTTTAATTTTTTTATGTTAATATAGTTTTCTTAAAATAGTTCTCTATCTGTGTTTTTAATTTTTGTTTTACTTTTATGTATGCACCCTGACATCAAGTCAAATTCCTCGTACGTGTCAACCTACCTGGTGATAAACCTGTTTCTGATTCTGAATCATTCCATCATGACTTGATCAGGCCACATCTGTTTGTTTTTTTAGAACTTTATTTGTTTAGTTTCAGACAATAATACATTACAATATATCTTTCAGTCACATTCACATTTTCAGTTTTTCCAGTTGTATCAATACAATACTGAAGATCGATATCGGCCGATATTCACTCTCTGCCGATCGATCGGTGCTCCCTATAAATGCAGATCGGGAGAACCGATCACATCACGTATAATACATGACACTTTTCTCTGTGCGCGGCAAAACAAGCTCGCCAAAATTTATTTGAAGGTGTCAGAAAAAGACAGTAAAATAGCGGTATGCAACGTGTGTGTGAAGCAGAAATCCTACAGCTCCACCCGCTGTGACGGACCGGTGAGCGGAGCGAAACACACACTAAGAGTTAGACCTAACACACTTAGCTATTTGATCTACCTCTGGGACAAGCTAAACTAGTTATAAATATATGTACTCTTCACTGTCGGGTCACTCATTACTGGATTAGTGAGCTGCATGAGATACTGACAGGCTGGAGAGAGAGAGAGAGAGAGAGAGCTAATTTCTCCCGTGTTATTATCCAAAGTTAATGTAAACTTGAATAATGTACTTCATTTGAATGTAATAATCATGTTGGTTGTTGTTTGTGGAAGCTCCAGTGAATGAGCCCCATTAACTGAGTTTTAAACATCACTTTTTAAATGGAAGATCCCCATAGGCCCCGCCCACTCGATTGGATCGGCGATTGGTATCTGCCGATACTGATTCCGGCGATCAGCCCCAAAATTGGCGATCGGAGCATCCCTAGTTTCAAGTATTAGTCAACCAGTAACAGAGTACCACTCCAGGGCTAAAATAAAATGTAATAAAGATGGCCTACCTTTCGAAAATAAGAAAAATAAATAAGAAATAATAGTAAATAAACAAAAATAATAATGATGGAAAGAGAATACAAGTGTGTTAACAATTCTTACTGTATTAGTAGATGCATTACAGGGGCCCATCGCTTGATAAATGTTTCTGTAGGCGTAATAAATATGTTATTTGCTCCATGTGGTGGATATCCCACACTCTCTGAATCCAGCAGTTATAGGTGGGAGGTTCTGGTTTCAACCATGTGATGCACTTCAGGGCCGCTGTCAATACAACTCCACATCAATGTTTTTAAGAAGTAAATCATCAAATAATTCCCTCCTTTCTCTCCCAGTCTGATGAACGATTCCAGTGGGGTCGGCTCGATGCCAACAGCAGGTCCTCCATCGTCGTCGGGAATGAGGAAAAGCTGGCATGAAGACATCACACAAGACCTGAGAAACCACTTGGTGCACAAACTGTAAGTATCCAACTGCACCATAAAAACAAAAATGGCTCTTTAATGTATTCTGTTAATACAAGTGGTTACTTCAGCAGTAGACCATTGTATGTCTCTGATTGGAGTTAAGGTGTCTGATAGTAGCCTCAGTTAGTGCCTCTCACATATAAATGCTAGTAACATTAGCAAGACTTCATAAGCGTTTGGCTGAGAGACGATGTAGTACATGAATGTGAGATTAACTCCTCGAAACACGTCTCATGGTGGCGATAACTCAACTATTTTAAGATTAGATATGAATTGCTAAAGGAACCGTGTTATTAACACCAGGGCTATGACTATTCACTGGCACTGTCCCAAAGTCACCACACAGAAAGACTCCTACCAAGACTAAAAATGACATATATTGTTTAAGGAATATTCTGACAAAGACTGCATCAAATGATTATATATTTCCCCTTCTTTCCTCCTCTCTTTGTTCTCCTCCCACAGCGTTCAGGCCATCTTCCCGACTCCAGATCCCGCCGCTCTGAAGGATCGACGAATGGAGAACCTGGTGGCCTACGCCCGAAAAGTGGAGGGAGACATGTACGAGTCGGCCAACAGTAGAGTAAGTTACTCTGGCCTTTTAGCTCAGTGTGTTACTCAGAAAGGAAAACACGTTTGCCTTTTTAATTGTGAAGCTTTAGCCAGAGTCAAATCAACTTCCCCATATCACATTGTTGGACGTAGGAGAAAATCCAGAGCTTATGATCTTCACTTGTTATTACTTTTTGCTGCAGATAAATCCTCTGTGTGTGTTTTTAAATTGTTGCTAACTTCTCTGTTTTCCTCAAAAAACCTACTTTAGATATTCAAAGTTATATCAATAATGTGACATAAGACTACATCTAGTCTCAGATTTTGTTATCATAACATATGTGTTGCCTTTTCCTGGTTTTAAAAGCGGCATGATGTACATTTCTGACTTTACCACATTGTGATCAATACTCAATCAATACTGAATCTTTATCCAAGCCAACAGTCAACTACTACTTCTCTTACATGTTTGGGAAATTCCCCCTCCTGGCCACATTGTCCTTATTTTCCTACCCTCTTTCTGACAGGCGGAGTACTATCACCTGCTGGCGGAGAAGATCTATAAGATCCAGAAGGAGCTGGAGGAGAAGCGGCGGACGCGGCTCCAGAAGCAGGGCATCGGCATCGGCCTGGGTCCGCCCCCCGTTGGCCTGCCCCCAAGTGAGTCCACACCAAGCCCCCAGGAAGTGCGCCGGACTCTGAGGAAAATATTCGTTGTGGCCAAACGGCGGTACTACACTTCCGTATCAGTCGCTGGGCCCGGAAATACTTTTTCCCATAGAGAGGCGAAGTCCCGCCCATCTACTTCCGACCCATGGGACCTTATTTCGGAAAAATTATGTATTGAAGTCAATGGGGAGAGAAAGATTATCTCTCGATCCCGTTTGAATTGTGCCACGAATTACACATATGATGTTTGTCAATCTTAAAAAATCATTTCCATGTAAAAAAAGTCACAGTTTGTCGTAAAACTGTTGAAATATAAGACTATGAAAAATACGCAACTAGAAAGACTACAAATCCCAGAATCCCGGTCCCGCATGCTGGCTCTTACGAACCGACTAACTCCCCTTGTGTGTATGTACAGCTCTCAACATGCCCAGACTTGGAGTGATTTTCACCTCTTTTAATACTTTCCGCCTCATTCTGAAAGAAAGAAGTGAAATGTGCCAACGTGACGGCCGTCTTGGTGTGTGGTGCGAGACGGGAGATGTAGTTCATTGAGCGGTTTCACACAAAAAAAAGTGTTACTTCACAGTTTTACGACACGTTTTTATTTTTTACTTGCAAAATTATCTTTTAAATTGACAAACATCATGTGTGTAATTCGTGGCACAATTCAAACGGGATCGAAAGATAATCTTTCTCTCCCCATTGACTTCAATACATACTTTTTCCGAAATAAGGAAAAGGGAGGGACTTCGCCTCTCTATTGATTAACATTGGGAAAGGGACGTCTGTAAATCGTTGGATCATTTTATTTAAACTAAATAAACTACCTAGTATGAACATTTGTATAGCCCTTATTAAAAACATTCGGTCCTCAAGTTGTAAAATGTGCTAATAACGTTATTCTGATAGTTATTGTCCTCGGCATTATGAACGCGCACGTTCATGTGACGTGTTCAGTACTACACAAGTTTTACCTTTACCCATGGATGCACAATAAGAACGGATTATATGATTATATGAATGCTTTCGTGACGTTTCGCTCTCTCAAAAGTTGGGCCATTTTGTCTTCATGCGCCAATGAGCAACTCTCATAGGAATGAACGAGGCCCCGCCTCCCACGCTGTATCCAGTTCTTATTATACATCCATGGTCCGAAATTCCAACAGACACACAACAGACAGTCAATCACACACAACAGACACACAACAGACAGTCAATCACACACAACAGACACACAACAGACAGTCTATCACACACAACAGACACACAACAGACAGTCTATCACACACAACAGACACACAACAGACAGTCAATCACACACAACAGACAGTCAATCACACACAACAGACACACAACAGACAGTCAATCACACACACAACAGACACACAACAGACAGTCAATCACACACAACAGACACACAACAGACAGTCAATCACACACAACAGACACACAACAGACAGTCAATCACACACAACAGACACACAACAGACAGTCAATCACACACAACAGACAGTCAATCACACACAACAGACACACAACAGACAGTCTATCACACACAACAGACACACAACAGACAGTCTATCACACACAACAGACAGTCAATCACACACAACAGACACACAACAGACAGTCAATCACACACAACAGACACACAACAGACAGTCTATCACACACAACAGACACACAACAGACAGTCAATCACACACACAACAGACAGTCAATCACACACAACAGACACACAACAGACAGTCAATCACACACACAACAGACACACAACAGACAGTCAATCACACACAACAGACACACAACAGACAGTCAATCACACACAACAGACACACAACAGACAGTCAATCACACACAACAGACACACAACAGACAGTCTATCACACACAACAGACAGTCAATCACACACAACAGACACACAACAGACAGTCTATCACACACAACAGACACACAACAGACAGTATAAGTATCATTTTGACAATACAAGCTAAAACGTTAAATATATAATATATAAAGTGACTATAAATTGCACCTATGATACATGCGTGCTCACGATATGCCGGGCAGCACGCATTCTCGTGAATGATGATTTAATCCAGAGGAATGTGACATGAGGACATTTAAGCATTGTTTTGTAACTCTTATCTTATCTTACCTCGTGCTTTGAGATTTTAAGCAAGCCATGATATGGGACTGCAAAAGTTGTGTCATCTTAATTCATATTTCTGCAGCATTAAGTGGAGTTTTAAGACTCATTGAAGTCAATTCTCACAACATAGGTTAAGATCCTGGCACCTGATCTTAAATGTTACAGAATCAACGTTTTCCTCCGTTACTTTGACATGCTTTACACTTTTCTAACAATGTTGTCTCGCTGTCCTGACGGTCCCCTGAATACAGAAGCTTGTGCAGATTTGTTCACATCACATTTTACACACATTTTGAATTAACTGTCCCACACGGCAGGCAGCATTCCAGAGTTGGTACAAACCTCTCCACACATACTTGGTCGGGACATCTCCACCCCTCCTTCTCTCCTGTGCTCTCCAGATGACAACTTCATTTTTTAAATCTCTTGTCTCTGTTTTTCAGACGGTCCGCTCCCTGACCCATCAATGGTTCGACCCCCTGGACCAAATCAGATGGTCAACAGAATGCAAGTCCCAGGTAAACAAACACAAGACATCATGAAATATTAGTTAAATTCATCAGTTTATGGTTCAGCCGAAAAGACAGAAACATTTTTTTCACAGGAAATGTTTCCAAGGATATTATTGCCATGGTTTTTACACCACGTAGTGTACATACTGTACAGCTCCATTTTAATAAAAAAAATCACAACAAAACAATTGGAAAATGTTGCAATACAAACCACATTTCTGCACTTAGAGCCATTTAGAAACAAAATACAATATAAGTGTGGTTTTCAAATGAAATTGTTATTTTGTGTTGTTTCAATAACAATGTGTGTTTTCTCAGGAATGAATCAGTTCAATCAGATGGGGATGCAGTCGATGGGCCAGAGGTCTCCTCTCCCCATGGGAGCGTCTGGCAACCAGGTCAGTCCTGAACACACACCTTTATCACATAAGGCGCGTTCACACCGGAGTACTTTTCCCCGTACTTTTCCCGTTTAGTTCCGTTAGTACCTCTTATGTCGCGTTCACACCAAAAAGAGTACTTAGTGCCGGGGAACTTTTACCCCCATTTTTAGTGCCTGCTGAGAGATGGTACTCTCCTGGGGGAAAAAAGTTCCCCAGTTCTGATTGGCTGGGCGAATTGCAAACCACGCCCCGTAAAACTCTGAAATGTTTTGGAGAGCCGCCATTTTATTATCCTCGCATTGGCATTATTAGCATTAGCATTCGCCCAGCGCACAAACGCAGAGAGACTAACTTATGGCAACACAAAAGAAAAATGGTGGAGAGATGAGGAGGTGTCGGCGTTCTGGTGATTTACTCGGAAGGCTTCAGTAGAAGCTGCTGGGAGTCCCAGCAGCTTCTACTGAAGCCAGTCCCCAACTCCGGGGACCTCTGGCCGGGGACTTCGGGTGGCAGTATACAGAGGTGTGGACTCGAGTCACATGACTTGGACTCGATTCAGACTCGAGTCACCAATTTGATGACTTTGGACTCGACTTGACAAAATCACAAAACACTTGCGACTCGACTTGGACTTGAACACCAATGACTCGGGACTTGACTTGGACTTGAGCCTTCTGACTTGAGGTGACTTGATAATTTAATTCAGAGGTCTCCAACACGCCGATCGCGAGATGCCGCAAGAAGAGCAGACACCCGTCGGGGAGAGCAGAATCTCCAGCCGCTGCAACTCTTGCTGAGAATCCTTGCAGGCAGGGGCGGGTCTTTATTTAGCTGGGCCACCATGCGGCCAATCATATGTGAGGACACACTAGGATCATACCATTATGTGAAAGAAGGGTGGGGGGCAGACGCTCCAAAGACAGCAGGTGTAGTGGTACAGGCCAGCTACACAGAGCGACGGGGAGACAGATTTAAATGCAAGCGCGTCGGAAAAAGTCAAGAAATTAGCGAAAACCGAAAAAAGAAGCAGCTTCTGGCTGCATGTCAATGATATTGGAGAAAGCAAAGCTGAGTGCAGGATTTGTAAAATGAAAATAACCTTCAGAGCAGGGTTTTTTTTTGGTAACCACTCAGGATTTATTGTCAGAGGTAGGAGAAGTTCAGATCTTGTACTTGAGTAACAGTACCAGAGTGTAGGAATACTCGGTTACAATAAAAAGTCCTGCATTCAAAATGTTACAAGTAAAAGTACAAAAGTATTAGCATCAAAATATAGTTAAAGTACCACCTGCAGAGGGATCTAGATTCAGGTGTTCTTTTCCCCATAGAGACGCCTCGCTGCACATTATCCCTTGCATAAAGATAGATTGTGGGTCCCTTATAACATGTTGTACACAGTGGAAATAAACATTCTGGATACCTCAACATCAGGGATCTTATACATTAAACTCCTTCTGAATCAAACCGTCACAGTAGCCTTACCTTACTGATCCCTCTTACAATAGAAGACAAACACGTTACTTTACCAGCAGAGAGAAAATGGATTATTAAATTATTAATGTGACTAATAAAGAGCAGTTTGATTATTAAGTATTATTCTGTTGATCGATGTCATTACATTTGGTGAAAAGCACATAAGGACTTGTTTAAGACTCGTTTTGTCAAAGTTTAGGACTTGGACTTGACTTGAACTTTCCCATCCTGACTTGAGACTTGACTTGGACTTGAGCACAAAGACTTGAGACTTGACTCGGACTTGCAAAACAATGACTTGGTCCCACCTCTGGCAGTATACGCCGTGATGTTGTTTGCGGCCTGCCAGTAAACCCAAAGCAGAAGAAGAAGAAGAAGTGACGTCAGCGGCTTCATTTGCGTAATCTTCCCTCAGGGACTTATTCCGGTGTGAACTCGATCGGCTCTTAGTTCTTAAAAACCATGCATAAAAGAGATACAGACATTGTAAATACTGTAGGTGCTAAAACAAGTTAAGACTTCTGGGTAGGCAGCTAAAACAAGTACGGTATTTAGCCTCGATTTAAAAGAACTCAGCGTTGGTGAAGACCTCAGGTTTTCTGGAAGTTTGTTCCATTTTAGGGGTGCATAAAAACTAGAAGTTGACCTAAGTTGAAGTGTCTTTTCATACAGTAGCTTCCAGGGTGTAATGTTCAAACATTTGTTGTATGTAAATCAAAATAAATGTTTGTTGTTACAAAATAGGTTAAGAAAATACAACTATAACTAGCGAAATTGCATGCTAGAAAAAAGTTGTGTAGGCATTTTTAACCCCTGCCCTTTGATGTTCCAGATGGGAATGGTGGGACCCAGGATGGGGCAGCCGAATGTGAACCAGCTGCAGAACCAGTATCTGACCCAGGGTCAGTTTCCTGGATCAGGACCAGGAGTCGGAGCAGCTCAGAGCGGGATGGCTCAACCTGGAGCTCAGGCAGGGCTGGGACAGGTGAGACGGCCTGAAGTCATTCACCTGTTAGTCTGTGTGGCAAGTTAAGATATAGGACTAAGGACAGAGGTAGTTTCCACAAAAAGAAAATAGTTATTTTTTGTTTCTAAGGATAGAGATACAGTTTAAATAAGTAACTCGACTTTCATTACATAGCATCATTTTGGGACAATTTTGCAAGACTAAAAATAATGACAATAAAGTGTTTAAAATCAATTAATAATAGTCAATAGTATACAATTTAAATAATTAAAGCCCTTTAGCTTACTATGTTGATTTTTTATTTTTAAATAAACGTTTAGGTAATCCAGTAAAATGGGAATTCATATAGTTTGAATATCTAGTAATAAAAGCGTCATTATTTCAGTATCTTTTAGAGTTAAACATTTCTGACTTTTTAAAGATGAATAAAGGATCTTTAATCACCTGATATACCTGAATATTGACCCTCTTTCTTTGCACCCTCCTCCCCAGACGCAGATGGGCACCCCCCCCTCTCTCCCGGTCTCGAGTCCTCTCGCTCAGCCCGGTTCAGTCGGGGGTCCCGGCAGCGTCTCCTCTGTGGGGCCTCTGGGTCCTCAGAGCGTCGGAGCGTCCTCCATGACTCCATCGAACTCAAACCAGCAGCCCAGCTCCATCCCTCACCTGGCAGCCATGCGCAGCTCGCCCTCCCCCGCCCACAGCCGCTCCCCCACTCCTCACCAGACCCCCCCCAGACACCCCGGGTCCCAGACGCCGCAGCCGCACACACCCAACGCACTGGGGCCCCCTTCAGCCCCTCCACAGAGCCAGGGCCCCGCCTCCAACAAGCCCCTCCAGCAGCAGCAGCAGCAGCAGCAGCAGCAGCACATGGGCTCCTCGGGCTCCACCACTCCCTCTCATCCGGGGTTAGGATCCAGCTCAACGCCTCACGGGTCTCAGCTGCCACGCACTCCGGTCAGTGGGGTTTACACTTTCACATACTTATTTTTCTTCTTTAGATTCAAGATTCAAGGCTCTTATTGTCATGTGTACATAGCTACAGTATATATATCAATGAACATCTTAGGTCTCAGGCTCCTCCAACAGAGCAACACAATAAAACAGATAAAATAGTGCAAGTAAATACAAATAAAATATAATATAATAGAAATAGTGCAGAATAGTCTATATACAAGTAATTGGAATATTGATATATAAGTTACAGATGAATGTTATGGATGTTCTTTCAAAAGTTCAGGTGTTTAACGGTCTTATGGCCTGTGGGATGAAACTGTCCTTGAGACCCCATTTACACGGGAACGTTTGCGTTTACGCACCTTATGCGTTTTCAAAAAAGTCTTCCGTTCACACGCATTCGATTCATTTAACGTGTCCCTTCACACGAGACCGCTCGACCCGCTGGAGACGCTGTAGTACATATGCCGGGCCTGTAAGTGGCGCTGCTGCCGCCACAAAATACACCAAAAGCAGCGAAGAAGACCCCGGAGCATGGTTGCCATGGTTGCCCTTCTGTTTATTCTCCGCGGTGGATTTAGCAACATGTAGTTCATGTAATTCTCCATGTCCACTTGTTGCTGATGGTTGTGGTAGAGGAGCTGTAGATTTTGCACTAACATCTGTAGCATGGTCACTAGCTACTGACAGCAGCTACTGACCATGCTACAGCAGTGAGCAGCAGAGGTGGGGCTATGGCTTCATCTATCGGGACATTATCGTATAGGGCGTACACACGGAGCCGTTTGGCCCCCCAGAGCGTTCCGTTTGCAGATCTATCCACCTTAGGACCTGTTATCGTTTGCGGGGTCCGTTTCCGCCGTTCCGTTTCGTCCTCGTGTAAACGGGGTCTTAGTCTTGATTGTAAAGCGCTTTGAGCACCAGGAAAAGCGCTATATAAATCACACATGTATTATTATTATTATTCATACATTAAGACCAGTTTATTTTATCGCATAGATTCCAATAATTCTGTGGCAGACGCTTTTAATCTGCACCCTGTTTTCCCATGGTAATGTGACTAATCAACACAATAAGTGAAATTGACTGACAGTGCTGCAGCCGCAAAACATTATGCAATATTAGTCTTTCGGGGAAATGTTGCCCCATTTAATGTATATCCACTAAAAGTGCCTTGTTTCTTGCCATCAAAAGTGTCTCACAACATTATTCAAAGAACCCTATAGAAAAAAGGAAACATTTTTCTGTAGGGTCGTTTCATTTTGCTTGCATTTTTGTAATTGTGGCTAACCCAAGTCTCGCTCTGAGGAGTCTCATTCTGTAATCTCCTGTTGCATCCACAATCTTGACATTGAAAATCTTTTAAATAACGCTAACAAAGTTTTATTTCTCTGAAGGCTCCTTTGCACAATGTTGTAAGGCGCTTATAATTCCAATCTGAGCCGGTCAATAGCAAGTCAATTTTCTTTGGACATGCATTAAAGGTGTGCAGTTGCGCCAAAGGATTACATTGCAGCCCAAATTAAGGATGTCCTCTGCAGGGTTCTCCTTCAATACTGGACTCATTATGACCCAACTTGACACAACAATACGATGATGACATGAAGATAAGATCATGTCAGGTCAAGGTTTCAAACCCTATTGATAAAAGGGTTATTTTAATCAGCTTTTTCCTCATACAGCACTTAACATTTTACCGTGTCCTCAGTTATGATCCAGCTTTATAATTTGTGTTAAAGTTTGTCCAATGCTTCACTTAACGTTAATCTACTTTTATCTTGTCAAAGCTTTTATCCAGTCCTTTAATATCTCTGATTCCCTGTTTCCATGCACCTGAGTTTTGATCCTATGTCTCCTCTCTCTAGTTGTCCCAGAAGGGTTCATTCCACGCAGACAATCAGGCGCTGACCCCGGCCTCCGTCAGCAGCTTGGACGCTTCCTCCCAGCAGCCGCAGTCCAACGCTTCCACCGCCAACCACGACTCCAAGATGGAGATCAAGCAGCAGCAGCAGGACGAGGAGGAGGAGGAGAGCGACAGTGGCAGCTGCTCCAAGGGAGGGAAGCTCAGCAACATGAAAGCTGAGGAGAAGCCTGTGAAGCTGGAGGTGAAAAAGGAGGAGTCCCCCGGAGAGGGAGGCAAAGGGCTTCCCATGGAATCATCATCATCGACGACTAAAACGACGACGACGATGGTGAGCGTTAAGACGGAAGATAGGAAACCGGAAATAAAGACGGAGGTGAAGGATGAAGAGGAGACGTCGGATTCAGCTTCAGCTCAGACTGCAGCCAAAAAGAAGAGTGAGTTTCCCTTCTGAGCTAAAATGCAGTTTTTAAACATCTCCTAGCGAGTCATTTTCAACGCAAAATGGTTGTATTATGTTCTTTTCAAAGATTTAAACAGGGTTCCCGCGGGGTCTTAAAAAGTCTTAAATTTGATCAAAAAAAATAAGAAAGGTCTTAAATATGATTTAGAAGGTCTTCAAAATGATGGGATTTTAAAGGTACTGTGTAGCGATCGCGTCTAAATGTGTTTTGGGGGAAATGTCTGGGCTGCAAAGTAACCAGTACGGTAAGAGCCTTTCAGTTCCCCCCAACAATTTGTATTGAAATAAATCAACATTGAACCAGTAATCACTAACTTTGTTTCCCCCGGCCCCTTATCGGAGAACACCCAGCTAGTAACCTAGCAACCAAGCTTCAGCTAGCGGCAGTCAGAAACCTTGGTATCTTCGAATCTACCTACAAATAAATATGGGGAAGTGTAAGTTCAACCGTATTTGGTGACGTTTGAGTTTACGTCAACCCTAAAAGCGGAGGTGCTGTGGACGCTAAATACCGTAGTTAAACACCAATCATACAACGGCATGAAGACATACACTTTTTGTCTAACAAGCTAACACAGTTCTGTGTACTGTTATGTTCAGTCATCGTTCTTATGTTGAACATGATTACATTTACTTTGTAAGTAATTATGGGACGTATTTCTTCTTTCATAGCAATTTTCCTTCATACTTTCTTGCTATGAAATAGGTATTAAATTCTATTCAAAGCGGTCTTAAAAAGTCTTACATTTGAGTTGGTGAAACCTGCAGGAACCCTGTTTAAAGGTCTTATCTTCATATGCACATAAGCTACAGTGTAGAAATGGCAATGAAATTCTTCTGACCTGAGCTCCTCCAACAATGCAACATATATAATAAAATACAAAATTGTGCAAAAAGTCTATTTGTGACCTGCTCTATCGGGTCATTTCAAAATAAACGTGGATTTGCGTAAAAAAAATAGTTGTTCGGGTGTTTTGTTTGATTTTAAATAAACAAAGTCTTGGCTTTCAGAATATGAAACTTTTATTTCCAAAATCACACGATCAATACATGTTTGAAGCTTGTAAAGGGAAGAAGACAGCTCTCACTCGCACCCTGCTGTTCCGTAGCGCAGCTCCCCCTCCCTCCGGCTGACATTATGAATGTAAGGCGTATAGTAATCATAGATAACACGGCAGGGTCCGTGACAGTTTGTTTTCATCTGATTTCAATGAAACAAAGTCTTGGCTTTCAGAATATTAAACTTGTTTCGGCAAATTCAGATGATAAATACAACTTTGGAGCTTGTAACGGCATAATTACAAGCGGAGAACAGAGTAACTTGACGTCACAGCACGCATAACAACAGCCGGTGTTTCTCGTGAGTGTTTTCCCCGGGAAACAAACACAAAATACACAAACGCAAAAATACACAAACACACACACACACACAAACACACACACACACACACACACACACACACACACACACACACACACTCACGAGCTTCCCCATCCCCCAGACCAGTAATCCAGACGAAAATATCTTCTCTCCGTACTCCTCTGATAATTTGCTCCGCTAATAATCAATCAGATCGATGGATTCCAGAGAAGTGATGACTCGGTGATAGTCATTATATAATGTGACATATTTTGCTTAATATTTGGAGTACAAGAACAATCCTGATATCATTAGAAAGCTAGGAATCTCCTCTTTCCAACAGTGTATACAACTCAAAATGTGTCTTCGGGTCAATGCGACTGATTTCGATGGAGCAGGTCACATATACATGTAAATAGAATATGATATGTACAAGAAGAGAATATGAAATCAAATACGGTTTATTGCGCTGATAACTATTTATATATATATATATATATATATATATATATAAAAATAAGTAGGTTTTAAGGGGGGGAAGCGAAGCAGGGAAACGTTTTCTGATTTCTCTGTAATCTAATTATTCTCTTAATCTCTCTTTCCTCCAGTCTTTAAGCCAGAGGAGCTCCGCCAGGCTCTGATGCCGACGCTGGAGTCTCTGTACCGACAGGATCCAGAGTCTCTGCCCTTCAGGATGCCTGTGGACCCTCTGCTGCTCTGCATACCTGTACGTATCCCTGCTGGACTTCAGATTCATTGTATTCCTTGCGTATAAACTGCTCTGTCCCTGTGCATGTGTGGTCTGCTGCTCACATGCTTAATTGTTTTGCAGGGTGTCTGCGGGGTCTTAAAAAGTATTAAAAGTTGATAAATCAATTTAGCGAAAATGAAGGCTATTAAAAAGTATTAAACGGCATTTTCCAAGGTATTACATTTTGTAGCTTGTTTTCAATAAGTATATCAATTGTCCAAAGAGGTTGTATTCTACAGTCTGCCTGAATGTAATCATTGCGTAGGTGTGCAGTGTGATTCTGTGTAGTTTATTTATGGCATCCCGTTGGGTTTGACGTCATCTGAACAGGACATCGCGCGCTCACTGCTTGATAGCGCGTGAAGCTCCGTTTACGCCGGTTGTTAAACAACATCGTTATGGGGAAATGCAAGTCTGCGTCCAAATGGTTGGAAGATAAGGAGGAAGGACAATCAATACTGTAACCGGTTAAAACTCCAAGTGGCGATGAGGTCTTAAAATGTATGGAAAGGGTCTTTAAAAAGGTCTTAAAAGGTTTTACATTTGACTTCAGGATTCCTGCATATACCCTGGAACTGTATGAGAGCATACACAAACATCTTTGTAACTTGTCTTTCACCGCATGTTGAAATTCAATTGTACATTGACTGATTACATAATTATAAAGAACTGCGCTAAGTTACAGGACTGTGTGTGTGTGTGTGTGTGTGTGTGTGTGTGTGTGTGTGTGTGTGTGTGTGTGTGTGTGTGTGTGTGTGTGTGTGTGGTGTGTGTGTGTGTGTGTGTGTGTGTGTGTGTGTGTGGTGTGTGTGTGTGTGTGTGTGTGTGTGTGTGTGTGTGTGTGTGTGTGTGTGGTGTGTGTGGTGTTGTGTGTGTGTGTGTGTGTGTGTGTGTGTGTGTGTGTGTGTGTGTGTGTGTGTGTGTGTGTGTTGTGTGTGTGTGTGTGTGTGTGTGTGTGTGTGTGTGTGTGTGTGTGTGGTGTGTGTGTGTGTGTGTGTGTGTGTGTGTGTGTGTGTGTGTGTGTGTGTGGTGTGTGTGTGTGTGTGGTGTGTGTGTGTGTGTGTGTGTGTGTGTGTGTGTGTGTGTGTGTGTGTGTGTGTGTGTGTGACAAAATGTTCAATTTAATCACATGGCACTTTGTTGTGTCTTGCAGGACTACTTTGATATTGTGAAGAATCCCATGGACCTATCTACTATCAAGCGGAAACTGGATACAGGTTAGTAACAGCTGGAAACAAAATAGACATCGAATATGAAAAGATACATCTAATTGTGGATACAGTGATATGGAGTTAACATATATAAAAACAAATCCATTGCACTGCACTATTTTTTTTAATGCTGTATTCAAAAATAAGTGTTTTCTCTGACATGATCTTTTGTTTTTGTGTGGCAGGTCAGTACCAGGAGCCGTGGCAGTACGTAGACGACATCTGGGTGATGTTCAACAACGCCTGGCTCTACAACCGCAAAACATCTCGAGTCTACAAGTACTGCTCCAAGCTGGCCGAGGTGTTCGAGCAGGAGATCGACCCGGTGATGCAGAGCCTCGGATACTGCTGCGGGAGGAAGGTGAGACGGGAGAGAAGGAGGGATGGCTGGAGGGAAATGTGTGTTAGGGAGGCGCAGTAATTATGCAAATCAAGGAGAAAGTATGGAAATTGGAGTTAAGAGATGGCTTTGTTTTTATTTAGAGCTTCAACACTTATGGCGCATTTCCACCACACGGTCGGCCTCGGCCTCGCTCGGTACGGCTTGGCCGCGTTGGGCCTTAACAGGGCCGACTCACTTCATGCTGCGCTTCCATTACAGTTTAGGAACTGGGGTAGTTACTATAGTAACGCAGTGTAGGCGGAGCCGTGACGTCATCTTCAATGAGAACCCCAGAAAAACAACACAGCCGTTAGCTGTTAGCACTCAGAGTTCACAGCTCCTCATATCTGTTCAGAAACTAGACAAAAGTTAAACAAGTACAAACCACAGACTGCCTGTGTCATGGTGAATACAGTCGCTGCTTTATTTATGTCTGTATAGGCCGTTGTTGTGAGTGTGGACGGTCGGGGCATATACTGCGTTAGCTTAGCCAATCTCCATTTAGAAAACACGCATTTTAAAAGGTTTTTCGCCTGCCGTCTGTCTGCAGACTTGACAAAGCATTAATTCATGGTTTTTACTAACCGGTATCAGTATGTTGTTACTTCGGCATCATTTTGAAACGTGTATTACAATTAAATCACGGTCAAATATGTCCATCTTGTTGTAGTTGTAGCCCCCTTGCCAGCGATCCTCTCTCTAGTTTAGCATACTCAGCCCGACTCAGCCCTGTTTGTTAGAACCACAATTTTGTCGGGCCAGAAAAGAGGTGAAAAAGTGGCCCCGGGCCGGAACTAGGCCTAGTGGAAGCGCAACCAAAAACGGGCACGGCACGACACGGCACGCTTAAACCGCGCTCCGTGCCATGGTGGAAATGCGCCATTAGTGGGCTCATTCCTTAGATGATCAACAGAAAAAATAATCATCAACTTTTTGGATAATCTGAGTTTTATGGAGATAAATGTGGAGATTCCCTGCTCAATATTAAACTGAAGAATTTATTTTACTGACAAAACAAGACATTTGAAGCCATCACTTTGGTCTTAGTGAACTGGGATTAACTCGTTTGACTATTTCTAACTTCGGATACTGCTGTGGGAGGAAGGTGAGACGGGAGAGATGACTGGAGAGAAGGATGTGTAATTATTATTGGGAAGGCGCAGTAATTATACAAATCAAGGAGAAAGTCTACAATACAATACAGCTTTATTTATGAAGCACTTTTAAACCTCCAGACCAAAGTGCTGTACAGTCAAATAAACAAACATACATACAAAAGTCACACAGCTCAGCTCACACACCATAAAACGTACAAGTAAAAACAATAGACAATTTTAAAGCAACAATCTACAAGATGTCAAAACGCTAAGGAGAAGCGGTGGGTTTTAAGAAGTGATTTAAAGTATGTTTTTAACTTCTGATATTTAAGAGTTAAGAGATGGCTATATTTTTTATTTAGAGCTGCAGCACTTAGTGGGCTCATTCCTTAGAGCACATGTGTCAAACTCAAGGCCCGGGGGCCAAATCAGGCCCTTGGTGGATTTAATTTCGGCCCGCAGGATCATTTCTAATTACTATTAGATCTGGCCCTCCGGTATATTGCACGCACACCTTCACTCAATCCTGAGGATTTCCTCCGCTCAGAGCCTGACCCCAAACATTGATGAACTTGCACCCAAGATGAGATGCCAAGTATCTGGCTTGAGCTAGCATCACAGAGCAGCACACTGAGTTTACATGGATGTTTCCTTCTGCACTTTCTTTCTTGAGACAACAGGGCATGTTTGGTTTGTTCTATGAGGGAAATAGTTTTTTTGAAGCTGTTGTTGGCCTGTGGAAAAATGTAATCATAAGAAATGAATGCAACTGATTATTTAATGTTTAATGTTGTTTTTATAGGCAATCATTGAAGCTTTGTTAGTTCCAGGTTTAATATGTGCAATAAATTCATTTCAGTACATTGAACCAGTCCGGCCCTCGACTAGTACCCTGTCTTAGAGGATCAACAGAAAAAAGAATCGGCAACTCTTTTGATAATCTATCAGTTGGAAAGTTAAACATATTTGTGCAAAAATGGCTGTTTTATGGAGATAAATGTGGAGATTTCCTACTTATCTTTGTTCTATATCATACTTAACTGAAGTTTTTAAGTCTGTATTGACAAAACAAGACATTTAAAGCCATAATGTTGCTCTTTGTGAACTGGGATGAACTCTTTTCACTATTCTTTTACATTTTATAGACAAATTAATTGATTAAAATGTTCGGCAGATTAATCAATTTTGAAGCTAAATCTTGGTGGGTAATCTTCCCTCGAGGTGAACGGAGCTTCCTGGGAGAGTTATTTACGCTGAGAATGTGTGTGTGTGTGTGTGTGTGTGTGTGAGTAAAATGCAGAAATTGACTCCCAATCGTTCACGTCTGAAAGTGGAAGCAGCGAAGTGTGTTCGATGCTAAATTTGGCTTTTGGCATTCCAACGCCATATCACATTTCAGCTCTTATTAGACTCTGCTATTCTTGGTTTTAGCAGACAAATAACAAAAGTGATTGGCCTTTAATAATGAGAGGATAGCAGAAAGGTTACTCCTGACAATGAGACAAAGCAAAGTAGCCCCTCAGGTGAGAGGAACTGTAATGAGTTTTGAGCAAAAACAGAAATTAGCTGAACTTCACTCGGGAGATTTAAGGTGGATGTAAGTTCAGCGATGTCCTTTTTTTCATAATATGATATGTCTTGTTTTTGCTTTTTCTCATCACATATCTTGCACTGTACTTCCCTTTCAGTATATTTGATCTACTTTCCTTCAAATAATGTATTAAAACAACTGGAATTTGTAGAATAATAACACAAAACAAGTCTATAAACCAAAGTCTTGTTTGACTTAAAGTTCCCTTTTAATTCTAGTATGAGGGTTTGTACAAAGACTAGGAATCTGAAAAGCTGTGTGAACCCTGTATCATATGCTTAATAGAGTCTATCAATGGAAACCCAGAGAGCTCTTTTCCTTTTAAAACACTTGAATTTATTGTGGAGTTTTTAAAAGGGATATTAAATCCCCATCTCGCTGAATAATAGGCATCATGAAAGCAATCTGTATCCTGCTTGTATGGACCTTATCTTTTGGCGCATTTCCACTGCAGGGCCTCGCTCGGCTTAGTACGGTATAGTTAGGCCTTGGTAGGCCAGGCTCACTTTATGCTGCATTTCCATTACAGTTTAGTAGCTGGGGCAGTAACTATAGTAACGCAGTGTAGGCGGAGCCGTGACGTCATCTTTAATGCGAACCACAAAACCAACATCAGCCGTTAGCTGTTAGCACTCAGAGCTCACAGCTCCTCATATATGTTCAGAAACTAGACAAAAGTGAAACAAGTACAAACCACAGACTGCCTGTGTCATGGTGAATACAGTCGCTGGTTTATTTATGTCTGTATAGGCCGTTGTTGTGAGTGTGGACGGTCGGAGCATATACTGCGTTAGCTTAGCCGATCTCCATTTAGAACACACGCATTTTAAAAGGTTTTTCGCCTGCCGTCTGTCTGCAGACTTGACAAAGCATTAATTCATGGTTTTTACTAACCGGTATCAGTATGTTGTTACTTCGGCATCATTTTGAAACGTGTTTTACAATTAAATCACGGTAGAAAATATGATCGTTGTAGTTGTAGCCACTCACGTCACTAGTTTAGCATATTCCCGGTTGTTGGCCCGGAAAGAACCTCGATTTTGGAGCGCCAGAAAAACTGTGAAAAAGTACCCGTTAGCCGGAACTACCCCTAGTGGAAACGCAACAATAAACGGGCCGGGTTTGGCACGGCACGCTTAAAACCGTGCTACGCGCTGCAGTGTAAATGCGCCATTTGTGTCCTTAATAAAGCAATTATTATTATAGAATACTATATTGTACAGCTGTCTCTTTATAAAGTGGCCAATTGGTGTATGCACTGTATATGAATATGTAATATACAAGAGCTGTGAGGTGCTGAAAAACTTGCAAATGCACCTCGAAAATGGTTGAAAAAGTGCTCAAATTTGACTTAAAAAGTAGTAAAACCTTGTCTTTTTCATATTGTGTCTGTTGCCAATTGAGCTGAGGTGGCTTTACGTTAAAAGTGTTAAAGTTCAAGAGATTAACAACTTATTTATCCTGTTTTGTTTTGTTTCTGTCCCTCAGCTGGAGTTCTCGCCTCAGACACTTTGCTGCTACGGAAAGCAGCTGTGCACTATTCCCAGAGACGCTGCTTACTTCAGCTACCAGAACAGGTATGAAAGGAGTGAAACGCAACGTAATGAAGGGTGGAAACGGCTAATATGGAAGCATGTTTGAATAAAAGAGGAAATGATAATAATATGAGAGATGCATTGGGTGTTCATCGGATTAACTCTGTGTCCCCGAACGCTTCCCTTCACTTCATGTTTGCCTGTTTTTAGACCTCCGTGTGGTGCCTAATGGCATTTTAACAATGGGTCCTCTCTTCTCACATTCCTTAAGTTGTTCTTGGTGTCTTAAAGCTAATCTATAAACAACACCTCAGCACAGAATGTTTGAAAAATATGAATTTGAACTTACTTACGTGAATGGAATTTGTATTGTAGGAATAAGGCAAAAGTCTTAAAGGGACAGCACCTAAAATAAAAATAAAAAACACACCTTTTTTTTTTGTTGGTCTTACTCGTAGTTCGTTTGATCAATTTAGATATTTTTGGTGTGAGTTGCTGAGTCTCGTCTCTTAAAGATAAATGAACTAGAAGGCACTTTGCACGTGGTTCTTTATTATAATTAAAATAAAGCTTTGAACTCGCAACAATTGGATTACACAGACATTGCTCGTATGGATATAAACGGTAATGACACGGCAGAAAAGCCACGATTCACCTTCACTTCAGGCCTTATCTAAGCCCACCTGTAGCCGGTTATACAACGTTATAACAGGCGATCATGTTCATTTACCTCTGGGACGCCGAAAAACCTTATCTCAAATCAATATTTTATTATTGCAGCAGTCGGCGAATCACACCAAAACTATCTCGATTGATAAACATCACTACCGGGTAAGAGGAAAACAATTTTAAATCCGTCCCTTGAGTTATTTTTAACACTCTTTCAACGTTATTTTTATCATCCCGTCAAGTTTTGTACACGTTTATGAGTTGAATGTGAAAGGACCAACGTTAAAATGCTTGAATGAGTGAACAGCAGCTGTCTTTATTCACCTGTTCACATCTGTCTAGTGTCTGCATACCTGCCTCCCTGCTGTGTTTAGCTGTGATGCTAATGCTGCTACAATTAGCTCCTTCTGTGTTTAGCTAATGCTGTTAACATTTAGCTCCTTCTGTGTTTAGCTAATGATGCTAACGTTTAGCCGCTTTTTGTTGCTGTTCATCCGTCTCATGTCCAAATTGCTAATCTTTGCTCCTTGGCTTTCTGCTGTGTGCTTCATTCCTCCTGTGTGTGTGTGTGTGTGTGTGTGTGTGTGTCCTCCCTCTCCATGGCTGTGGTGTCAACATTGGCTTGCTTTTGCCTTGAACAACCATACACTCCCTCCTCACCCTCTCAAAAATCTGGCTGTTTTTGATGACGACTCTCCTGCTGTCCTGCGCTCCCACTTCCTGTTGTGGCATCCTTCCCTTTGCCATGCCCTCCCTCCCTCCCACCGTCTGTGATTGACTGATTGCTGCGGGGACACGGTGTAGATCAAAAACATTTGGGCTTATTGCTAACAGGTACCACTTCTGTGAGAAATGCTTCAACGAGATCCAGGGGGACACGGTTTTCCCTCGGCGACGATCCCACCCCAGCCTCAGACGTGAGTATTAGAGTTTATAACAAAACGCTTTGTCCCATGATACCGAGCGGCACCTTCTTCCTCCTTACAGATACTACTTCTTTGCATTAGTGCTACCATTTTGTGTCATGCCATAGAAATATATATATTTGCTTAACTGGTGCTTTGTCACAGTATTTGGCAAATACATGACTAAGGTTCTAGTAGTTATAGTATATATCTATAAGTGCTTTGTTAGTATATGAGTGCTTAGTTAGTATATAGTGATTAGTTAGTATATAAGTGCTTGTTAGTATATAAGTACTTAGTTAGTATATAAGTGCTTTGTTAGTATATAAGTACTTAGTTAGTATATAAGTGCTTTGTTAGTATATAAGTGCTTAGTTAGTATATGAGTGATTAGTAGTATAAAGTGCTTAGTTAGTATAAGTACTTAGTTAGTATATAAGTGCTTAGTTAGTATATGAGTGCTTTGTTAGTATGAGTGCTTAGTTAGTATAAGTGCTTGGTTAGTATAGTGCTTAGTATAGTATATAAGTGCTTAGTTAGTATATAAGTGCTTAGTTAGTATATGAGTGCTTAGTTAGTATATAAGTGCTTGTTAGTATATAAGTGCTTGTTAGTATATGAGTGCTTTGTTAGTATAGGAGTGCTTGGTTAGTATATAAGTGCTTGGTTAGTATCTAAGTGCTTAGTTAGTATAAGTCTTAGTTAGTATATGAGTGTGGTTAGATATCTAAGTGCTTGGTTAGTATTAAGTACTTAGTTAGTATAGTGCTTAGTTAGTATAAGTGCTTAGTTATATATACGAGTGTTTTAGTAGTATAGTGCTTAGAGTATAGTGATTAGTTAGTTAGTATAAGTGCTTGTTAGTATAAGTGCTTAGTTAGTATACAGTGCTTAGTTAGTATATAAGTGCTTGTTAGTATATAAGTTTAGTTAGTATAGTAAGTAGCTAGTATATAAGTTAGTTAGTATACAAGGCTTAGTTAGTTAGATATAAGTGCTTAGTTAGTATATAAGTGCTTAGTTAGTATACAAGTGCTTAGTTAGTATACAAGTGCTTAGTTAGTATTATACAAGTGCTTAGTTAGTATACAAGTGCTTAGTTAGTATACAAGTGCTTAGTTAGATACAAGTGCTTAGTTAGATACAAGCGTAGTGACTTAGTTAGTATATAGTGCTTTGTTAGTATATAAGTGCTTAGTTAGTAGGGCTGTACCCGAATATTCGTTCGTTGGAGTACTATTCGGGTTTCAATTTCGTTATTCGGATATTCGTTTTTTATATATTACATTTATTTTGTATTACATTTATTTTGTCAATACTTTTGTATTTCACGGCTATCTAGAGTTATTGGAAATGGTCAAATACTTATTATTTTACCTTATCTTAATCTTAAACCGTGCAGAATTACCGTCTTTAAGCAGCATGAATGAATAGATATACTATGAATTTGAATGTTGAAAATGTAGAATTCAAATGTTAGGAATTAAGCTTTACACTACTTATACAGCCTGAGTTGTTCTTGTTGTATATCGTCAATTTCCCCTCGTTATCCTACATATTCTCACCCACCCTCTTAATTGATTTCAGGTCGATAAACAAGGAACAGTTTGAGAAGAAGAAAAACGACACACTGGACCCTGAACTGTAAGTCAACGGCTCGCCAAACCTCAAATATTAGCCGCGTTCACACCAAGTACTTTGCCGTACTTACTGCCGGCACTTATTACCCCAGGGCACTTAGTACAGATCGCGTTCACACCGGAGTACTTTTCCCTGAGGGAAGATTACGCAAATGAGCCGCTGACGTCACTTCGTCTTCTTCTGCTTTGGGTTTACTGGCAGGCCGCAAACCACTTCACGGCGTATACTGCCACCCGGAGTCCCCGGCCGGAAGTCTCCCTCCGAGTAAATCGCCAGAACGCCGACACCTCCTCATCTCCACCGCTCCAATGTTTTATTTTGTGTTGCCATAAGTTAGTCTCTCTGCGTTTGTGCGCTGGGCGAATGCTAATGCTAATAATGCTAATGCGAGGATAATAAAATGGCGGCTCTACAAAACATTTCAGAGTTGTACGAGGCGTGGTTTGCAATTCGCCCAGCCAACCAGAACTGGGGCACTTTTTTCCCCCAGGAGAGTACCATCTCTCAGCAGGCACTAAAAATGGGGGTAAAAGTTCCCGGCACTAATGCCCCTTTCACACCGGCGCTTTTCCAGCTCCTGCTGGGAGCTAGAGCCTGAAAAGCGCCGTTTTTTCCTGTTCACACCGCAGCGGCGGCGCGTCATAGCTCCGGAATGCGGTTCACTTCCAGCTCCAAAAAGTTGTCGGTCCAGAGGCAAGAGCTTTGGAGCTATGACGCGGCGTCGCTTACGTCGAGGCGTGCAGGAAACCTTACTTTGACCATCCGTTCGCTGTTATTGATCATTGTGGAGAGCAGGCAGACGTTTTGTTTGTTATTATAGCAGCTATCGGATGGAATCATACATGGGCTGTACAGGTTGTCATGTCCGACTATCACAAGTAGAATCATAATGAAAAATACGCCGGTAAAATGTTGCCTGGAGGAAAACGGCTTTAGCAAGTAGTCCGTTTAGCTTCGGTTGCTATGCTAACATCACCCATGTTATACCAGAGAAACTTTCATAACAGCGTTGTGATGTCCAAACAGCGTCAATTCAGACTGACAACACATTCACTTAAGGGTAACTGGGGATATGTATCAGCTGCTTGTGTGACAGTCAGACAGTGAATACTTTAGAGCCGCTAAGGGAGAATAAACTCCGTTGAAGAGCAGCCAGCCACTGTAGCGGTCGGTAAATGCCGCTGAAACACATTAATAAACAATGAACCACGGCACTCTGGAGAAAAGTATAAGGTTGGAGAAGCCGTTATTTAATTTAATCTGGCTTCGTATGATAAAGCAACACGATCGTCGACCCGACGCCCCGGCCCGTTGTTGTTGTGGGAAAAATCTCTCGGCAGCTCTGGGCGGTGTGAACAGAGCGGGAGCTGAAAAGGGAAACCGGAGCTGAACCAGAAAAGCTCTCGCTAGGAGCTAGAAAGGGAAAAGCGCTGGTGTGAAAGCCGCATAAGTGCTCTTTTTGGTGTGAACGCGACATAAGGGGTACTAACGGAACTAAAGTACGGGGAAAAGTACTCCGGTGTGAACGCGGCTATTAGCATCTGGGAAAGAAGATCAAACCACATTCTTCAGGGATTAAAGTTTGAATTAATTATATTTTTTGTGTCTCTGTTTTTCAGGCTGGTTGAAATGTTTGGACTGCGGCCGCGGATGCATCAGATCTGTGTCCGCACCATGAAACCATCTGGCCCTCGGGGTGAGAAACAACTTCATATTCCAGTCGTTTCTCAACGTTTATTGAGAAGTTATGTTTTTTATTTATGTAATTCACTGACTCAACTCTGCTTTTCTTCACAGTTTTGTATGTGACGGCTGCTTAAAGAAGACAAACAAGACGAGGAAGGAGAACAAGTATTCGGCCAAAAGTAAGTGTGGTTCTGGTCTATAAAACGGCCATCTTTAGACATTTGATTTCATCAGTTTCTTGTTATTATTTTTGGGGCGAGATGATGTATCTTTTATCATTATCTCAGAATGACCCATATGTTTTTTGTATGAGGCTACTGATGATGCTTTTATCGGGAAAACAGCTTTTTATATTCTGTGATAATGACAGTTAATTTGCTGGTGAGCTTGAAGAGAATCTGTTTCATAAAAAAAACTATTATAAAAAGGAGTAAATATAGAACTTTTTTAATCCAATCCACTTTATTTCTATAGCACATTTAAAAACAACAGAGTTGACCAAAGTGCTGTACATCAACAACTGTATAAAAACATAGCATGAATACATGAAGAACAGACAGGACATGAAACAATGTAAAACACGAGACACTGAAACCAGATCAGAAGCCACAGACTGATAACTCTCCTACATGACGTACAAACAGTACAAAACAGAAGTAAGATAAAAACCCAAATGTAAAAGCACAAGTGTCACCTGGTCTGTAAATGCCAGGGAAAAGATGTGGGTTTTTAAACGAGATTAAAAACAGGCAGAGTGGAGCAAGTCTAACCTGGCAGGGGCAATTCGTTCCATACTTTTGGAGTGAAACAGCAAAGGCTCTGTCTCCTCGCTTGCTTCAACCTTGATTTCGGACGACCAAGAAGGAGGTCTGTCAGCAGACCTCAGTGACCGTGTGGGTGTGTATGGTTTTAAAAGATCTGCCAGGTACGGTGGGGCTAAACCGTTTAGGGCTTTGTATGCAAACAATAACATTTTAAACTGTATTCTAAAACTGACTGGTAGCCAATGTAAAGAGGCGAGTACAGGCGTAATATGTTCACGCCTGCCTGTCCTTTAACAAGAAAGGCGTTTAATGGTTTTATACTAAACCATTTTAGCATGATTTCAATTTTAATGCTTGGAGGTATCACATTGAACCAATTCAAATTATACCTCTGTCGCACATTATCCTGTCACTAATCACCAAATGATGTGTCACAAGTAAACAAACAAACAAACATACTTTGATTTCTTCCAAATCAGGTTTTTTGTAGCTTTGTTTTCTCCCTGCATGTTTAAGCATCAGTCAAGTGATTT